GGATACAATGGCTGGCATACAATAAACATCAAAATATGAAGAAAATAAATTTGACTTTTCTAAATTTGTAAGAACAGTTCGATCCGATTGTGTTAAATGAATCAATGGAGTTAATGTAATAAATTGACATGTTGATCCATTTTGACTTTCTGAAAACAATAAAATTTAAAATATGAAATGCTTTTAAATTATTATTTTTTTATCTTTACCATCAAATGTTGACAATAGATTACAAATCGATGGCGGAGCCTTCGTTTTTGAGATACCTTTCATTCCTGACTGATTCGATAAATTTTGAGATCCAGTTGTTATAAATTCATATCTATGAAATGATACTTCTGGTTGATGTTGACTAAAATTAAATATAGATGATTGTAATATTGTTGAATTTCTGGATTCTGCTTGAATATATGATCGTACAAGTTGACATGATGCTACATTAAACATTAAAATCATCGCTTTCATATTACTGAAAGAAAACGACAAGAAAAATTCATACTTGAATTCGATCGATTAAGATTTGATGATGATGATGATTGTGTAATAGAATGTTGCGCAAGAATATTTTCAAGAATTTGATCAACACGATGTTCAAGTTCAGGTGTGGGGTGTGATTGTGGGTAAATGTCCGTGTGACTGGAAAGAAGATTCAATCGCATCCACACCCTCAGTTTCTTAGAAACCGCGACGCGCCGCGTTCGGGAACCAACTGCGATACTTCAGGGTTTCAGCACACCGCGAAAGTCAGACCGTTCATTTGGTTTTCGGAAACGGGCGATAACTGTCTAATTTTGAAAACCACGGTGACCGACGGTTTTGAAAAACCTAATAAACGGTCTGATTTTCGCGGTGTGCTGAAACCCTGAAGTATCACGGTTCGTTTCCGAACGCGGTACGTCGCGGTTTCTAAGAAACCGAAGGTGTAGGTGTGGTTGGATCTTCTTTCCAGTCACACGGACATTTGTCCAAACCCACACCCTCATTTTATTCAGAATTTAATGCTGATTCCGAATATGTAAGCCTTTTTGGATAATATTGTGGGCTACAAAATGACCTTAACGCCACTTGTCCTTTATCGTTCAATCATAGATTGATCAACAGATAGCGTTTCCAGTTGACATAGGATCTCAAGGCACGAGTTCAATAGTTTTCTGAATATTGAACAATCAAAAACATAAGAACTTGAGTATTGCTCATGTATAGATCAAGTTCTCGTCCAAGTTTTATTTCTATCATCTGGATACAATGGCTGGCATACAATAAACATCAAAATAGCTTTAAGAGGTGTTTCGAGTCTAAGAGAGACAAGGATTATACAATTGTGTTTTCCTCATTGCATGGGATTTCTTTAGAAGAATTTCATCGTATTCCAATGCGTTAGTAATTATAGTTTCAAGAACTGGAAATTTTTTAGAATGTGAAGAAAAGAGAACTGTCTGTGTCTGGCAAGTCAATGATATCACCATATATCGTTTCAACTTTGATTAGTCAATTTGATTGTCTATTTAAATTTTAATAATCCATTCTTCATTAAATTAAATTAGAAATTGATATTGTGATTGAATTCTATGTTTAATTTTTTCCCGCCACAGACATATTTGAGAATAGGAAAGTCTAGTCTGTTTTGTTTTATCTTGTAGTTTTTTTGAGTAAAGGTATTTTATCGATCGTATGAGATCTGAAAACATGTATTTAAACAATGAGATTATAGAAACAAAAACAAACAACAAATTTCACTTTTATAATGAAGAGGCGAAACAAAAAGAAAAAGAAAAATATAATAAAATTTCAGTTTCAAACAAATTTCCATTTTTGTTCTAATTGATCATTGTTAATGTTTGGGTAATAGCTTCAAGAATAAATGTGTTAAATGCTGTTGAATGAACGGGAATAAACTTGTTAAACGTGTCTTGAGTATAAAAAAATTAATTTTTCCTTGAAATTCTTGAATTGGTAATTCCTATATGAATGCCTATAAAGCGTCCTATTGAATCCACTATAACAGCACCACTCGAACCACCTAACGTTGAACAATTGTGCATTCCATAATTGTTATTTGAAGATGATTCTTCAATCAAATATCTAATTCAAATAGACTTATTATCAACGTTATGGTGATAATTCAATTTATCAATGGTTAAAAATTCAAAACCTTTTGTATATTTGTATGCATTTAAATCATTCTTATCATATAATTCTCCATTATATCCAGCTAAAAACAATTTACAATTGACTGAAGCAACATTTGATGAGGAACTGAATTTGGGATCAAAAAAAGAATCAAATTGTAAATGTGGTGCTGGATGGTTCAATTTCAGAATCGCAAGATCAGTTGCATTCGATTTTAGTTCGTCTAGATTTGAAATATTATCTTCTTTTAAACCACGTTGTATGATTTGAGCTTCCATTAGTGAACTATTTGGGTTTATTCCCGATAATGAAGCTGGACTTGCAGGATCAGATGATGACACATATATTTTTGTCAAAGCAATCATTTCATCACCCCAATTGATTGGGTCAAAATTATGGGCGCAAGTTAATACTATTTGATTGTTTAAGAGCAGTCCACTACCGAATAGCATTCTAGTTGTAGACTGATGTAAATATAATATTCCAATTCGAACAATTAATGAACGTAAGGATAATAATGAGTCAATAATTATTTCACTTGAAATATCAGGTAAGGGAATTCGCCAAGTTATACCATCATGAACATATTTGTATGTTCGATCTAATGCATTAGCTTTCATATTAAAAAATACACGTTCACCGCAAATAAATTTTGGAATATTATTAATTTGATTTATATTCACTTGTTGTTCTTCCGAACTTGACTAAAAGAAAAGAACAAATTGTTGATGACATCAAATTTCAAAAACATTTTCTATCAAAAAACTCAAAGAGAAATGGTGGATAAGAAGATTCCAATGCTTTATCATATAGAAGCTCAACTTTGAATTGTACAAAATTAAACAACATCGTCTAACATTCATGAATTGTCTGGTGTTCATTTAATGCAATACTAGTTTGTCTCGTCCATTATAATAATGTCTCTCAAACGTGGGATCACTTCGCTTTTTTTAAAACCCAACCAAATCTGCCTAATCTTTGCTTTCCCTTGAAAACTTTCATATTACTCGTTTTTTATTAAAACACGATAAATGAAGATATAGCTCTTTCATAGATGAAAATTAAATTTACTAAGTTAAATCTCCACGGAAAAATGAAAAGAATATTTTTCTTACTAATGAATTCAAATCAGTTGGAATTGTATAAACATAATGGTCGGGAGTTTTAACGAATTTTTCACGTAAGCTCCAATAATTTCCAGTTAATTCATTGAATCTGACAGTAGTTTCTATTGTTCTGATATTATTTTCTCAAATGTCGGAACTTACAAAGAATAGAATTTTGACTTAACTAAATCAATATTTGAATCTGAAGTTTCTATAATTGATTGTCCATCTGGTCTAAAAAAAACAATAGATCAATCTATACTAATCCGAAACAAATTATTTGTTATTCTTACTTATGTAATAACAAGCAATATTCATGTGCTTCATTTAATACCAGTATACGCATTCTATACGTCATCGATTGATTATCATTATCATTCTACCAAACAAGACACAAATCACCTTTTTTATTTAATTTAAAAATCAAATTATTTATTCACTTTATTTAATATGCAATCAAAAACTCCATCATTGTCAGCATACGCTTGACTTGCATCAAGATTTTTCAAACTTTCTTTATCAATAAGACTTGTTGTATTACTCATTTTAACTAAAAATTAGAAAAAAAATAAAAAATTTAACTTTATTTCTAAAAAATATACCAAAAGCTTCTCTTTCTACGATAGTAAATGACAAAAATAATTCAATAGTGCAAGTAAATTTTTAAAACCAGATTGATTAGTAGTACATAGACAATACGACGAAAAATCTAATTCATTTAAAAGAAAAAATAAATAAATGGATAAATACGAAATAATAGATGCAACATACATATCTTGTTCAATAAAATAATATTGAATTTAAATAAAAATCAACAGTGACAAACAACAATAATAATAAACTAAAAAGATAATAAAATTAAAATAATTAATATTTGAAATAAAACATACTTGATCAAGTTCAAATAAATGTTTAATATCAAATAAACCAACTACACAGACAACACCACGGATATAATTTATCTTAAAGAAAAAAAAATAGTAAATACATGGAAAATAATAGGTATAACCTACTTAGTTCTATATAATTATTGTTGAATCGAAGACAAAATCCACACGAACAGACGAAAAACAATAATTATCTACAAGAATATAAAATTAATGAAAGAAAATGTGATACAAGAAGAATAAGTTCAGTGAAAATGTGTTAAATACAATGCTATGTTCAAACAGATATGTGATATACCATATTGAATGAGATAATTAAAAAAAATATTTAATTGTCTAAAAATTGATACATTGAAATCAAAAACGTTGAGTATTCTTATAATTAATATTCTTTTAAATCTGAAAAAGAAAAACGAAGCAAAAAAATAAATATTCTAAACGAAATTCAATTGCAAAAAAATTTCCCAACGAAAAAAAAGTAAAACAAAAGTTTTCCATTGTTCTTTACTGATTGACTAATAGTTCTTAGCCAAAAGATATATTTTTTTCTTTCGTTCACATCTATACATCATGCCTGAAAATAAAATTTCGTCGCACATTGCCCGTTTATTTATTTCGTTCTTTCCTTATCGTCATTTAAACCAATAACTCCGTGATTTTTTTGCCTTTCCTCCTTACAACAAGATAGTGGTACTTGTCCTCATCCAGATGAATCATCGAATCAATAGCAGGTTCAATGGCTTTTTCGTGTACGTAACTCGAAGTGTATGCAATATAGATTATTTCAACCTTTTAGTTTGTACTTCGATCATTTTTTAAAGGGAGGTCGATGCTAAGCATATGATTGCTGATATTTTGCGACCAATCAGATGCTTATGTAACTGTCGAGTACAGCAATAAGTTTCTTAAGAAAGAAAAGAAGTTTGTAATTTTGTTTCGAAATTATTTCCCTTTTCTAATTTTCTTCATCAATTCTATGTTCCATGCTTACATCGGTAGCTCGGATTAATATTTACTTTTCTTCCCAACGCATAACCCGTTATCTATTATCCAACTTTTCCATCTCATCAAATACTCAGCAATATCGCTATATTGAAAGTCAAACAGCACACTCACAATCTAGTAATTATATAGTTAATCTTCATTCTTGGAAATTAACTCATCAACCACGAGAACCAACTCTTCACTGGAATCCTCGATTTCGTCAACAACAACAACAATTCGAAACAGAAGAACAAGAAGATAATCGATCAAGTGAAAATTGGGATTCTTGGTTTCAACAGCATCAATCACCTTCACTTCTTCCATTTTCTCAACGAAATAATTTATTTTCTCAACATCAGCTTTATTTTCTTGACCATCCTCATCTTACATCAATGCCTAAACGTCCAAGAGAATCCTCATCACCTATCAATATATCAAATAAACGTGAAAAATATTCACTTTGTAAGTATTTGAATAATTTATTTCTATTTTATTCTAAAATTACAATATTCTAGTCGAATTTAATCTTCCAAAACGCACGTGGATCAATACAAACTATGAAGATCGTTTAATTAGAAGTCGTTATCATCATTTTAATTTTCATATAATTAGTTATAATATTCTTGCTCAAAGATTAATTGAAGATAATCCACTTTTATACGATGATTGTTTAGAAAGTAATCTTGAATGGGATCGACGAAAAGAACGTTTATTAAGAGAAATATTAAGACAGAACGCTGATGTATGTTTTTTTTAGAAGAATTATTAACAGAAAAAAAAAGATTTTCTTGTTTTTTCTTTAGATCGTTTGTTTACAAGAAATGCAAAAAGATCATTATAAACATGATTTTCGACCAAAAATGATCGATCATGGTAACAATAAAACTATTCATTTGAAAATTTAGTAAAACGTATATTTTTTTAGGATATAGTTCGATTTATATAAAACGTTCTGGTGATAAATCAGATGGATGTTGTTTATTTTATAAAACAGATCGATTAAAATTAATTGCCAGAAAAACAGTACCATTCTATCAAAAGAATATTCAACTTTTAGACAGGTAAATTTATAGCTGACTATTTATTAATATATTCCAAAGTCGAATAAAAAGCTTATCAAGGAATATTCCTATTTATCGAACATCGTTTGGTCCTATGCAGAACAAGAAAGAAAACTCAATAGAAACATAATAAAGACATTTTTTCAATTTAGGAAAGATTATGATATGTGAGTAATTATGCAATCGATTCAAATGCTTTTAGAGCTCTCTTGATCGCATCCCGTCCCAATCATTGTCTGAATATCAGAAGAGATACTTGAAAATGTTTTTTTATTAGATTCTGATGGTATAAATGAAGAATCTCTTTTGATTTTGTTTCTTTTTTTTTTTGTAAAAATCGAATAATAATTCAAAAATTTTCATTCAATTTGTAGAAAATTATTAATCTATCTATATTTTTTTCTAGAGATAACTGTGGCTTAATTGCTCTATTTCAACCAATTACATCAAATGCTACATCAGATGATTTATTTTGTGTTGCTACAACTCATCTACTCTATTCACCTAAACGTGGTGATATAAAACTAGCTCAAATACAATATTTTCTTGCTGAAATCGATCGATTATCAGTTAGAGATTCTACTTTAAATTCTTATTATCCCATCATTGTCTGTGGAGATTTTAATGCACAACCTCAATCTCCACTATCAAAATTTCTAATCAATGGACATATTAAATATGATACATATCGTTGTATTGAAATCTCTGGTCAAATCCCACAATCAATTGTTAATAATCGTTTTTCTTTTCAACTTCCATCAAATGAACTTTTACCATCATCATTTGTTACTTCTGATTGTCGTTTTCCAAAGGAGATTTCAACAAACAAAAAAGATCAACTTATTTTTGAAACATATATGAATCGAAAATCATCAGCAATATTAACACATGATAAAAAATTTGATTCAGTTTATGATTTAAATGCTTTATTCGAAGTCACAACATGTATTGATAATGAATCAAATTTAGTTGATTATATATTTTATACAAGACAAGATAATGATCGATATAGATTAAATTTATTAAGTCGTTATGATTTATATAAGCAAAATCAAATATTAAATCTTCATTTACCAAATCATCAATTTGCGTCGGACCATTTTTTGCTTGCAGCTAAATTTGCTTTAAAATTGAAAAAGAAAAAAAGATAATTGACTTTATTCTCTTTTTTCTGTTTTCTTGTGTTCTTTTTTTTATTTAACTTTTGTAAAAAGATTAGAAAGTAGTTTTCTCCTATTTATAGATGACTGATGTAGAGGCATTTGTTGAAAAATGTCGAGATCTGCTTGAACTTGAACGTGAAGAAGAAATAAAGCAATCAACGTGAGATTGAATATATAGTTTCAAGAAGAAAAAGATTTTTTATTGTTGCTGTTGTGATTTATAGAGAAGCATTGAAAGGCCAATCAACAAAACGTCTTGCTGAACGAGGATTATGTCTAACACGTCTTCGTTTTCAATATACATATACAGGTTTATATGGTCGAACAATTCTTGTTTTCGAAGGCGAATCTCTTTCACGTGTTCAAACATTTGGACCAGGTTTGTTTCTTGAAAAAGAAATTTATTTTAAGGAAGTTACTTTTTTTTCCTTCAGGTGATATTGCTGCTATTTATCAACAAGGGCATTCAATTGATGAACAAGATTCATTAGCTCATGGTCTTATATTTCGTTTAACAGCAAATACAATACATATAACTATTGAAGATAACGATGATGAACAATTTAATTCATCAGGTGATACTTGTCTTTTTATGATTATTAAAATGGCTAATGATGTGACCTATCGACGATTAAAACAGTATGTAGAGTTAAAAAGATGTTCAAATTTATGAAATAGACATAGTCATTGCATGTCATTGAGTATCGATTAAATGATTATAGATCTTATATTATTTAGGTATAAAAATTTTACTCGAGTTTTTACTTGTGAATACATACTATAAAAATATACGTATCATATTTTAATAAATATACAAATGATAGTAGGACACAACATTAGAGAGAAAACTAAAACATAATTTTTAACAATGTCGCATTCAAATCAGTTACAAAATCAATTCAGACTCGTCATACATAAATGATTTATTTTCTTATTCAAAATATTTATTGATTTCCTAATATTACTATTTTCTAGTGGTCTCACATTAATGGTAAAACAACGTCAAGGAATTGCTCATCATTTACTTGATATTGCATTTGAAAGTGCTGATCCGATCCCATCGAATTTTTCTGAGAGTACTGGCCCATCACAATGGTTTAATGAAAATCTCGATCAATCTCAACGAGAAGCCGTTAGTTTCGCATTAGCTTCACGTGATATATCAATCATTCATGGACCACCAGGCACTGGTAAATATTTCTTTTCTCATTTTCATTTTAAATTACATATTGATTTTCATAGGTAAAACAACAACGATTGTTGAATATATATTACAAGAAGCATTAAAACGTGATGCAAAAATTCTTTGTTGTGCATCATCAAATATAGCTGTTGATAATCTTGTTGAACGTCTTGGAAGAAAAAAACAATTAAAACTTATTCGTCTTGGTCATCCGGCACGTTTACTTGAATCAATACAATGTTTTTCATTAGAATCAATTGTTATGGAAAATTATCAAGATGTTAAAAATGCTATGCGTGAAGATTTAAATCAATGTTTTGTAAGATTAAATTTTTAATTTATTTTTATTTGATTTGTTGTTTTTTATTCAAGAATAAATTACGAAAGTCATCTACAGATCGAAATGAACGTGAACGTTTAAAAAAAGAAATAAAAAACTTACGAAAAGATATTCGATTGTATGAAGAAAAAGCTAGTCGAGAAGCAATGCAATCAGTTAATGTTATTCTTTGTACATTAACATCAGCAACTGATGATAGTCCATTAAAATTATTACCACCAAATCATTTTGATTTAGTTGTTATTGATGAATGTTCTCAAGTATACAGCATCATAATAATATTTTGTTATTTTTGTTATATTTATTTAGGCTCTTGAAGTAGCATGTTGGCTTGCTTTGCTTCGTGCACCGAAATGTGTTTTAGCTGGTGATCATTTACAATTACCACCGACAATCTTAAGTGAAAAAGCTGCAAAGGATGGTTTAGCAATTACACTAATGCAACGACTAACAGAACAATTTGGTGATAAAGTTTGTATAAAAAAAACAAGATATTAATGATTTGAGAAAATCTTCTTTCTGCATCACTTATTATCTGAAAAAAAGCTTTCAGTAATAAGATATTATTAAGTATAAAAATTGTTTGACATGCTAACTAAAATTTAATACTTCATTTTTTCTTTCAAAAACGAGTATTCGATTTGTAAAGTTGAAAGCACGATTAAATTAAGATAGCCACTTGTCTTCTCAAACTACTTATTATTTATAATATCTTGACTTGATTCATGTATATGTATATACTTCTAGCATTAAAAGAAGAAATACGATAGTCGCAAGAAGTTCCACTACCGAGTAAAAAGAACATCAACTTCAGTCCTTGTGCCTATTATTTTGACTACAAATTGATCTTGATAAGCTCTGATCACAAGTAGCAATCCGAGGTCTATAAATCTTGGTCCAAAAAAATTACAACGAAAGCACTGTTAATTTACCTAGATAGCAAACAAAAAAGACGCTTTTTGACACTTTTCTAGTTTTCCACTATTTAAATACGTCAACCTGCTTTTTCTTATTATCAAATAAAGATCCGTATGTTTATATTGTGTCACAGTTGAGATACTGCAATCAGCTGTAATCTTGAGATATGAAGAAGCCTCTATTATATGGGACGGTCTTAGCATGGATCTCTTCTCCATCGATAGCTGCTACCGTGAGATGTTGAGGTAAAAACTTAATTAGAACACAGCACTAACTGAAAGAAACTTAAAGACAAATAGTTAAGATTAGTCAGCGATATCGGTCACTTCTCGATGATTCTAATTAACTCTCATGCCGTGAATGGCTCAAAGAATACTTCATAAATCATGTAAACCCTCGAACCAAGGTCTAACGTTGTGAGATTTGTTTTTTTGTTGTTGAGCTATTCTTGTCTGAATAAGATATCTGTGTTCACCTTGTAGGTCCTTCGCATGAAAGCCGATCAAGTTTTGATTAGTCTTTACAATCAGAATTCAACATGCTCTATTTGTGGTCAAACGATGAAACTAAATGATTAAAGTTTAGGTACTTTTTATTCTGTAGTGGAACTTTTGTAATTACAGTAAAGCTATTTCTTCATTTCAAAAAAACAAAATGTAAGATGGCCTTTATTATTCATCGCTCTAGGCTTCGTTAACTACTCTTTTTTCTGTGATTTCAATTCATGTGAAAAAAAAAATTTTCTAAGACAACATGTTAAATATCATCTGTTGTTCTTTTGTTTTGAACATAATGTTTTTTTTTTGTATTATCTAGATAACGCGTATGTTAACAATCCAATATCGAATGAACGAAGCCATAATGAATTGGTCATCAAATGAATTTTATCAAGGAAAATTAATTGCTGATGAATCAGTTAAATCTCATCTTTTAAAAGATTTATCAAATATTTCAAAACGTGATAATATATATGAACTAGATGATGAGAATTTATCTCAATGTCCATTATTTCTTATTGATACAACAGGTTATGATATGCCAGAAATATGTTGTGATGATGAAAATTCTCGTGGTAATGAAGGTGAAGTTGCACTTGTTAGTATTCATGTACAAGAATTAATTGAAAACTATGGTGTATCTATTGATCAAATTGGTGTCATAACACCATATAATATGCAAGTACAATTATTACGTCAAAAACTATTAAATAAATATCCAACATTAGAAATAAAATCGGTTGATGGTTTTCAAGGACGAGAAAAAGAAGCTATTATTATTTCAATGGTTAGATCGAATTTACATGGTTAGCAAAAAAGCAAAAAGAAAAAGAAATTTGATTAATAGTTTCATTTTTCTAGGTGAGGTTGGTTTTCTGTCGGACTCTCGTCGAATAAATGTTGCTATAACACGAGCACGTAGACATTTATGTATTATTTGTAACGTGCAAACAGTTAGTCATGATCCATTTATAAAAAGACTAATTGATTATATGCTTGAAAATGCACATGTTTGTTCAGCATTTGAACTTATTGATGGTATTTATAATTTTCATCTTAATAAAATTCAATTTGTTTTGCTTTGTAGACAATAACTTTTTTCAAGGAACCATTTTATCAAAAAAATCAACAGTATCTTCTAAAATTAAACAAACAAAACAACAATCGAAAAAATCTAAGTAAATAAATAAAAAGACAATTCTATTTTTTTCTACATTTATATTTTAGACAACAAAGTAATCAACGTTCTGAAGCAACTAATACACTTGAAAATGTTGTTACTAATATCCTTGATCAACGTGTTGAAGCTTTTCTTAATAATCCTAAGGTACAAAAATTACAATTTGAAGATGGTCTATCGCCATTTGGTCGACGTTATGTACATGAAGTATGTAATTAAAAATATTTTCACAATAATCTCTATTCAAACAAATTATTTAGCTTGCTGAAAAACATAATTTACAACATATTAGTGACGGTGTCGGTGATCAAAGACACATAACTATTATGAAGAAAACTTCAGTTGAAACTATTACAACAAAGAAAATAGTTGAGAATAATCAAGAAGAAGAAGAAAAAAGAGAAAAAATGAATGAACAATTTCGTTCATTCTCTTTATTAGAAGAAGAAAAGAAAGATTCAAATCAAATAATTGATAAAAGTACAAAATTATCAAAGAAAATTTCTGATCAAGATTCAATTTCAAAAGAAAAGGAAGAAAAAAAAGTGAACAAAGCCGTTTTTTGTTGATGAACTTCTTATTTTCATGTAAACAAATATATTCTAGATTGAATCACCTGTGCTAGATGCTGCCAATCTTTGTCGATATTGTCATAAAGATATTCCATCACAGAATCGTCAATTACATGAGATATATTGTCAACGTGTCAATCCATTATCTTCAGTAGCTATTTCAACTAATGAAATTTCTGTAAGACAAATTTTTCTTTGAAATCAAATATTTTTATTCTAATTTTAGGAAGCCGAATGTTCAAAATTAAATGTTGCTCCCGAACGTCCTAAAACTACTAAGAAAAAAGAAAATAAATTAGCATCGATAAATGCTGAAGCACCTATTGATGATTTATTGGAAGCGGCTCGTCGACAAGATAATATTTGTAATGCACATCGTTGTAAAGTAAAAATAACTCTATTAGGACAACTTTGTTCATATTGTAATCGTCGTTATTGTTTTGAACATTCAATGCCTGAAGTACATGGTTGTGGTCATCAAGCTCGTAAAGATATTCGACAAACACATATTTCAACACATGCAAATGCTAAACCTGTTTATGAAAATTCTTCAATAAACAAAGACAAAAGACCACATTTAGAAAGAAAACTGCAAGATAAAATTACATCAAAAGAGAATCAAAGAAAGAAAAAATAAAACTGATGGTTTTTATTTTATTTTATAGTAAAATAAATTGTAAAATTAAATACTTTTTTAAGTTATTCTGGGACTATATTCGGTAATCTATCATTGGAACTTTTCATAATCGCATGCACTGTATAGATAATAATTCATAAGTTTCCATTGCATTGAATTCTATTTATGAATTATTTCATTGCTTCTAATAGTCATCGAGAAGTTTATCACGATTTACTTAGAGAAAATATTTATCATTAAGCTTCATAGTAAAACAAAATAAAATACTGAAATTCGTCTGTTGCTATTTAATACGACTATATGCGTAATGATGATTTTACTGAAATTCAAACCAATATTTCCTGAATGAAACTTAACTCCAATTAGCAAAATGCTATTCCCAACTGGTGATCTATATGTGAACTTTGATGAGATTAAGAAAACTATTGAAAAACATGACGTGTACCCATACCATTTTGGATATATTCTCCTTTTTTGTATATCGTGAAAGCAAAAGATGATGAACTTTTTGTTGTGTTCTTCAATAAGTATATTTAAAAATCTTTTCATTTCAATTTTGGAATCCTATTGTATCAAAATATGACATTGTACGTCATTCATATAAATCGAGAAATGCACGGAATTCTTTTTTCTGAACAATAGTTGAAATCTTAGTGCAACCTATTTTTCATGAAATCATAAGTGTTATCAATTTCAGAGTATTAAAATTTGCCGGTATATAAGTTATAAAATACTGAACGAATTTTAATTGTTTTATTTCCCATCAAATACTCTATATTTTGGATAATCAATTAACAATAACAAACGATATTTTTTTGTTACAATCATACTTTCCATTCTGACGCAAAATGAGTTACTTATTTTTATTGTTACATTTCATAATACGCTTTCCATATCAATGATATCCAAATCAACTTTGTGAGAACGTCGGTTGGTTTTCACCCTCCGAAATATTTACTAACTAGAGTAATAGTTAGCTACATAGATGTGTTCAACTTCTAAATTTATAGTTACACTAGAGCGCAATAAAGTTTTTTTTTTAATTTTTGAAGTGTATACAAAATGTTTTGAAACAAAAAATGGAATAAACTCATTTGGTTCTCTTCTAATCAATTCTATTTCGTCACCAATAGCATTTACATGCTATTACATATACCAAGAAGGATCAATAAATGATAATCTGCGCAATAAGAACTCATACATACTATCAATCGATCAACTTCTTTTATTATTGGCATCATTTTAAAAATATGGAGGAATATCAAAATTGGATATAGGTGAGCTGAAAAGAAGACCTATAATCGCAAACTGATACCGGACGGAACATTCGTACCACAGCCACACTAACATCCTATACCCATAGTCACAGCCTAGATGCCGATATAGTCATTACTCACATTATGAATAAATTCTATTTTCTTTTCTAATTGTTTATGTCATTAGCCCTTTAAGATGGAACATAAAAACAACAAATCAAAATGTTCAGAACATCAAAATAGTTCATTAGAAAAATAAAAGTGAAGAGTATTGCTTTATCTACTTTCTTTTTATTCTTTCGTACGTAATTATGGTGATGCAACAAGATCGTTTGAAATTATTATTGACTCTTATTTTGCATGCTTACGTTAGCTATTATTGATTTTTCTGACGTTGACATATGTCAAGCATAGAAAATAATTAACAATGCCTCACCTTCTGTCTTTTATCAGACTAATTGTTTGCTAACTGATAGAAAGTTCATATAAAATATGACGCATTGCCATATTCTTCATTCACTATATCACGCACGATTGACATAATTACTATGATTATCAACTATGCTGCGAAGTATTGAAAATACCAAGAGAGAACAACTAAAGCATATTGATCTTAAGAGCGTGCATATTAATGCTATGATTCATTCGTTTGCTGCCAATGTGACCATCACTCAAATGTTTCGGAATGATGAAACAACGCTAATAAGCGTTGTCTACTGCTGTCCAATCGATAAGTAAGTAGTTATCTATGCATTCATTGCTCGCATTGATGATAGCAAGATCATTGCACAATTGAAAGAGAAACACGAAGCGCAACAGCAATACACTTGGGCTTTAAAACAAGAGCATGGAGTATATCTGTTAGAACAGGATGAAAAGTCACAAGATAACTTTATTATCAATGTCGGCGCATCGCCACCGTCTAAAGAGTGTACGATTATAATCTTCTATGTTATCGAACCAAAATTATTTCACGATTCTACTATACGATTTGTTGTTCTGACAACTATTGTACCAGACTACAATCCTGACAAGCGTGGCCTTGCGTTATCGAAGAATACTCATGTTGAATATGTTCAATCGACTCCGTATACTCTTGAGTTTTGTTGTCGAATCATAAAATCACCATGAACTCACATTTTAAGCATCGATTCGACATCGCATCTAGTTGAACTAGATCCTATGCAACAGAATGCCTACACTATGATATTTTCGAAAAAGAGTACTCATCTGAATCGAGATATTCTCCTCATTATTGAACTGGTCAACAATCACTAGAATACAATTGTAACTATTGAGACAGATACAGTAATGGTGGTATCCATTCCGACAGTAGAAGATTGTCGACAGATAACAAAGATCGAACATGAAAACAAATGAGCTTCTCTTTATTGTTGATTGTAGTGGATCAATGAGAAGTGAAAATAAAATTGAACTAGCTCGATAGGTGATGTTACTTTTTCTCAAGAGTCTTCCTGTCAATTGTTATTTAAACATCAATCACGTTAGATCGATACATAAAGCATTTTTCAATGGAACAGTCGATTTTTACAAGGAAGATAATGCTCGAAAAGCTGAAGTAGTCATAGAACAAATGCAAGAAATGTTGGGTGGCACAGAACTTGCAAATGTTCTGTTTTTTTGTTGTTGTCTGATTTTGCTCTACAGGTTTGTTTATAGTTGAAACCACTCGAATGGCTCGAATGACACTCGCCTGAACGAAATCAGCCTCGACAAATTTTCCTACTTATTAGTGACGAAATATCGAATGATGGAGAAATACTCGATTTATGCCGTTCAATGGCATCATCTACACGAATCTTTTCATTCGGTTTAGGCCAATCGCCTAGTCGATCATTGGTTAAAGATATCACATGAACGACTCATGATCAATTTGTTTTTATACCACCAAATACGAGCATAGACACTTATGTAGGAACCAGATATGAGCACAGGACAGGGCGGTCCTGTTGTCCTGGTGCCCTGTCCTGTCTTGTCCTGTAGGACAGGACGAGATTTTTATTTTTGCCCTGTCCTGCCGCCCGCCAGGACAGAAAAGTTAGCAGGACAGAACAGGACAGGTGAAAAATCCTTGTCCTGTGCTCATCTCTAATATTTTTTTTTCTTGAAAACTATATAAAATGCATTAGTTAGAAAATATGAATTGGCGATATTTGCTTTCTACAATGAAAGTAAAAGTAAAACTCACTCTTGGCATTTTACAACCCGTGAAAACGGATTTAGTTGGTAGAAAAACGGCAGAAATCGTGACGTCCTGCCCTGCCGCTCGCCAGGACAAAAAAGTTAGCAAGACAAAAACAGGACAGGGCAAGATTTTGATTTTTATCCTGTCCTGCCGCCTGCCAGGACCGAGATAGCTAGCAGGACAGGGCAGGACAGGAGAGAAAATCTTGTCTTGTGCTCATCTCTGGTAGGAACACAACTGCAAAAAAAACTTTTCAGTCGTCTATCATTAATCTTCAAAGTTCAATAGCATCTAGACGAGGCAAATGTTGAATCTGTACCAAGTATCTTTGCTGTCAGCTCATGTCAATGATTGATTAATTGCCTATAAACTCATGGATGATACATAGAACTGGTTCGATCATAATGTTTTGATTGAACTTCCACGTGACTAACATCGATTGAGTCTAGCTAAAATCGATCAAGTATCAAGTGAAAGTCATGATAAAACAATTGCACGTCTCGCTGTTAAAGCGCTCGTTCTTGAACTACAACACGCTAAGTTAGTTCCAAAAAGAATGTATGTGAGCTTGTCACAATCCAGATTTCAAGGTATGGTGGGAACTTCGGAAGAAAAGAATGAGAGTATATCAATATTGATGGACAAGACTAAGCAACGACTTATTGAACTATCATGAAAATATAACATTTTAAGTTCTCATACGGCTTTCGTCAGTATTGAATGGCGAGTCGGCACTAAACACGGTAACCAAGTCGGCATGGTCTTTCGAAAAGTGTCGATCGAATTTGGTGACTACCAACAATATCATCGGCAACTTCATTCTACTAGATCAAATACTAAAATGCCAAGAATCATTGACAGACCTCATTGCCTATTTACAATCTTTGTTTTGTGCCTGAACAGTTCTGTGAAAGATCAAACAATGTTAGTGTCAAGGGTAACGTTCATTCGACTCTACAACGTGTCATTAACTCGATTGCATTCCTGTTCACTTGGCAGAATAATTACTCTTCTTCTTCTAGATCGGCAGCTTCTTCAAAGAAAGTCAAATAATCTCACTCTATTGCTAGTCAAAGAACAGTTATGACTACCAACATAGTACTACCCATCGATTATCAATCACGCCAAGAATCCAATAACAAAATGGTCTACCAACGAAAAGAAACTAGTTGATTGCTTCATCGAACTGTAACAATTCAATAGTTTATGCACGCTGACATCGAGCTACGTTCAGCAATTGACAAGACAATTCTCTCTTTCTACTTTTTCGTCGTCGGAAATCACAGCTGACACAGATAGTCTACAAGTTCTGATGACAACGGCCATAGTTATTATTATACTCGAAAGGCGGCGAGAGAAAACTCCAGTAACTTATGCAAAACATTTGAAATCAGTAATCATAAATGTTAATTTTGTTTACTATCACATTGAAAAAACAATCATATTTCAAAAGAAATTTTCATTATATGTATTCGAATTCCTTATGGTATTGATGACGTATGAATTAACAAAATAATTGCTTTCGTATTCAGAGAAGTAAATAAAAAGCTCTAGTCACAGCACTCTAGCACGGCGTGTCATATATTTGTCTCTTTTTATGATTTTCTTTCCAAGCGATTCTGAAATTTCTCCATAGTATTGTTATAGCTTTTCTTACCTAATATTTTTATTATGTTGAAGCACAAAGAAAAGAAGCTTGTTGCTCTTTTTTGATTAATATTGGAGTCGAACAGGTCTAATTTTTATAGGCATTGTAATACAACAGTTAAATTGTATAACTTTAACAACACGTCATGAAATCAATTAGATAAAAATCTGATGCATGACAATGATACTTTTATGCGTTGGTGAAGAGTTGTCTCAGAAATGATTTGATCTCCATTCTCTGTTCATGTTACAAATAGATTTTGTTATGATGATTCAACCTCTCAGTGATGATTTTTAAAGATATTAATGTAGAATCATGTGAATCGACTGGGTTTAGCGTTGAAATTATGGTTCAATTCGATTTTAACTACGCTTAGAATCTTATTTGACCTCTTTCATTTTTTTGTATGTTCATATTTTGTACTACTTTTTCGTACTGAAGGATGTGGATGTGAATCTCCTCGTTATCTACAAATAAACTTGCATACCCACACTCTTGTTCCTTGCTATCACCAAATCTGGCGAGAAATATTTGAGGAAGCTCCATTAAATGATATCTCGGTTACATGTACGAACAAACTCAGTGACTATTGAAGGCATTATTCAAGACAAAAAAAGATTCAGTAGACAATCAATAAGCCTAGATCCAAAGTCGACAGAAATAGAACCATTTGAGAAAAAAAAAGCGAAACATCTGCCTTAGATAAGGTTCCAGCTTGGACAAGACAATATTTTACTTACAGCTCATGAATTTCACTCAACGAGCACGGAGTTTTACTTGAATAAGACGATATTTCACGTAGACAAGGACTTATATTGATTGTTCTTTTCTTTTCAGATAAGCCATTAGGTACGCTTCGAAAAGATGAACTGGTATTTTTTTTAAAATTTAGATCGCTTGATCAAGCATAATCATAATTCGAAAAGCCTCGTGCTATAAGTAATTTGTTAATTCCTCTTCATAAACTTGTTTTTTCTTTCTTCTATTGTTTGTCTTCTTTCTTCTCGCTCTTATTCTTACAAAATATTAAAATAAGTATTAAAAAAAATCGTCATCCATTATCTATTATTTATTATATTCATGTCATTCACATTATATTAAAAATTAAAACTTAAAACTTAAAAAAAAAAACATTTTAACTATTCTAAAATTACAAATTATACATATTAATTTGTTAAATGTAAAGAAGATTATTAATGTATGAACACATGAAAATTATATGAAAGATCCTAAAATTAAAACTTGATAATGAAATTGTTGCATAATTTTTTATGACATTATTTCCTTTATATGAATTCTTGAATGCTATAATAATATTTGCTCTCTTCATGTATCTTCATGACCACCTGCCGATGATAAAAATTTCATCTTGCGAAAGCCGTTTTCTGATTGTTTTTGTATAGCTTTGACCTTTTTAATTATTTGCGATGCAATGCTATCAAATTCTTAAGCACTAATAGAATTATTCATCACGATGTATTCCCATGGGATATGCTTGACAATACAATTAATCAATAGTCTATATCAGCGTTTTTTGTTAAAGTGCATAGAGGCATGTCTATAAAATGTTTCTGTTAATGGATTGAATGATATAATCGAACTACTGTTTCTTATTTTGGAAAGAAAATGTGTGGGAGAAGAAACACATGTTACTTAAAAACGACCTAAAACACATTTATGAGAAAAAAGAAGGAACGATAAAAAATGCCTCAAGCCAAAAAGAAAATGAAGTTACTAAGAAAACAGAATATAGTAACCAGATAAATGCATTATAACTGAGCAATACTTACTTAAGTAAACGAATATAAATGAGAAAAAAAATGATTTTTATCATTTTTGAAAATTAAAATCAGTTGTGAGATATATCACATGAGCCTACAATACAGCTGTCTATATCTTGTTTATCCCAAGCTCTAGCTATACTTATTAAGTATAGCTTGGGAAAAAGTTAATAACTATCATCGACACAATTCAACTAGTTGACGTCTGACTTGAAGTAGTTCCATTCCATTCAACTTGAAAAATAAAAATTATCTCAATTTGTTTGGTTCGGATCTACTTACATAAGTTAACATGCAACTTATTAAAAAAAAATGTCGTATACTATTACAACAATTATTATTTATGTCTTGTATGTTAATAATTATATAGATAAAAGTATGCGATCATATTTACAATGCATCTTTTCTTTTAAATAGTTCCATTATTAAATGAATCAACGTAAATTAATTCTTTACATTTACATTTCTGTTTTTCTAATTAAGAAGAATCAATCTAAAGTAAAATATAACAACAGTTCTATTTAACATAATCGACTTATGTACTACAACATGTACTTTTCCTAATGATGTTTTCTTTCATAGATTAAAGAAAGTACTTTTATCCTGAATGAGAATACAGACATGATTATGATTATTTTATAAACCAAACTGCACACACTGAATTTTTTCTTTATATGAAAGACTTCAAATGGCACCTTCGTTTTTCTATCGTTATTTATTGATGAATAGCATACTTGAACATTTAGCGTGCACATTATTTTTTTTTGTTCACAATAAAAATAGATTTTCATTTGACTACATAAGTGAAACTTATATAGAAGTTTGTTCGTAGTTTCTCATTTCCCGAAATATTTGTTCAACAATGCGTTATTCATGACTATTGTAATGTAAATATATATTATTCAATAACTAAATATGTTGAATTGTTTAAGTCATAAATAAATATATATATATATTTCTTTCTTTCTTTCTTTCTTTTATCCAACAAAAAAAAATTATGACTAGACGCCACATAGAGACACACATAAAAGAAAAAATATGAGTGTTTCTTTGTTTCTCTCTCTTATTTATCTTAGACAAAGAAATTTTTTTTATCACTTCGACTCTTCTATTCGTATTGGTGTCTTTAACATTTGCCATTGTGCATTGAGAGATTCACCAGATAAAATCGTTGACCAATAAATATTTTCAGCACTAATTATTCCTTTCATCATATTATGTATAGTTGGACCAAATATAATAGAACCAAGTTGTTCTTTATATGATAAAGATTCATGTACAATACGTAATTCGATCATAACTTCTTGTGCTATATCACGACGTAATTCAAAAACAAGTTCTTCATTAAATGTTGGACAATCTGATGCACGTTGTACACTAGTTTTTTTACGTTTAAGTTTTTTTCCATTACGATCAAATAATGTTACTTTTACGCATGCTTCTATAAAATTTTAAACAGAAAGCTCTTTCATTACTTTTTATTTTCTTAAAACTTTTACCTGGAAACGGTTTACTTTCAATAGAAAGTGGTCGTAAGCTTTTTGCTTCAAGTACAACAACAGCTAGTTTAGCTGCACTTTGTAAGTAAGATAATGAAACAAGTAAATCACCTAAATCTGCGTCCTATAAAAGAAAATTAATAACCTATACTAATGTCTGCTAATAAGAATAAAAAAAGAACAAATTTCTAACGTGTATTATTGATGATGGATCAGACTCATCTAGCGGTTTTTTCAATGAAACTTGATCCGCTTCACTTAAACCTCCAAGATCATATTTAACTGTAGCAATCCGAATATCTTTGTATGATGGTTTCGTTGTTCCTACTTTATATAAAAGTAGTTCAATAAAATGATTATTTAATTGATCAAATGATAATTCAAAATCATTTAATTGTTTAACATCAAATAAATAAGATGATTGAAAACGTGGATGACGAACTATTTTTGTTTGAAATAGACTGCGTTTTTCAGGCCATAATCGAAAACGACAATAAAATGGTACAAAATCATTATAATTTGAACTAGCACTGGCAGTCATTGCCGATGATAAGGCCATATTATTATTATTATTATTATTATTATTATTATTATTATTATTATTGACAAATGCATCAAGCATTTGCATGTTTTCAAAAGATAAACTATCGATAAAAACATGTTCACTATCGCGATCGTAACTGATTTTTATCAGTGTCATAGCTCGATTTGAATCATCTTCATTTGTTGGATTTGTTGGCAAAGAACTTTTCTATAGGAGAAAAATATTTTCAGACAAAATCTTATGCATTATCAGATGTAACTTACAACAGCGGCTGAAGCATATAAAGCTTGTTGTAATTCTTTTGGATCGATTGGATCAAACATAGATGGACGTCGTCCTCTTGGTGGCAATGACATTTTTCTGTCCGAATTAATATTTGTTGCAGTTTCAACCACTGGTGAAATATCTTTCATAACATTAGTGTGTGACGGCGAATTGTTTGATGGTATACTAACGCGTGGTGATGACTGTGTACCCACAACAACTTGTGTTGGCGGTGTGCCTATGTTAAATGAAATGAGACATATAAAGAGAAAACTTTCCGATTTTTCATGTCCGATTTAGTCATGAGTGCTGCGCAAATTTTATTAGTAGTGACAAGAAAGAAAAAGCAAAAGAAAAACAGAAAAAAAAAAGAAAAGAGCTTGATGAACTTTTCTCGTCGTTGTCGTTGCTATTGTTTACGTCGTTCTCTCATTTTCGGCGCTACCAACATACAGTAAAATGGAGACACATATACAGGGAGGATACTTAATGTGTGTCAGAGTAGTGATGTGTATAAATGTGTATATCTATGCTCTCTTTACTGTTACTTAGGCAAACGACGGCAGTCATATACAGATACAAATATAATCGACATTTCTCGTTAGAAAATGAAGTATAGTTGCTTAATGTCATTCTTTCTCTTTTTAATATTCTATCTGATTTTGACAATAAGTGGTACTATACATCGATGATAAGTTAAGATCGATTGAGAATTCTATAAATTGATGAGCATTGGCATAAAAAATAATCAGAGACAGACAAGCAGTTACAATCTTTTTTTTGCTTATCTTCTTTTCAACGATCATCTTTTCTCTTAACTGCATTGGAGACAGAATGACAGTAAGAAAGAGACAGAAAAAAAAATCGAGAATATTGAATCCTTTTAACACACTCCCAAAAGGCACGCTCAACTAATGAACATGCAGTATGTCGACACCGGAAATCGAAGGCATACACATAATCACATCGACCTTGTATTTATAAAATGCTCATGTCTTTCAAATGAAGACAATTTAAAGAAGTCACAATCACGACACCGTTATTTTTTTTTCCTATTTCTTCATGTTCTTATTCATCATGTTTCTTTATCTTTGTCTTTTTTTAAAAATATTTCTAGTGCTTCTGAATCTAGTCTTTCTCACCGGTCTAATTTCCTTTTTTTCCATTTTCATTTCATTTCTATATGTGGTCTCTTTTGATGAAACTGTATTCTCTTATCATCATCATCATCGTCGTCATTATCACCATTATCATCATTGTTATCCTTCAGAAATCTTTTATGTAAAATTGAAACAACGTAGAAATCATTTATAAATGAAGGACAACCTAAATCATAGACGTCATTCAATCGATGTCTGTTGACATCACACAAGTTTCCATCTCCTTTTATAAATTAGATTGTTAGATAGATTATACGTTGAACATAAAAAACAACAAGAAGATCTAAGTAAGCACAGAAAGCGATCAATTTCGATTCTGCTTGATTAGAAATGATCGCTCTTTTATTTTGCCTTCTTCTTTTCTTGTCTTAACAAATACAAATCGTCTTTGCTAGATTGATATTGTTGACCAGAACAAAAAATGAACTTACGAATAAAAATCGAAGAAATCAACAAAACTTATATATACTTAGATTTTATAGAGCCCTTAAATGTGCCAAGCTATATTTTTAAAGGAAAAGAACGTTCTCTACCTACCCGATGTTGGCAAAATATTGTTTACTAGATTGCTGCTTAACGAGCTCGGTGATAGTGATAAATTGAAAGACACTGAACGAACATCGGGACGTGATGATGGACTTGCTGAACCTCCATCGTTAATACCTAAACTATGAAAACTGTTGTTATGGCAAGCATTAGTTGTTGTTGAAGACGACACTGAATGACGTTGTAATGATGACAGCAATGCTTCTTCCGTACTTTCATTTACTATTGTTGATGAATATTGAGGATGATGACGAGTTGGAGTATGAATAATAAGAGGAGCACTAAGACGACGCATATTGATTTTATCGACATCTGATGAAAGAAAATTAGAATTAGGAATCTCATTTCTATTATCAACATTTATTGTTATTTGTTTTATCACTGTACGAGGTGATGGTCGAGGTGATGCTGAACATGATTGAGTAGTCTTTGTAGTTAGTTTGGATTTTGATGATTTTGATGGCGACAAAGGTGCAATGATAAGTACACTTTTTCGAGATTCGGATTTTAATGATGATGATGAACATTGATTATCAGAGGAAGTTGAAGTAAATAAACGACGAAAAAATGAGCCCAATTTAGCCATGAGTATTTTTTTGTTAAATAACAAATTAATAAACGTTTATACGTCGATTTATTCTCTATTTTCTTCAAGAGTAATAATCATTAATAGAAATAATCACATGAACAGTAAGTACAATACGATATATTATTCGAGAATTACAATGGGAATGGGCATGTTTATCCAATAAATCTAGTCACGCAGGTGTAAGACGTAGACAACGACTAATAAAAAAAAATGATGATTATTCTCGCTTTTCTCTCGTTGTACGGTCCTCTCTTTCCTCATTTTTCTTTCCGTTTTTTTTCTTCGTCACTACTCTTTTCTATCCTCTTTTCTTTCTGTCTGGGTGTCCCACTGGAACAATAACAGAAGTAATCATAGAGGAAACATAGTCAATGCTTGTGATGAGTGTAGGCGATTGAGCAGCCGTGTCTTGAGCGAGAAAAACAATGAATTGTGCGTATGCCTTTTGGTCCTTTGTTTTCAAGATCTTTTTTTTATTATTCTTGTTTCCATCTTCTAGTTCATTTGTTAGATGACATTTTCTTGTCTACATAAACAACGGTCACCATCACGAAAATAGTATGATCGGAGACCGCTATGATATTAACGAAAAGTGGGTGTCTATGTCATTTCTCTCAGATTAATCCAATCCGGTAGCATTGTTCAGAATGAACACATACTTCCAACCATTTGACTTCCGGTTGGAGTCAGCCAAAAGAAAAAGAAAGGAAACTAAGAAATTTTTTTTACTATATATGTCACGTAGTATGTCGCTGTTTGTATGTGTTCATAAGTTAAAATTAATGTTAATGAATACCTACTCACATACGCATTGTCATCAAGCCCTAATAGGAATCCTTCATGTAAACGTTGGAAAAAAAATACGGAAATCAACTAAGTATATATAAGACTAAGATAGATAGATAGATATATATATATTTATCTTTACGAGAAGACAAAAGAAGAAACTATTATTGAAAAAAAAGGAGTGAATAACTAATTTGCGTGACATTATCGTAGATTGAACAAAGAGAACAACTACATACGTCTATATTTCTGTTTTTCCGGCGATTAAATCCATAGGATTGTAGCCTAGAAATGATGTCATATTAGTTTTCAAAGAATCTAATTAAATTGTGCGCATGCTATTAACATTTAAACAAGATACTGTTATATAACAATGCAATTCATTAAGATATAGTAATTGATCATGTCAAAACTTGTTACAAATGTACTTATAATAGTACAAATTACAAGAAATTATTATGGATAAAAGACACTTGAATAAGACTTTTTTATATTTATCAAGAAAAAAAGAAGAAAACGCATTTATTATTATTCATTTTTAAAAAATGTAAAATGAGAAGGTAAAATTAATAAATTAAAAGATAAAGAGAAAAAAAAAGAAAAAAAAAATCTTGAAAAAGAAAACATGTAGTTGATCTTTTTCTCCGTAAAAATGTTAATATTTGTTTCGACTATATGATTCTTTTGATTACTTAAAAGCGTATTTTTTTCTCATCGTCATTATTTCATTTTAAAATTAAAATAGAATGTTTAATAAATTTGAGTTTTAAAAGTATATTAACATTTTATTTTTATTCCTTTTCGATTTGCATGAATGAATTCAAATATCAATCGTTTTACTGTAAAAGAAAAATAGGCATGAAGTGTTATTGATTCAAGTGCAAATGACACAATGATTTTGTAGTTAAAAGAAAAAGAAATAGAACCGAAGTTGGTGATAAAAAAAACAGAAATGAATGAAACCTGATTTATGCTCTAAGAAGTCTTCTAAAGTTTGAAGCTCTAAAATTTTTTTGATGAAAATTGTTTCCGTTAATAGATGATAGGAATTATTCATTTTAAAATATAGTTTATTAATAATATTTTTTTTTTCTTTTTCTTTTAAAGTAACTCTGCTTGGTCAATTCATTATTTGAACAATTATTAGTTTGCATTTGTACAAAATTATCTTTCAGATGAAATCAAGTAAATAATATTCAAACTATCTGAATACATGTTAAGTCTATGATTTATTCTATTCAATAAGAAAGAGAATATTTTTTTTTTATCGAATTTAGATTTTACCGGAAATATTTCTTCACCTGAATACAAAAAAAATCAATAAGGAAAACTTTGATAATGTATCTAAATAGTCAGAAGATAAAAAAAAGATTCATTTAAAAACCACAATTAATCAGCGAATATCAAATATTTCAAAATTATAAACTAGATAGTTTTTCAAGAAATAATCTAGAATTATCAATCGTATCGATTCATACGGACACTTACGATTACAAATGTAAAAAAAAAACAGAACATCCTACTACAACAAGAACAGTTATCTAGATATAGAAAAATCTATTTCTTTTATAGATTAAGAGAAAAATTTTCTTGTTTTACTATATTCAACTTTAATCCACAATGATATTCTTTATTTATATGAAAGAATTAAACAAATATAACTCACCACCAGATCTGTAGTGTTTACGAGTAAGAATACTACTACCAGTTTGTGTCGTCAGTTTGGAAGAATTAATTTGTTCAGATAATGTAGCTTTTTGATCAGATTCCGATGAAATTCGATCAACTGGCACTGTACGTCGACGAATATCAGGTGCTGAAAGTCGACGTTCTCGTGTTTGTCGAAAATGTTCGTGTTGTTCGTTATCTTCTTCATCATGTTCATCTATATCAGAAGATTTATTGCTATTTCTTCTAACGATCGATGACATACGGCGAAAAAAAGATTCCATCTAGGATAATAAAATATAATGATCAAGTTAGAGGTACAAGAGAAAAAAGCTTTTAGAAAAAAGAAGACTCAAGAAGAAAACTAAATTATGAAGAAAAAAAAAAGAAAAAGGTTTTTTATAATATTAAACATAAAAAAAAAAGACGTGCCGGTAACGATGAATAGTAATATTAACAGTAATTTTTTCGTTTGTAAGTTTTATAGACACATCATACAATGGAAATCAGTAACTCAATAGTAAATGTGAGGCATACATGTAGAGCGAGTACGGAAGTAGCTTGTCGTAGAAGAACGTTCTTGCCGCCTATCTATTCTCACGCAAATATAATGAACGATGTCACTGAATATCCGGTCAAATGTTCCATCTAACATTTTACACACACAAATATATATAGAGAGAGACATAGACAGATATATATACAGACTCCTCTATCATGTTTTTTTCTTGATAAAACAATTGCTCTATTTTCAGTTCAAGACTCATCATATAATAACAAAGATAGCATACAGTTTCCGGAATATATGAATGCCATTTTGTTGACAAAAAAAAACTGTTAGCGAATTTGCTTTTACTGTTATATCAATTTCTGTTTTCCTGAATATATTTCTTCTCGTTTCTTTTTTTTTTCTCTTTTTATTCTTTCCATCTTTCACTCTTTGTCCTTTATTAAAAGCAGCATACACATACACATAAATAGAAAGATCTTACAATCACTTTGATGGAATGCGACACTAGCTCGTATATTCTAGCTCTAATTGCACAATGAAGTCTCCTTTTCTTTTTTTCTTGTATCGTAGTGACAGACAGCAGAAAGCTAGAGGCAATGTCTGCTTATATGAACTAACTTAATTTCCACATATCAAAATCTTAGTACAAAATATCTAATGCAATTTCACCTAACTTGAATGCATGTGATTTTCTTTTTATACTTTTTACGCATAAAAAAAAATGGAAGAATAATAAGTGCTACTTGAAATCTATCTATTTAGAAACTAAAGCGTCATATTTTTTTCTTTATGTAACATTTTTTCTTGCAAGCTTTTTCATCGCAGTGTGCAAACATGTACATAATACACTATAGTCGTCACCGAACGTCGCCTTTTTGCGTTTGTGTTAATAGTGTGATGGCTTAGAGATTGTATGCGTACATCGAAAGTGATATTTATCTTCGGCTACTGTCATCACACAGTTTGTCGTAAATGACCAATATTCATTGTTACAAGCACGATTCTTACGGATGTTGGATGGATGAATACAGTAGCGAATTTATCTCAGGTTGTCAATGATGCCATTAGTTCACGTGAAATTATCGTTGATGATTCATCATTATTTGATGCCAATAGTAATACATTGGTACCAATAACAAAAGTATCGACAAATACAGTCAGGTAGATATTTAATTAATAATAACTATTAACACATTAGATATTTTCGTTTCTTTATTCTATTTCCTAAGAACATTGCGTCTCGCCTAATTTTTTTTATTATTTGCGTTGTTTTTTTTTTTTTTCTATCTTAATTGTCTTTATTTTATTGAACATCTGTTTTATTTGCTAATGTTGCTGCTGAAAATATAACCTGCTAATAAGAAAAGAAAAACGGTAACAATGAAATTGTCCTAAACTAGAAAAACGTTCTGGAAAGTGTCAATAAAAACAAACATGATAGAAAACTTCGATTGAAGCACGCCACTCTTTTTTTTTCATGGATCAAGAAAATTGTTTTGTTGTTTGACAGATCGTGAATAATGAAGGGATAATGAAAACGATAAAATATGTTTCTTTTTTTCTTTGTATTCCCAAATGTCTTCAAAAGAATGGCAAGCGCATAAAAACTCATATATTCTTCATCGGTACTAAAAATTAGTTCTTGTTCTCTTTTATTTTTATCTTAGCTCCTTTTTTTCTTCTCCCATTGGGGCTTTTGAATATTTTATTCAGGATTATGTAACTCATAAACTAGACTTATACTTACAAATCATATGAATAAATTCTTTTTAGAATGTCTCTTGTGTGCCAATGATAACAAAAAAAAGATATTAAGAAAAAATCAAATAAAAGTCATTGATAAATATACGAGCCAATTCATTTATTCCGATTCTGTTTACTATGTGGAATATTATAATTATAGATGATTTCTCGGTAATAACATGATTATCGGATCGAAAGAATAATGCTGAAATTCGATCAGTAGACAATAAATTTTTAGTTTCATCAAGAGAAAAAAAAGTAGAAGAGAGCTAAAGAGTATATCCGGATTAGATAAGTCTTTTTGTCTTATTAACTATATTCGATTTATCATACATCGTCACTAAAGACTTTTTTTTACTACGTCATAGTAGTGATAAAATGACTTAATAAAAACAATATATGGTCAAGAAAGTTCATAAAGGTGATTGCTTGTTTTTTAATTAATTTTAATTAAATGAGCTGCCTGTATTTTTAAAAAATATCAATATATTTCTTTATTACAATTGATTGACGATAGACTTACAATATGATCATGAATATATACAGCTAAACAACTACAAATCAATACTTACATTCAAAAAATCGAAACTTAAGAATTTTAAACAAAAAAAAATAGCTTTGTACTCATATCTATTAACGATTACAGTGATCATATTGTTGTCTACTAGTAAATAATATTCATAATCATGCCTTTATATTTTATTTCTTCAGTTGAAAAATTTAATTAAACATTGTTTCATCCGTTCTCAAATGACATTTCCTGACATTACAATTCATGTAGAATGATCTAGAGAAAAAAAAATGCTCTGAATAAAACAAGATTTCAATTGTTCTCTATAATTCTATCTAAATCTTGTAAGGTTACTATTTAATTTCTAATAAGACTTTACAATACATCAGTTTACTAGAATTTAAGTATTCTAACCATATTCTAAAAATGTAAGTTTTGTAGCTTATTTTTCCGTGCGTGCTAAAGTTATATTAATGTGGGAAAACAGCTATTCTCCATATGATATATTTAACAATTCATGTCTATCTTTCATTAATATCTTATTCAATAATTCATGTAGCATTCATTTACCTACCTATTGACAACAGTAAACATTTTAATAATTACAATGAATATTTTTATAATTTTAGAAATTTTCGACGTTCTCTCTATGGTCTTCCATTCAAAACACGCTCTAATTCAGTATCATCATCTTCACTCTCACCATCATTATTATTTTATCAACTCTATGCCCTGAATGTTTTACGCCATCAATCGAATGGTACTACACGATCATCAACAAATACTTGTCGAACAACAACAACATCAATTAAAACTAATGTATCATCTTCAGTTCAGCCAACATCTACATCAAGAAATTCAACAGAAAATAAACAAAAACAAACATGTCTTTTTCAATATCGTTATCGATATATATGTATCCTTACTCTTATTTTAGTACTTTTCTTAATAACTATTTTAATTTTAATGCTTACTTCAAATTTTGTTATTCGTTTATCATCATGTGATTGTCCAATTGGATATGAAAGAAGTTTATCAGCATCATCATGTACATGTATAGATCGTAATGAATGTCTTAATGGGGCTGGATTTCATACATGTACTGGTCTTCATATGCAATGTATAAATACTATGGGTAGTTATATATGTCGTTGTCGACCAGGTTTTACTCGTGAAAATCATCAAGATTCATGTGTTGACATAAATGAATGTGATCTTTATGCACCATGTAATACAAGTATAAGTACTTGTATTAATTTGCCAGGTCGTTATTATTGTCAATGTTTAATCAGTCAAACAAATGATGAACAATGTATACCAAGAAATATTTGTGCAGAACAAAATGATTTATGTGGTCCTCATAGTGAATGTATTATATCTTCATCGAATGGATACCATTGTCAAGTAAAACAAGATATAAGAAATTTTTTAAATAAATAAAAAGAAATTTTTTTTTTCTTCTAGTGTCTACCAGGTCATATCATGTATGAAAATGGTAAATGTTCAAAAATAAATGAATGTGCATTGATACCATCAGTATGTGAACGTGGTCGTTCATGTATATCAACTCGAGATCGTTTTGATTGTTGTACTCTAAATATAACAAAAAGTGATACTGGTGAATGTACTGAATGTGGTTTGCCTGTTAATCGACGACAAGCACGAATTGTTAATGGTGATCGTTCATATCGTGGACAATGGCCATGGATGGCTGTTGTTGGTGTTTATTTTCGTGATGATACAAATCGTTGGATAAATATAACACAGAAATGTGCTGCAACATTAATTGCTAATCGTTATCTATTAACTGCTGCACATTGTCTTAGTAATCAATTACCAACATTTGATACTATGCGTTTACCTAATCGTTATCAATCATCATTAAAAGATACATATCGTGTATCATTTGATGTTATTGATATTGAAAACGATATAATTCATAGTAGAAATACAAATAACAATGAACAACAACATTCACGCACATATACACTTGAGCATGCTTGTATTCATCCCGGTTTTAATCATAATACACTTTTACATGATATAGCTATATTAAAACTAAAACAACCAATTGTACGAAGTTCACTTGTTGATACAATTTGTTTAGCAACAAATGAACAAATAATTGATAATGGTACTAGAGTTTGGGTTGCTGGATGGGGTTCAAATGCTGAATATAGTTCAAGTCTTAATGTTCTCATGCATGCTGATTTACAAATGCTTCCACCAACTCTTTGTCCATCTATTGAGTCAAATGATTATCAATTATGTGCTGGTTGGTATGATGGAAAAAAAGATGCTTGTAAGATATAGTATTTTACACAGATAAGATCAGTTTGTGTTTTTTCCTTGGAACCGAACTAATCGCATCTCTGATATTTTAGTAACAAATATATTGATTTTCTTTTGTTTTTTTTCTTCTCTTGAATAGGTCGCGGTGATTCAGGTGGACCATTAATGTTATATAGCAATAATCGATGGTATATTGTTGGTATTGTATCGTTTGGTGATGGCTGTAGTCGAGCTAATAGTGGTGGAATTTATACACGTGTATCAGCTTATGATGAATGGATTCATGAAACAATGTCTTCTCCAACAATATCATTGAACTGTAGTTCATTTTATGATTATACTCAAATTGTTACTGATATTTCAACAGTGAATTGAATAATAATTACATACGAGGAATTCTTACATAATTATGTTTATTTTTGTTTTCTTAGAAATAGTGTATATTACATTGATCTGTTTTTGTTTTCTTCAGTTATTATATAAATTAATAATGAAATTAATCTGAAAAATTTTATTGAAACATAACTCAAGTTGAACACATATGTTCTTTATAAAGATATTATTACTTTTTGCAATAATTAGAAAAAATAAAAATTTTCTCTTGTCATATTTTATCAAAAAAACAAAAAATAAACGAGATCATTACTCAAATTATTTTGTTTGTTTCATCAACATTAAAGAAAGATTATTATGAATAGAATTGTTTTTGTCTTATGTCATAAACATTTTTATTTACTGTCATAGTCGATTTGTCTCAGATAATTTTTATATTTACGATATATTACTATATTAATAATGGAATTGAATTGGAAGTCTTGATGGAATCTAATTGTTTTCTTTTTATTGTTTTAGCTATGCTGCGACTTATTTCATATGGATATAAAAACAATTTGAGACTTCTTGATTGAAAAACATAGACCTTCAATTTGTGCTTTCATTTCCAATGAATTCATTTTTCGTCTCGTATGTAATGATTCAATGATGTATTTATTTTCTATCTTCATTGACATTTAATTAATATATATATATATATATATATTTTCATGTAAAACTTCTACGACTTACTCTTATTTCTTTTCAAATGTTTTTCATTATTATTGATAACAATATTGTTTTAAATCATTTTGTTTTTCTTGCATTTTTACATTTCATTTATTTATTTTTTTTTATTTATTTGATAGATGAAAGAAACTAATGCAGTTTCGAATGGACTTCAGTCAACCTCAATGACACTGGTAATCATTGAAGTTCATATGTTCTAATGAAATTCACTAAGTTTATTCATGAGCAACGTTAACGTTTTTTCAATCTTAGTTCCTGTTTCCGTTCATAATTCAACAAGACGTCTCAGCTTCCATTCTGAGTCAGATAAATAAAAATATTCAGTTGTTATCTTAAATATAAGGTCTTAACTTGAAAGAACGGGAAGTTGAGATTCATACTCATTTCAAACAAACAAATTTTCACAGTTGATGAAGCGAGTATAGATAATGAAAACATAAACAATCTACAAAATTCATAAATGAGTACTTTTTTTTAAACAATATTTTCAACTAAAATCAGCATCAATACGTAAGAAAAAAAAATTGTAGATATATATTTCAGACATGCTGATCATAAATGATCACTAAACTAAAACTCAGATAGTTTTTTAAGTAAATATGATATTAAATAAATACTAGAGTCACTTAAATAATAGTACTTAATCTGATTTCAACATTCTAAGTCGATGCAAATACTATTATTCTAAATCGGTTCATTGACGATAATCTTGAAGAATATCATTATGCGTTTAGTCTGACAAATCATCCATGTCAAAAATAATTGAAAAAATAGTCAAAAACAAAAGTTGTTTTATTTAATATTTTAGATAATAAAGAATTCTACTAAAGAAAGCTTCGACATTCACAAAACATAGAATTGTACAGCGTTTTTATTAAAACAAACATACACTTGCAAGCGATTGAAACATACTATCACTAGTAATAAAAGGTACTTCATAGATTGTTTGTAGTCGTTGTTATCTACTCTGATCACATTTCAACTCGCTTATTAATATTGCTATTGTTTTTTTTTTAATGTGATGATATAATTTCAAAAGTTTCGTTATCAATGAGTTAAAGAAGTGTAAACGATCTTTTGTTAGAACAAATTACAAAATTTTTTAATCCAATAATGTGATCAAGAGAAAAAGCTGAAAAATCTCATTAATAACTTCTATGTTTGCACGAATATTTATGTTTAGCCGGTTAGCTAAGATATATAACAATCAAAATAATTTATTGTTTTCTGTCGTAGTGTATGTTATATTACTAAAATCATTTCTAAAAAAAAACAAATTTAAATAGAAAATAAGACCATATCACTTTCTTTTAAAGATATCGTAAATGTCAGCAAATGAAATTTATTATTTAAATGTTATTTTTTAAGTGCTTTATTTTGCTTTGAATATTCTATTGTATATTTAATAATGCTTTTTATTTATTAACACATCTTTTTCATCTATCAATCATTGATCTTTGCCGAATTCCCAAAAGTTTTATTGTGATAGATTTTATACAATATATTATATTTTATACTAAACATTTCTGTCATTATAACATCATTTTCTTCTATTTGATCCATCATTTTCCATACTATAATTTAGCTATCTTTAAGTTTGACACTGACTAACTTCTCTCATTCTTCTTCTTCTTCTTCTTCTTTTCTTTTTCTATATCTCGAATGTTCGATTGAGTGAATGAATGAGTATGTAAGTAAGTGAGTGAACGAGCGAGGACTCTGATAGAGACATGTTTGTCCAATTTACAGATTCGTCAGCACATGCACTAATTTCTTCGACGTCGCGTCTTCTACATCATTATGAAGACGATATATAAAAAAAAAAGTCCTCTTACTCTTTCTACACGAGCGACATAGGGAAGATTTTTTTGGGATAATGTCCTCTCTTCCGCATTCACTACTCTTCATTTGAATGAACGCAAGAGAGAAGAAGAGAAGCGAAAAGATTTTTTGCTAATGTGATTCCGACGACGACCGACCGAAAAAAGAGATGATGATTTATTATAATCAGGGTAGAGAAAGAGAGCGAGAGAGAGAGAGAGAGAAAGATCTATAATGCATAGAGAGAAAGATAATGGGTGTGGTGAAGCTTATTTTGTAGTGTCGGCCTATCAGAAATTTTTTTTCTCGATCAGTAAGCGACCGAATTAACCATTTTTAATAATAACAATAACAAAAAAGAAAGAAATTTTCTATGAATATATTATATGTAAGATGGTAGGATTGCGTGCTATAATAATCGAGCAGAGATGTTCATCATCATCATCATCATCATCATCATTATCATCATCGTCATCATATGATCATGATCGAAAGAAATCTTTTTTTTCTCTTATTCTTTCTTTTTCCTTTTTTTTTTATTCTTTTTGCACATATTGGAAACATAACAAAAGAGACTGAAAAGAAAAAAAGAAAACCAGTGTGAATCGGTCGTTGAGAAGCAAGACGAGTAGACAGAATAGAAGCGAAAAAAAAGATAGTGTCGATTGTTCATAATTGTGAATATTCTTTCTTTTTTTATTCTCGTCTTTGTTTGTATGTGATAGAGAGTCTTTTCCTTTTTCTTCTCTTTTTTGTCACTTGCTGTGCGTTTAGCATAAATTATCCAAGACGACACCAACCACAGAATTTTTTTTAAATATTTGCATAAACAGTATCATCATTATTCTTTTTTCCTTTCTATTTTCGTCTATGTACTTCGATTTTGTTATCGAGATAATATTAATGAGCTTTTTTTCTTATTCTTTCTCTCTTTCTTTTATTTAGAACAATCTCTTTAATTTATGTGTTCCTTTTGAGATTTTTTTTTTTTTCGCTCTCTTTCCAATTTTATTATAGTTGTTTGGTTAGTGTTGATGCGAATCTCACTTATGCGTGTAGAGATAGATATGCGCACACATACACATATACACAATTAAATTTGCACCTGGTTCGAGTTTGACTTCATTCGTTATAGCACTAAACAGCGAAAGTCAATTTATATTTTAGTTCGTTCCGACGCCGCTGTTGCCTATCTATCTTTTTTCGTTTGCACATAAAATACAAAGCATAGCCATCAAGTAGTATAGAACAAAAAAAAATTGTGGAATCAAATTACCAATGGGACAACGAGAGGAGATGGTGCTTACTTACTCTAAAGTGATAGAGTATGTGTGGTGTGTTTCACATTCTCGAGCAAGTGCGAGAGCAGCACACGCGCGCGATAAGAATACATAAACAGTCAAGTTGAAATTAGACGGGAAGAGAGAGGGGGGAGAGAAAGATGCATAAATAGTCGATTTTAAAATATAGATAAGTCAAATATATTTGAATATTCTTTTAGAATATAAACATATGACACTTCCACTTATTTCGGATCAATCTCGAAAATCAGAAGGTATTTTTGTTATTATTTTTGCTTTCATTTTGTATATTTATTCTATGTTAGAAAATTTCAGTTAATTCAATGAATACATTTTGTACATCATCAAATTTTCATATGAATCCACTTTTTTCGACACTTTTTCCTAATCTCACATCTCAACAACAACAACAACAATTTCTTACTCAATTATTACTTTCTGGTAAATAAATACTACGTTTCTTTGCTTTTCTTTTTCTTCTATTTGATTTTTATTTCTATCCATTATTAGGAGCAACTTGTCCGCCATTATTATCATTTACTAATAATCCTCTTGCAAATGCATTACAATTACTTCTCAATAATAGTGCTCTCTTTTTTCAACAACAAAATCTTTGTAAGTTCGTCTTTTCTTAGATAAATGTTATTATTCTCTTCCGGTTTTTTTAAAAAAGCACTTTGTTCAATACCAACACTTATCGATAATAACAAAATACAAGAATCATTAAATACAGAATCAATTTCCGTAAGTAATTATTAATTAAATTCAATAAGAATTAATTTTTATTTTTCCAATATAAAGACAAGAACAATTTCACCTGTGAATATGAAATATAAACATGAATCAATTGATTGCAGGTTCATATTGAATTCATACGTTTTCTTTTTTTTTTTTTGTTCATTGATTTAATATTCATCTAGTTCATCGGATACAAATGAAAAATCAACATTAGATGATGATGATAGTTCGCCAACAATAGCTACAACACTTGCATCATTACCTATTAATAATAGTATGATTATTAATTAATTAATTAATTAATTAATTTTCATCGAATCTTTTTTTTTCGTCTCTCTCTCTCTCTCCTTTAGATGAAACAGCAATAACAACAACAACAACAGTTGATGGAATTAATTTAGAAGAAATAAAGCAATTTGCAAAAGCATTTAAATTACGTCGGTTAGCATTAGGTTTAACACAAACACAAGTTGGCCAAGCATTAAGTGTTACTCGTGGACCAGCATATAGTCAATCAGCTATATGTCGTTTTGAAAAACTTGATATAACACCTAAAAGTGCTTCAAAAATAAAACCGGTACTTGAAAAATGGATGCATGAAGCTGAATTAAAATATGGTGATCGGTAAAAACTAAATTTATTTATTATTTTGTAATACGATTTTTTTTTCTAAATTTTATCATAGACTAAAAAATGGACCATCAAATTTACATGAACTTGTTACTGATCTTAATGCAAAAAAACGTAAAAGACGTACATCATTTACACCTCAAGCACTTGAAAAATTAAATGATGCATTTGAATTAAATACACATCCTTCAGGTGTTGATATGTCAACACTTGCACAACAATTAAATTATGATCGTGAAGTAATTCGTGTTTGGTATGAATTAATAAATTTTTTTGCTTTCTTAATATATTAATTATTTGAGAAAAAAAATACATTCTTAGGTTTTGCAATAAACGACAAGCATTAAAAAATTCTGCGAAAAAATTTAAAACAAATCAGATCAATGATGATAATGAATCAACAACTAGTTCTTTAATGAATAACAAATTAATTGATACAACAAATCATTCAACAAAAGAATAAGAAATGACATATATATATATATGTATGTATTCTATCTTTGTGAAACAATCAAACAAGAATTACTTTGTATGTTCACATTCTTCCATGTTTAATATCTTTCCAAATGGGTGTATGTTCACCCTTGAATTTTAACTGATAAATTAATGTTTACGTTTGTTTTAGACTGCACAAAAATTTTTAACTATTGTCAATTGTCTTTCTTTGTTGTGTAATTTCGTTTTTCTTCTTTTTTGTTTATCTCAGATTTTAATTATACAATATACTACAAATCAAATTTCGAAAAAAAAAAAACAATCGAGAGGAAAACAAACCTAGCTTTTTGTGTTCATTTATATGGAAATATTAATAATTATTTTGAACTGAAAATAGTAACAAGTGTTTTTCTTTATGTACGAGATTTAAAATGATGTCATCATTCATATTTTCATATGTAAACAGAGAGTTTTTATGGTATCTAAGCGCTTTTTTGTAGGCAAATTTTGTAGAATAAAAAAAAGATATGACCTATTTTTTCCTTCTCGTTGCTCTTTCAGAAATAACGCGGAAGTCTCTTCAGATGTCAAAGCACTTTTCGATCGAGATGATGTGCATTTGATGAGCGCAAGTGAGTAATGGAAAAGTCTTGGACGATTTGGCTTTTCTAGAGCTTCATTGTCAAGCTATTGAAATTTTACTGAATTTTTCAACAAAAATCAGTGGTCCGTCTCAGGGCACGTCAGGATATCAACTTCAAACTGCACAAACGAAGTTTTCAATGAGATTAGTTCATTAGACAAGATCTAACTTCTCCTATTCTGAGATATTCCATATCTAAAATTCTCTTATATGTAAAAGCATAATTTTGTTCATATATTCACATCTTCAGAAAGAAAATAATAGAAAAGATAAACGTTGCAAAATCAAGTAATCTCATTAAGAACTTTATTGGTGCAAAGTTTGAATTAGAAACTCAAAAGTCCACCCTTTCCCCTGATCTGAAGGGTACCATAGGTTTTTGTTGAAACACCCAATAACATTTCGATATCTCGAGAACACAAGTCCAGAAAATCAAACCATTCTGCACTCTTCTATTGCTTATTCGTGCTCATCGAATAAATATCGTCTTCGTCGAAAAGTGATTTGACATCTGAAGAGGTTTGTTCATAAGTTGAGCTTTTTCTTATTAAATTTGTTACTGGAAATTATGCATGAAATGTATCAATTGCTTATCATTTTAGTGAAAACAGAAGTAAAATATAAGCATTTATTATCATCTTTATGGTTATTGTCATAGAAATGCCTCCATGTTGTGAATCTGTGAGCGACACAAACAATGAGAATAAATACCAGACGATGGTAGTGATAATCAATTTCAATTGAATGATTCTACGAAGGAATCATAGAAAAAACAGATGAAAAAAACTATTAATTTCAAAACTTTTAAAACCTGATTTATGATGAAAATTAAACATACTAGATATAATCTTTAGATTCCTACCTAACCTCAATTGTTAATAATATTATTTAGTAAAATCTGTTGTTTAGATGTTGACTTCTTTCCCGTATCGATCTTTATCATCTCTATTAGTTCGTCGTACAGTACAATATCCATTATGGAATCCTGTAAATGCTCGTACAACTTATTCAAATGAATTTACAAAAAATGAACTCCTACGACGATATAATATTGAACAGTCATCAACTTATTTCGATCAATTTCGTTATCTTCGTCATGTAAAAGATGCACCTAAAGTTCCATTATCCTTTGGTTTACTCGGTCTTGTTCCATTTGCTGCTGTTCCCTTATATATGTATTCAACAGGAATATATTTACCAGATTTAGCATTTACTCAATTAGCTTATTCAGCTTCAATTATTTCATATGTAGGTGGTATACGTTTTGGTGCATTACTTGAAGAATCAAATGATTGGAAAAAATATACATATTCAATTCTTCCATCAATTGCTGCTTGGTTAGCATTACTTGTGCCCGGTCGATGGTCAATTGTTTGGGCATTAGCATGTTTTCAAGGTTTTCTTTACTATGATGTAACTAAACCAGGTTATCCTTTATGGTTCAAAGGATTACGAGTACTTTTAACGACTGGTTCATGTTTAACATTACTTGCTACACTTCTACTTAGTTTTATATTACCAAAAAAAGAAGCAACAACAAAAAATACTAAAAGAACAATGTAGATAGTTCCATAATTTCTTTTTTTTTTCTCGATAGTTTTGATGAAATTTCTGTTTATTGACAATCGTTTTTTCTTTTATTGAAAAAGAAAGTAACATCTTTAAACAATTCTTGTCTAAATCTGTTTAAAATACAATATCGATTTATTTTTTATTGTAATTATAAAACTTCATAATTGTTCATCATCGTCAATGTGTAAATGAAGAGGACTATTTGGTGATGCTAACTGTGTTCGAAGTGGTCGATAATTAGAACGAATTGATGAAATATAATTTTGATTAAGAAAAGAAGATGATGATTCTAATGATTCTTGACTAAGTATAACATGTTGTTGAATACCATATCGAAATGAACATTTACCATGCATTGTAAATTGTACTACAGGTGGAGTTTCTTCAAAAATTTCAAAACTATTTAATGAATTATCATTTTCTATAGTTTCACGAATAATTTGAACAATATCACCATCAATGAATTTTAAATATGTATTTGGTGATTGACGAGTTGCTATTGTTGCTGTAATACGACCACAAAATCGAAGAGATACAGTAAAATCACCATTAAATTCTTCTTCATCAATATTTAATTCAGCATATGTACGTGTATAAGGTGCAACACGTACATGAGTATTGACACTCCAACGCATATTGTATTCTTTTATACTAATTAAAAATTATGAAAAAAAGAATAGTGTTTTTTATTTGAAAAAATAAAAATATTTACTTACGTATCTTGTCCAAATTCTATAGATTGTTCACGTTTGATACCTCCACCTAATTCAACAATTTCTTCTGGTAAACGAAATATAATAGATGATTCCTGTGATTTTGTAAGACTCTGTGTAAATTTAAATTCAAATATTGAACGTGTAAAACGTTCTGTTTGAAATTTATAAGAATGTTCATTATGTGTGTTATTATTAAAATTTGTTCGAAAAAGTATTTGTGATTTTGGTAAACGTACAGGTGGTGAACCATAAAAATGTGTATTACTTTGTATGAATGTAACATGTTTCCAATTTATTATTACAATCAATTCTTCACGTCTAAGTTAAACAAAAAACAAAAGAAATGAAATTTGTTTTCTCTCATTCAATCACCTTCAATACAATACAAATACAATAAAAAGTATTGTATGTTAATTATATAGGCAAAAAAAATTAATTATTACTCCTTTCATTGTATTGCAGACATATTGAGTATATAATAAAGACACAAGGGTGCTTACTTATAATGAGATAATAATTTTGTTTTTGTTCTATTCCACATATTCCAAACCCAGTTTTCAATAATTTCATCTAGATCAATGACTTGCCGTTGATCAGATCTATTTCGAGTTTGTTCAATATTTGGTGTTGTTCTTTTCGTACTTTTTCTTTGACTATCATTCTAGATTTAAAATGATTTTAACTATTGTAGAAAAAATAATATTACGAATAAATATACTCGATTGCCCATATTTCATTAGTAGACAATTACTAATTTAATCGAAAAAGAATAATAGAAAAATTCTTGCTCAAGCGATTGATAATAACAGTTAATGATTTGTGGAGGTATTGCTCTTGCTTGTGCCTTATGTAAATATGCAAAATGCAAGTTGTCTGAAGCATAATATATATATATATTTCACCCTTCTTCGAAAAACATAACTTGCTACATACTTTGACTTTAGTAACAAATACTTGCGTCTTTCTTCCCTAAGTAAAACACAGTTACAGTGATGAGTATTGAAATAGTGCAGAAGAAGGAATAAAAAAAAAGAAATCTGTTCTCTTTCTTTTTTTCCTCTGTACTGTACAAAGAAATGAATTATATCTTTAACTTTCATATTTATATTGAATAATACGATTAAGAGAACATTAAATCGATAAAGACTGATATTTTAATACTCAATGTGTAAAAACATGAAAATATGAGGAATAAATTTATGATTGTGTCGAGTGTAAATATCAAGATATATGTCCATAAATATGGACATTATCAAAATGAATGATTTTTTATTATATTTATTTGAATTATACAACAGAACAACAGTAAATCAAAGATGTTTGGAAGCAACCATTTTAGTAACAATTTCACCAATGGGATTTTCATAAGTAGCTTGCTCTTGATCACTAGCCGTTCCAAAATAATACTTGAAAAAGAAAATATTAAATTCAAAATTCATTATTTTTTTTTTTTGATAAAATTTTTCTTTTCTTACTCCTCGAATATTTTCGAAATTATTATTCATACATTGTTGCATTTGTTCATTGGTCATTTTTGTTACATTTTCAATTTTACTAATGTTTTCAAATAATTCTTCGCTTTGTGATCGATCATGTATTGAAACAACAACTATATATGGTTTACCATACCCACCAAAAATGCGTAATGCATCACCAACCTAATCATAAAATAAAATTGAAATAAATTTTTATATATAGTCGCAACAATATTTTAGGTATTAACTTTTAATTTTCAAGAAACCTCAATAATAATTGAAAAAAAGCCCTATAAGTTCTATTCAGAGAAAGTTTTTCAAGAAGAATATTTCATTCGTCATATTGTGAATATATTTCTTATGGTTCAAAAAATGGGAAGAATCATAAAATAGAAACTTATTAAGATGAACGCTTATAATAATAGTTAAACATTGACTTTTAGTATTAAGTATCTATTAGAAAATTTTGAATACAAAAATCATAATGTGGTTTAGTTTTCTTCACAATTATGTCTTTCCTATCAATGAAGGAATTACAGGCAGATTTCAAGATCCATTTATCTTGTTGTTTCTCATTTATGACTAATACCAGAAGATATGATCTATATTTTCAAATCAAAATAATAGAAAGGATTTCAACTTGTGTAATCGTGATGAAATCATGTTCTTTTTTTATTTTACCTTTTCAATATCTCAATGGAATGATGCCGATTAAAACTGAAATTTTCAGAATACATTTAAGTTCAATAATCCTATACATCTTGAAAGTTTCATTAGACTTTGAAGCTTTCTTCACAATTCTATAACTAAAAAGAAAAAGTTCGACTAAATCAACAAAAATGCACATGGAGTTTGAGCTTTATGTTAAAGAACTGAAAAATTTAACTCAACTGAAACTGTGATGGAAAAACTTTCTGTGAGAAAGCTGTAGCTTAGATGACGTAGTATATATACTCAAAACAACATAATAGAATAACTTTTGAGAAAGGAAAAGCTTCATGATGGAATCATGCTTTTCAGGAATGTTCATGTTTTCTTCAACGTTTATTTCGTCAGAAAATTAACTTTAGTTTCTCAGAAAAACTAAACTGAGATCCTTTGTTAAAAAGTAATCATGGAAAAAAAAACACATTTCATCATCCTTCTCATAATGTCAAACTTCTGTTATGAAAGCAAGAGTCCCATATTAGATATTACCATCGAAAAGTTGTCTTCAATTTTGATAATAAAAATAACTTAAAATCATCATAAGCCAATGACAAAAGTAGGCACTAATGTTCTAAAATCTTATCACCTATTTAAACACATGTCTAAAACGATAATATACGAGAAAAACGAGGTTTTTATTTTCTTTCTTGTGCATAAAATAACTTAGTCACTTTATGACAACGTGATCACATTCTTTCTAAAGAAACTGAAATTTTCATTAAAAACAAAACCCAATTAATTCTTTTCGATGCAGCGTAAAAAAGTCACATTCCAGCATTTTATTTGTAGAACAGAAATGTCTTATTTTTGACTGAAGATCAATTACAAGACATATTTATGACAGAATTACTTTCATAAATGGGCTATTGTTCAAATGTCAATAACCTTTTTAAGAGGTAATAATACTTAGATTGTTTATCTTGTTTAAAGAGTTTACTTCAAGCAGTTTTAGAACATGTAATCGGCTTTATTTAAAAACAAAACATATTCGTTTATATGACACATCAGAAAATAGAAGCATATGACGAATATTGATTTTGAATATTATCTCTTTAACAGCGTTTTTCTCGACAATATATGAAGCGACATAGATACAAAATAAACTTTCGAATGCTATCGGCATTGTTCTAGCACCACCTTCCGCAATATAAAAGACCGTGAATCTTCTATTGTTTCCCATTTATTTTCACAATTTTTAATTAAATGAATTTTTCAGGAAACCAAAACGACTTTGAGAATTAGAGAAAGTATTTTTAGGACTTTACGAATCTAGAAATAATACTGACTTCAGTCATTTAAAGTTTCTAGCTCAAAATCTCGAAAACATGGTATATTTCAATATAAATATGCTAATTAAAATTGCAATTTTTTGAGAAATTAATTAATTACGGAGGGTTCTTTATTATGTTCTGATTATCACTCTTTCAAAAAGGTCTTCTATTGCGGAAGAGAAAGGTTTACATGATAGTCATATTCGTTTTGGTTAATGTTACAGTTCGATTTTTTGCCTGAACAAATAAATTGTTACGTAGATTAGTCGATTTTTCATTAAACTCGTACCGATTTTGTATTTGACAATCGATGTGGTACTTTAATACAAAAATCTTTTGATGAATTTTCTTCCACAGCACTATGAACAGCAGTAAATACTTGAAACATGTCTGCAATCTAATAAAATAAGATTATATGTTTTAAAGTTCATCTCTATTCTTACCATTTCAAGATTAAGAAATGATACTTTGCTTTTATCATAATTGAATTTTGTTAATTGTGTTCGACTATCGCTAACATTGGAAAAATCAAAACCTTGATAATAAATTTCTACTGGCTTTTCAGTCAATGAATTAATAAATTTTTCAATATGTTCATTAAATTCATTCGTCATCTACATATACATATTAAAATACAATATATCTTATTTTCAGATTTTTTTTTGTTTAAATAGAATTAAAAAGAAAAGATTACAATACACTTTTCAAAAATAAATAAATAAATATTTTGCTCAAGGTTACAAAAAAGAAATTCGCACATGATATTGACTAGAAAAAACATGCGTAATACTACTAATATACGATTGATCATCAATCAACAAAAGAGAAAAAAAAAAAGAATTCTTTTATGACCAGATAAATTTAATAACATGAGCAATATTTTGACATTCTCTTGGTGCTAATATTCCACCGGCTGTATATAAACCGCTAAGAGTACAACTTTGACAACGAACACTAAAACGACATGTAACGCGTTCAGCTGTTGCTTTAAAACCATCATGAACTAATTCATCAACAACAAATCTAAATAAATACAAAAGAAAATAAAACAACAACAAAAAAATTATTATTTTCTTTTTCTTTTTTCAAAAATTTTTTTTTTTCTACTTACGCAATAAGTTTATCCATATCAATACTTATATCTGATTGAATCGGTTTTAATTGTTGTTGAATTTGTAAATCAGCTGTAAGACCATCAAAAGCACAAGCTATAAAAAAAACAAACAAACAAGTTATTGATACCAAAAAATACATGTAAATCTTAATATACCATGATTAACTGTGACAAATTCTCGACTACAATTATAACAAGGTATTGTTCCTTTTAATTTAGTATGATCAAGTTGTGTTATAACAACACGTGATTCATGAAATGCTGAACGTTTTTCAATTGATTTATTAATAATATCCATTTTCATATGTTCATAATCAGGTATAAGACGACGAAATGATTCTCGTCGACGTAATGATATAACACATGGACTTGAATTTTCAAGTTTAGCTATTAAAGAACTAATACAGAAAAATTCTGCTTCATGTAATACATCTAATGCAATCGATTCTGTTGGCATTTGATTACAACGAATATAATTTAAAATATGACTAAAATTGAAAAACAAAAACCAAATCATTCAAAATAAAATTTTCATTTAAGATTAATATATACTGATAAATTTATATAGAGTATAAAAAGAATAATTAATCATTTCTTTTTTTCTTTTCTCATTGAAAAAAGAAAAGAAAATCTTTAGAGAATTATTTTTAATAAAAGATTCTATATTTTAATTAATTAATATCTTTACTCATTATCTTACCCAAAAAAACGTCCATCACGATCAATAAATATACGTCCAGTTTTATCTCGAACTAGATTATATCGTCCACTAAACATAACTGCTAACATTGAATCTTCATATTTACGTAATGTCGATAAACTAGTTGTATAATAAAAACCACCAACATTAAGATCAATTACATTTGGAAACTGAAATAAAAAATAGGAGTAACTTTCGATGTTTACATTAACAAGACAGAAAAAAAAAAAAAAACTCTCGGTACCATAATATCATGTTCACTTTTTGGTAGAATCACAAGTTCCAATGGTAGTGTTTTTTGTCGTGATGTTTGATTTGTAGAATTTTGTTCATTACTTAATTTTGATTGTAATTGAATTTGAATTTTGTCGGTCGCTAAACCATTACTATCATTTACTTTAGTTCGTACCATAAATGTTTCATTCATTTCACTAATTATTGTACATCTAGAAAATAAAACAAAGCTAATCAAATTTTATTCAATGTTAAACTCATAGTTTTTAGTTTTTTTTTTCTTTTACTTTATTTGAAAAGAACTAAAGTGACACAAATGGATGACAACAGGAAAGAAGAAAAAAAGAATAGCATAGATGATGGTCACTGTGCTATGAATAGAGAAAGGATTTTTTTATTGTTGTTTGATTTTTTTTTCTACCAACTATTTATTTCTTTTTCTATGGATCACATGAAGTATTTATATGGAGCTGGGATGCCTTCACTTCGTCCAGGTCGATAACCAATAATACTACCACGACCAATGCATTCACCAATATAAAACCAAAACATAACTTCAAGACCAACGAGTGTATTTAAGGTTAATTGCTAAATTTAATAAACAAAAAGAATAAAGAAAATACTTGAAATAAAAAATTAAACATACTTTAACAGTCAAATGACGCCAAGCACCTGTTGAAGCTGATTGAACTATTCGTTGAATACTTTGTTGAATTTGACCGAATTCATTTGGCATAGGTGGACGTAATTCAACACGAGCAAAATACCAGAAACGAGTTAACTTTGATTGTCCATAACGTGCCGCAGCTAGAAAAACGAATCATTTTATTGCAGATATGAACAAAAAAATTCAACAAAAAAAACCTACGAAGTGCAAGCTTAGGTACAAGATTTGTGACACGATTGACAATAGCAGCCATCTGTAATGGAAATAAACAATTTTAGAAAAAGATCTATTGAAGAATTTAAATAAAAAAGACAACAACAAATAATTGGATATACATAAGAAACAAAAAATACATAAAATAGAATCGAATTCCATTTGTTATGTTTAGTTGACTCCTGTTTGGCAAAAGACTGATCAGATGTCGCGATTGTATGGAAAAATTTTCTACGCCATATGATAGATGGATGTTTTTTATGAGTCTTTTACATTTCGACTGCTGCCGGTGTAAATCTCATCAATAGTCAGCATATGATATGATTATAATTAATGACAAAATGATGAAATTTTCATCAGCAAAGTATTCTTTTCTATAAAAAGAAAATTTCTATTTGTTAGCATTTTAAATGGATCATCTTGTTTTTTCTTCGAAATTAAATGAGTAGTAGGGATCGACATTTTATTTTGTTTTTTCAATGAAGTATTTACTTTATACTTTATGAATCATCAGCATTTTTTTTTTAAAAAACCAACTTCCTAAACATTCGAAAAACTACGTGGCAAATACGTTGAATCATTTCATCATTTTCATGTAATACATATATATATATATATATAATTACGTCTTTCTCTATCCTCATTATGGTAAGTGAATTATTCTGAGTTAATTAGTAAGAACGAAATAACAATAAAGTGGTATATTTGAATTATGAATCAGATAGATTCTTCAACAAAATCAAATCAAATGGATGTATCAAAATTGAAGATAATAAACGATTCATCAGTGGATTATGATGTGACTTCTCCTCGATTTTTTGTTCATAATATTGAAGAACTTCAACAAGGTATTGAACATCTCAATGAACATGGTTATGCTATATTTAGCAATATACTTACCAATGATGAAGTTAATAATGGTGTGGATTTATTATGGAAATATTTAGAAAGTTTACGACATCCATATCATATACAACGTAATAATCCAGAAACATGGGATAAACCATGGTTAGTTTAGTTTTTTTCTTCTTTTTTATAACAAGACTTATTAAAGATTTAAACTTGGTAAAAATTTAGGCCAGGAATGCCTCATGTTGGTCTAGTGAATGATGAAGGTATAGGTCAATCTGAATTCATGTGGTTTCTTAGAGGAAATCCTAATATAAAAAAAGTTTTTTCTCATATTTGGAATTCTAATGAATTATTTGTTTCTTTTGATGGAGCTGGTTGTTTTCGTAATTGGCATCTAAATATAAAATGGAAGACATCAAGTTCTTGGTATCATTGTGATCAAGTAAATAAATTTCTATTTTTATATATTAAATTATATATTTAAGTTTATTTTAGAATCCATTTAAAAAACCTGATCGATGTTCAATACAAGGTCTTGTTTCATTAACTGATAGTGATGAATCTACTGGTGGTTTTGTTGTTGTACCTGATTCACATAAATATTTTAGTGAATTAAAATCCAGAACTAAAGAACGTCTTTGGGGTGATTATGTAACAATTCGTAATCAAGATCCATTACTTGAAAAATTACATCCTCGTTTAGTTAAATGTAAAGCAGGCGATCTTATTGTTTGGGATTCTCGTTCTATTCATTGTAATACACCAGCAATTGTTAATAAAGAAAAAAATAATCAATCAGAATTATTACGTATTGTAGCCTATATATGTATGAGTCCATTATCAATGTTTGTACCTGAGATGGATGAATTTAAAACTTTAGAAGAATTTCGTCAATTGAGAGAACAATATGTTCGAGATAAAGCAACATGCACACATTGGCCCTTAGAACTTATTGGCGATCGTATGTATTAGATAAGATTTATTGAGAAAAAAAATCATTTAAAAAAAAAGAATTCTTTATATAATATTATAGGTCAAGAATTATTACATTATGAAAAAAGTTCTCTCAAACTAAATTCATTTCAACATTCTCTTATCATAGGCACACATGTTGAACCTGGAAATGGAACAACAGAAATCAACTTTTAAGTGATTATGCTTACAAAATTGAACAGAATTTTTCATTTTAAATGACGAAAATAAAAGTACTGCGATACTGATTGTTCTTGTATTTGTTCAGTATATTATGTGTCGAGTGTTTCATATAAATGTGTTGTATGAGTTACAACGCTTTCACGAGGAGCACTTGGTACTGGTGGTACACGATAAGTTGATACAGAACCAACTGATTCAGATGGTGCAGTATACAGTGGTGGTGCTATTTCATCGTTAGGTTGAATCGGAGGAAAAAATGACTTTTCAAGTGCATAACGTGATGATTTTGATGATTTGCTTGTAGCAATTGAAACACGTGGTGAATCAGATGATGAAGGTTTATATTTTTCTCCTTGCGTTGATAAGGTATTTTTTGCCGATTTTTTTTGACGAGAACGATAAATGCAAAAAATTGTCGTACCAAGAATAATAATAGCTATAACAAGACCACATAATGCACCAATAATAGCACCAAGATTTATTGAATCATCTTTTCTTATTGTTGATTCTGTTGTATTTGTTGGTCGATTTAACCAGAAACGATTGTTGAAAAAAATATATAGGTAACTTTCGTTGTAGAAAAATATATTGCCAGGATTCATTGTACTGCCTGTACATTGATTTTCATATGAAACAAAATCACATTTTTGTGCTGCATTAGCCCATCGTTCACAGTCATCATAAGTATTTTTTGGAGGACATTTAATATCTTTTATTGTTCTTTGATTAATAGCTGCTATATAAATTTTGGTACATATATTATCTTTTGATCCATCGCCATTATCTAAATCTATAATCGGACTTTTCGGATTTTGTTGAATATTAATACGAGTAAAAATACATATGTCTTCTTTGTCCAATTCGAATGTGCCTTGTAATTTAATTTGCTCTATAGCATTTAATTTATTGAAAAATTTTGATGGAAATATATGTAAATCTGATATCTTATTAATTGTGAAATATTTAACAAGTGGTGAGTCTTGTATCCACTCAGTAAAATCCGATTGTGAATATGAATCCAGTTCCAATAATAAATTTCGAAGTTCTTTTTGCTTTTTAAGATTTTTTAAACAAGATGAATTAAGTTCTGGTTCAATAAGAGATACACTTATTAATGTTTGAAGATTTTCAAATGTTGTAGGATGCTTTGGTAAGGTGAAATCAAGAGGTATATTATTTTTCATATCTAATGATATATTATAGGATCCTGAAGACATTAAAAATTGTGCCGATTTATTATATTTGCATTCTTCAATAAAATATTCTTTTAGTGAAGGAAATTTATTAAGAATTCGATCAGATAAACGAAGATATTTTAATGATAATCGATTAGTTTTAATAAACGATGGCATTTCTGTATCACTAACATTAAAATGATGATAATTACCAGAAATCGTTATACTTGCAATATTTGTTAATGGACGAATAAGATTATGTAAATATAAAGTCTATGAAATAGATAAATAAAATAAAGTAAAATATATTCATTTAATAAATTAGTTATTTATATTTTCTTACTCCAGCATTAGTAGTTCGTTCAAAAATAAGTTCATAATTAGCAAAATTCATTATTAATGAACTTGAAGGATCATCAAATATTTTAAAATCATTTGAATTCATTATATTTTGTTTTACACTAATACCTAAGGTACTTTGCGGTGCTATGACACTACTAGTTGTTGTAAATAATGGTAATGCTTGATTTGATGAAAGAACAAAGCGTACGTCAATGCGAGAAGCATTTGTATTTATAGTTAATATTTGAAGTGTATGACTATCACTTTCATCAGTAGGTTCTATAGCAATTGGTTTTATTAATGGTGCGATCAAGTTCAATTTAACGTTTCCGTAATACTGAATTTTGATCGAACTGTATCCATTTGAACTATTGAAAGTTGTATCCACGAGAGACGTTGTGTTTGTAGCAATACATATTAAAACATTATTATTTATATTACATATAGATGTCTGACAATTTGATGATAAGATTAATATAGTTAAACTGAATACGAATATAAAGGATAATGTTCGTTGCATTCTTTCTTGCACAACTTATTTTTGCAACTATATGCAGAAAAGTAAGTTATTATGCGACATAAATATTCTTGCTTTGGTTGTCATCATCTTTCTCTCTCCCTCCCTATTTTTTTTTTCGATAATATAGGTGGCTGCAATATTTACTTAATACAAAAAAGAATCGAAAACCAAGCTGTTTTTTTTCGGTCGAATTCGTTTTCTTCTCTTCACATTTATGTACTTAGCATTAAAGAAGTGCTTGTTTTTCTTTTTTTGTTCTCATGCAATGGTAGTGCAGTCAAGTATACAAAAACTCAATCGAACCGTTGGAGAAAAAAAAAGAATTGAAAATCATGACATAAACCAATGACGACAGATTTCAACTGCTAAAAAAACAAGAATAGAAAAAATAAAAATTACTATTTGCTGTTCAAACAAAAACATAACCTGTCAAAAGATTTTCACCAATCGATGCATTTTTTGATCAATCTTTTTTCTAATGATGTGAATTATATATTAAAAAAACAATTCACCGGTATCGTATAAGAGAAGAAAAAAAAAGAAAGAAAGTAGACATACACATAAAAAGAAAAAAAAAAAACAAATGAAAATTTACAATGATGATAATTGGTATTGTGTATCTGTTTGAATTACTGTTTTAGCTGTTTCATCATCATTGGCTGATACATCAATACTTGTAATCATCGGTAAATCGTTTTGTGTTGTTTCACTTTCCGATGTACTTTGTGTTGTATACTTTGGATAATGTCTTAAACTTCGTCGAAACGGTGAATTTGTTGTTAATGGACAATTACGTGATGGTGGGGTTGAAAATCGATATTCATTATTCATTCTTGCATAGTCTGATATACGTCGTTCTTGATCATTACTATTTTGTCGTATTGATAAAATTGAAAGTGTATTTGAATGTGATCGAATCTGTTGTTGTTGTTGTTGTTGTTGTGGTTGTTGCTGTTGTTGATTAGTACGATGATGAGTACGTTTTAACTTTGATTTCATTTTTGTTTTCCATGGCATAAAAGCAATATGAACATCATTTTCTGATTGAGTCTTTTCTTTAGTACGATGCGTATGAATATTTTCTTGACTTTCACGATGTAAAGCTAATAAACTTCGACGAACTGTATGCGGTATTAATCGAGGATCAAGTAATTGTTCATCTGGATTTTCTGAATTTTTTTGTAAATTTTGTGGAACAGTTAAAGATATATTACCATCAGAATAACGATTGGACCGAAGACTATTTGATGGTACACATAAATGTTGTGTTGAACAACTTGTTTCATGCATACGTGAACCATTCCAAGATGAAGATAAACTATTTGGTGTAGAGATATATGGTATAGTAAGACCTGTTGATAAGCGACCACTTTCTACGAATAAATAAAAAAACAAATTTATTTTAAAATCAAATGTTCATATTAAATTTCTTTTTTTTTTTCAAGTATTTTATTGAAAAGATGTTGGTTTTTGAAAGATTAGAATATATTTTTCACGTAAATTTGTACAAAAAGAAATATCTCAGACGACAAAAATATCTTTTGTAAAAATATTTCAGTTAACTTTAAAAAATACATTTCGACACTTGATATTTGTCGAGAATTTTTTTTCAATCATAAGTTATTCAATATTGTATAAAACCCATAAAAGCAGCCACTACAATTATTAAATTGAAAAAGTATCGACAACCAAAAGAACATGTAGAGAAAATAATTAAATGTACTTATTTCTGAATCGAACCATACTAAAGGAAATAGAAAAAAAAAAAATGTAGACTATTCTCGAGAGTCATACTAAATATAATAAAAATTCAATTCTGATCGTAATTTCTTGATATAATAGGACATTGGGTGGAAGAATATCTTAAAAATATATCATCAAAGGTATAATTATTAATCAAAAAAACATGACAATGTAAGCATAGTAGTTAATTAAATATCTCCTAGCTAAAAAATTTATATTTAAAAAACTTAGAACTATTGATTATTTTTCTATTTTGATAATTATTATTATCATAGTTTTTATAACATTTGATAAAAAATTCTTGTCTGTATCCTTCAATGGACTTAATTCGATAAAAATAAAAACATCAACTAATCATTAGGATTTTGAAAGAGACAAAGTCATCACATAAATTAACTTTACGAGTAAAAACGTCTCGTCTCTTTTTCTTTTCCAATTCTATAGTCTGATGATTGTTGAATAACATTCTGTAATATATAATTTGCATTATTAATGATATAAACCAGACCAAACCTATTATAGTTTTTCTTGTGTTAATTTTGCGCATTAGCAATATTAATGAAGTTTTTTCCTAGATCATATTCGTAAAGATATGATTTATTTCAATGAATTATTTCTAAATTACGATCATGACTCATAGTCTAATTTTCTTATAGACATACTAGTTAGTTCTTCGAGTATATATTTAAAAAAAAAGGATCAGAACGTTGTCGGTATTCTTTTCTAATACTCAAGACCATCTATTTAATCAGATAATTGAATTCTATAAACACTTCTGTTAGAATTTTGTTTATATTGAAGATAACGTTGGTCTCTTATATTTGTTTTTCATTTAGTTCATTGATTGCACTATAATTAAAAATATGTTTTCTGTCATTTATTGATATTACTATAAACGGATCATTCTTAAAAGCTTACTGATTGGAAAATCTTTACAGAAGTAAAATATTTAATCCTTGTTTTTTTTTTTTTAATATTCTTTGAACATAAAAAAGGGATTAAACAATGAGCTCATGATATAATCTCTAAATAAATCAAATATATTCAAAATCATCTGTTTTTTTTTTGTTACCTGTTCGATTAACATAAGATATGTAATCGGTAGGTTTATTAGTGTCTGTTTCTAATAAAACACTAGGTTCCAATGATGACGGTGATAGCAATTGTTGTTCTTCAGCTAGTTCATTATGCGTACTTAATGGAATGTAAGGTATTTGTGTTAAAGATCCTGGTGGATTATACAAAGATATTGTTGTTGATACAGGTATATTTGCAGTAAGATTTTCTCGACTAACAACAAGAACTCCTGTTGTTGTTGTTGTTGTTGTTGTTGATGATGTTGTTGTTATTTTTTTTGGTAAATATTCTTTAACATATTGCATAGTTTTTAATTCATCACGATTAATATGTGAATCAGGAGCAGTTGAATAACGTTTTTTCTTATATATTATAGAATCTTGTTCACGTGTAACTATTTTAATATCTCCTATATTTAGTGGATCTTTTCTATTAACACAATAATGTACTTGAGTTTCAAGACGACGAAGTGATTTATATTGATTTAAACAAAATCCAATAGCTGAAAGCCATATTATTAAAACAAAAAATATTAACAATACTTCACTCAACATTATATCAGGTGCCGTACTGACAACCGTAGTTGGTTCTAAGAGTAATAAAACAAAATGAATTCTTTTATTAGCAAAAAAGAAAAAGAATAAAACAAATCTAAATTATCTTACTTGAATCTATGATATCATCAACACATCGACATGTATTTGAATTTTCAAGTAAATGACAACGATTATGAGTTAAATTGGCTAGAACTTGACATAATGCAACAATAGTCAAGTCGCTCATTCTTATTAAATACGTTTATAATACTATTCTTTTGTTGACAATAACACATGATCAATAGAACAATAATTTTGAAAATAAAATAAAACCTTCTGTTGTTCGACGATTAAAATTGTTGGACAACAGTAGTAATTAATTGAAAGATGTTTTTAATCTTATCATACATTCTGTCAATGAATTTCTTTATAGAAATAGTGAATACATATCTAAAATAAATAGAAAAATAAATGGAAAATATTCTAGCCACTTTTCTCATTAGCACATATCGAGGACATGTCTAATCACTCAAACATTTCTTTCATTCTTACCATAAAGATTAAAATAGCAAATAGATGTAGAAGAACAAGCTGAAAATAGGTTCTTTTTCTATTCTATTCTATCCTGTTATGATCAAGAAAAACAGAAGAAAAACAAGAAAAAATTAAATAAAAACCATTACTAAATGGATATATATAGTAAAACAAAAAACAGACTGATGTCTAATCATTCGTATACATTAATTGTGAAACTTGAGAGAAAGCTTTTTCACATAGATAGTATCTTTTTTTCCGCATTTTTACTATTATTAGTTTCAGTATAATTAGGTTATTTCGCTGTTTTCTGTTTCTGTTCGTTTTTTTCTTTCTTTAATATTCCTCTTTTTTTTTTTAACGATTTCTTTTCCATGATAACTAAACGTTGAAGAAAAACTAAATCTTAACAACGTCATATTTCATTATACGTTGTGTTGATCTAAGAAGCGTATTCACCGAGACAGCTGGAGTGCATAATAGTAAATAAGGGGAAAAAATAATAGTTCAATTAAATAGATTAAAAATTATTATAATGGATTGAATTAAATTTTTCTTTTTAAATTTTCTTTTTCTGTTAATATCATTTTCTTAGACTGACAAATATTTACAATCATTGTCTGAAATCTACATTTCATCTCGTCTAATTTATAAGTATTTCTTTAACAAATAAACATATTATGTTGATTGCGACTAGTTACAAGTCAAACAAGCATAAGCAATTTAATATGTATGAAAAGAAAAATTGGAAAGTCTTAAGAAATTTTTTTTGACGAAATGTTCCTATAGATGAATACAAATAACCCATAAACTAAGTGTTATTTTGTGTAGGAACATACTCGTTCACATCATCTTACTTCAATATATAATTTTTCTTTTTCGAGATCAAGTGTCATGCATTTTTTATTGGTACAGTAACAGAAGAAAAAGAAATAAGAAATACTTCCATATGCACTAGTGATCATCGATATAAGAAGCTTGTTTGTCTTTGAAATAGAAAGGAAAAACAGAAAAAAATAGTTGTATTATATCTACCTTCAGTTTATTAGAAAAATGAATATGATGCATCTTCTGTGTTTGTCATCTCGTTAAAAGCTTAGACGTCTTTCTTTTTTTTCACTCTCTTTTCTTTCCATTCTTTCTCGCTTTCTCTTCCTTCTTTTTTTACTCACATTGTATTTCCGGATCATAAGGCCTTTTTTTTGTTATTAAGATGTGTTATTTTATTAGAAAAAAACTCTCTTGTATTTCCGCATTCACTTTCACTTTTGGTATAAATCCGAGAACGAAATACCTAACACTTATTACTTCATGTCATACTTACACCCATTTTGAGAATTTACTTTGTTCATCAACTAAAAACAAAAAATATCTATTGATGACAAAATCTGACTAGAAAAATAACTATATCAAGGTTTATTTATATTCTCGTTCTATATAATACTTTAACTCGTATTCAAATTTACCCATTCGAAGATAATTATTAAATAAGCATGTCTTATTCAACATGAAATCATAACTTACTTTTACTGTTGAGCAAAATCTACGGATAATATTTACTGTCGCGAGTAGCATGCCCTGTTGGTCATAATGTGAATTCTGTGAGATGTCATTGGCAACAGAGATTTGATTCTGTCATATATACTATGCTTACACACACACACACATATATATATATATACTGTTTTTTCTGAAAAGAAATATCTTGCTTTCCCAGTAGATCATCATTTTTCCTCTTTTTTTTCTACTATATTATTTACTCATGACAGAGTACCGTATCAGTAGACAGATTTTATTACCAATGATATATGCTAATGTACAGATTGATTAAAGCTTCGACAACAGTAAACAATGAAAGGAACATAACAGTTGAGAAAATTATCTGAGATTTACTTACGTAATATTGGTTTCTCTATCTCATTGTGAATTCTAAGTGAGTAAGTAGTTGAATGAATGAATGAATGAATGAATAGAATAGTTGAATCGATTAGACGAACATCGTTATTTCGCTCTTTATTGATAATCTATAAGCACTTAAGGAAACACCCAGGAAGACGAACAAAGAAAAACCATAGTGAATGTGAATGCCTCCGCCTACTTTAGAAAATAAGATCTATTGAAATTGATTTATCACTGTAATGTAACAAACCAAAACGGCATTCTTCCATTTATTTTTTATATACGAAACAAAATAAATGGATAAAGCAAGAATAAATATGTATCTCTTCTAGGAATTGGAAAAAGACAGCGGCGAAAATCAGCTCTAGATTAATGCTAGATCGAAGCTTAGAAGAAAACAAAATAGTTCGGCCTAATTTCTATGTGAAGCTAAGAATAGTGTATGTTACTAGCAAACGATCGGCACATTTGTCATCTATACGAACAATCAGAAATGGCGGACGTTCTTTAATGCAAAAGCATATATTTATTGTGTAGGTGGGTGTCACAATAGCATATAGAGTGCCGCTATCGCTTTCGGCTAATAAAAATAGATGTGAGCGCCGGTTGAAAATTTATAATACATGATCAATGGTCTTTGCTCGATGTTTTTTTTTCTTCAATTGGACCTTGAAAAACTGAGCGTTGAGTTCTTTTTTAATAAAAACAGAAAAAGTTGACGATGTACTGTGGCTTAACTATAATGTGTCTATAGAGAGAGATGTGAAAGTTTTCAGTTAATTATAGATTGATTATTACTTTTTAAATCGAAAAAAAGATTACGCTCTTAGAGTAGATTGATCATAAGCTAAAAGCTATATTTGGAAGGATATAATTGTAATAATCATCTATTCAATACAATAAATATGTTTGAATGAAACTTTTTCAATCACATTATAGAAATATATCTTGCAGTTTAGTCGAACAAAAATGAATATAGGTTATTTTTCTCATATAATTCAACTTATTTCTTTTGAAAAACTTATCGATAAAAGACAGAGTAGAAAAAATAATGACAGTTCGTTTGTCTTAAATCAACTATGAAAATAGTCTTATTTTGTTTTTTTTTCTTCCATTTTTTTTTTTTGCTAGATTACTTTTATTATAAGATTGAGATAAAGAACAAACGTAAAATTTAATACAAAAAAGAAATGTAATAAAGATTGAAGAAAACTAGAATTTTAAACGAGCTAAAAATAACTTTTTTTTTTTCTTCAGGTGAATAAATTATAACAAAAACATGTGGTTGATCGTTCTTTTTACACATTATCTGAATATTTTTTTGAGTCGATTAATGTAATAATGAATATTCAATGGTTGCATGTACTTCTCTCAAATGTTTACGACATGCGTTCAGACAGGTTTCTTTTTCTTTGACGTTAATTTCATCTTTAACTGACATACTTGAATTTGAGCTTTGATTGAAAAACATATATATATATATATAGATGCAAAATAGAAGTTTTTTTTTCTTTTTGAAAAATATTTAATAGGACATTTCTGAATAATCATTGTTATATGAATAATTACTAATTAAAATAGACACTATGAATGTTAACAATTCGACAAATGTATCGAAGATGTTTGATTAATTCCAAAGTCTAACTCATCTCTCTGAACATTATCAAATACAATGATCTGCAAAAACAGTAAACAAATAAAATTTAAATATTGCCATTTTATATACATTATAATGATAACTTTTCATGAGTACAAATAATCCAAATAAAGCTGAAGTAACTATAGTCGGACAAAATATGTCTATTTATTTAAGACAATCAATCTGAATTATATATGAGTCTTTTACCAATGGCAATAAAAATGTTTATCTAGACTAAATCTTGATAGTGATTGAGATATATATCTATAGTAGTAAATGTTTGTTGATGTGCATTAGTTCTTTTTTTTTTTTTGCATGTGACAATGTATGGATTGGATATATTCTAGAAGCAAGAGGATATGTGAATAAAAATAACAGTCATTAGAATTCGGCTGTATAAGTGCAAAGAGATGAGTAAAGAAACATATGTAGATAGATCATTTGTTTCTTTTTTTCTGCTTATCACTCTACACACATAAGCGTTTGATATGATTGATTGCACATCAAGTTGGAAAACAAGATCAAAGTCGACGAAGGCGAACAAGTTCTGTAACGGTCTCTGTTCGCCGTTGGAATGGATCGTCGTCGGTAGTTTTTTGTTTTGATTCAGTTACTGTTTGCCTAAAATATTGAATACACACACTTGCATAATAAAATAAAGAAAGGAAAAAAGAAAGACAAGAAATGGAATTAAGTCTGAAAGAAGCTTTTATGAACACCGATCGTCATCATTAACACTTCAATACGTAAATATACATATTTATTTGCCAAAGGATTGAGTATATGCACATATGAAAGAAGCTCTTCTTTTACACTAAGATGAAAAAGAAATCATACCTTGAAGTTAATCACTTCCTTTTTTTTTCTTTATAAAAAGTATAAAACAAGAAGCAGATGTGCAAGAGTTAATCCTTGAGATGAAAAGAAGACTAGCCTTGGGATTGAATAGATAAAATTAAAATAGAATATGTTATTCTATTCTTCTTTTTATTCTATTTAAGAACACAAATATTGTATCTGGTATGACACTAGTAAGGTTAAAATTCATGGCTAAATTAAAGCATCAATAACAAATTTACACACACACACACACACACACACAAGTTAATCAATAAGAAGCAATATATACAGAGATACACATAATTACGAATACTGTTAAAAATTAGAAATGACATAAAATATGCATAAATCAACTAATGAAAAGCAAGAGAGATCATGATTGTGAGACAAGTGTGATAATATTTTTTTTTATTAATAGTGTATGTTATAAGAATGTACAATATATCTTACCAATTCATTCCTTGATTAGTGTTACTACTACTAATACCAATAACTCTTCGTTCAGTATTATTGTGATCATTATAAGGAGCTTCAATAACTAATTTTCCATCGATATAATTTGATTGAAGATGGTCAATATCGGTTTTTGGTGGTAAACTAGTTGATTGAAAAAAGGATGTACACGATTTACGTGTATCAGTTTCAATTTTTCTTTCAGCTTTAACAATTAATTCACGATTTTTTAGAGAGACTTTTATATCTTCAGCTTGATAATCACTTAAATCTAAAGACATTATTAATTTTTTATCATTATTCGTACCATCGGATGTTGCTTGAACAATTTGTGGCCGAAAAGCCGATCGATGAAATAAATCAAAATCAAATGGTATTGTAGTTCCAATTGATGATTCATATATTGGTGCACCAGCTGCATTTGAACTTCGCATTAATGTTGTGTCAGATGCTGTTGTTCCAATACCACTTGTATTATTACTATCACTATAATAATTCGAACGATTCGAATTAGTTGGTAACATATTTCCTCCATTATTTTGATTAAAATTCCCATAGGAGTAATTTGATGATTCCGCTGTATAACGTATAGGTGAAATAAATGATAAATCATTTTGATTTTCATTACTGGCTAATAATGTTTGTATATGAGGCATTTCAACAGTTAGTTCTTGTGTATGTTTATTATATGAATATGTATATCGATTTAAATCGATATGTTTTGGAACGTTAAAAATTTTATGTAATTCCCGATGTATATAACCACCAAAACTATCTTCTTCACGATGTTTAGCATCAATAATTAATTGATTAAGTGAATAACGTGGTGTAACGGTAAATTCATTTTCTTGATATTCATCTGTTTTAAGTTGAATCGTATATTTATTATCTTGATCAGTAATTCGTTGATCATATGGATGTGATATTATTGTACCAGTACCTAAATTTGATGAATATCGTAATGATGATAATGCTGACATATTATTTAATTGACAAACATCAGCTTTACGTTGAATATCAGTTATTAAGCCGACTGTTGATATAGTAGACGATTGATCGTTTATACTGTCTGATGGTAAAGGTAATGGTTTGTTATTATTATTTTTGTCAGATAACAATGCAGCAAAAATTTTATTACTTGTTATTGGACCGTTTGATGTAAAAGAAGGAATAATGGGTGTTGATGTAAAAAGGTAAGATTGATTATCGTTGTTATTATTTTCGGCAGTAATATCAGCTAAAGAATATGTTGATGAAAACGAACTATTTTCTTCGGGTACGTCACTTAAATCAAAGTTTTGCTGACGAATTGATATAGAATTTGCTAATAATTGTTTCTGTTTTTGTTGTTCATCCTGTAGTTGTTCAGGTTTTCCTAATATCGTGAGTTGATTATTTTCTTGCTCACTATTTAATGGTTGCCAGTATGAATGTTGTTCGTACTGACGAGAAGGGTAGTCAAAATTTTGCTGTTCTTTGACGAAAGAAGAAGAAGAAGAAGAATGGTTGTAGATAGATAAAGGCGTATCGTTGTGAGTTGTTGGAAAGAGAAAAAGTGAGGAAGATGGTGATGACGACAAAAATCCTTTTGCTTTCTGGTCCTCTTCCAGATGCAGATGTCGTTCGTCTTGTGGAATCGTAGATGAGAAACACTTCACTAGATGCCGATCTTCCTCTTGTGTTTCTAAAGCGTCCGCTGTTTTTGCATTTGATAAATCATTTTTTTGCTCAGATTCAATTGGTATAGTCGACTCAAATAGAGGAGTCGTTGAGAAGCAATTATCGTTCAATAATGATGACGATGTTAAATTAGTGTTGAAATAATCCCGATTACGACGTGAACCAATATAAGGTCGTAGTGCAGACGATGACTGTAAAAAGTATTAAAAAAAAAAAGAAGCAAAGACTTTGATTGACTCTATTCAAATCGTTGATTACAAATTTGCGCTTGATCTCATCTGTAAGCACACAAACATACATATACGCATCATTAACAAAACAGAGTAGGAAAAAGAAAAAAATGCTGGGTAAATACGAGTCATTTGAAGGCCAATGAACTACTATTATACAGAGTTTATTAACTAAACTTTAAGTGATTAGTACTTTCTCTTTCCTTCTCTCTCTTGATGATAGATGGTCTTAATAATAGAAAAAACTTATCATTGAAAATAGTCGATTTTCATTTTGTCAATGTCAAAAAGAGGAAAGAAGACAAGCGCAAATCGCATGGGATATTCCAGTGTGCTATCAACAGATATGTAAATATTCTATTGATAGCAGCCTTATTTGCATGCATGGCACCATTATGTTTCTGCAATTCAATTATTCTTCTTCTATAGATTCTTGTTTTCTTACTTAATCTGTTTTATACACAGTGTCATTTTGTTTCTGTTATAAATATTTAATGAAAAAATGTTTTTAGTGATATTTATTTCATTTCTAATGAGTTTTGATAGTATTTGTATCATGTAACACATATATAATAGGGAAAATTATTTAGATTTTCTTTTACCTTGGTTATAACTGTAGACATCGGATTTGTTGTTGTTGTTGTTGTATTTGACAAGCGGTGTGTATGCAAACAAATGCTTCAAGTGAACTTTTACTGATGATTTAAACACTGAATGTCGTTAAAAGATCGAACCAAAAAACAAAGTAAAGTGAATATGTCTATACATATATTTCTTTTCTTTTCGCTCTTTTTTTTCTTGACAAATAATTACCTTATTTGCCACTTTTTCTGTCTCTCTCGTTTTTTTTTTTTTCTTCTACTCATATTACAAAACCGCATAGATGAGAAAAAAAAAATGATGAAATCCTTCTATGGTTAATGGTTTGTTTTTTTTATTAAAAATAAAATTTACATGTAGTGCAGATCATTTTCTTTCTCAGTTTTTTTCATTAACAAAAAATGTTGTTTGTCGGCAAGTAATTCTTTCGCGTAATTTTTCTTGCCAATCTTGTTCTGTACAATATTGTGCCCATGTGGGTATACTTGATTCAGGCAATTTTATTGAAGACATGAAATTTTTAATATAATCAACTTTATCATCATCAACAGGAAATGGTTCACTTTCTAATTTAGTTGACCAAATAGATTCATTTGTATATATTGTTGAATTTATTGTCTGAAAATTTTTATTATCATCTATTGATGATTGTAAACGAAGTGTTGCAAAACGAAGAAATTCTTCATCTTCATTTTCACTATCATCATATTTTTCTTGTTGTTGATTATTAATATCAGATTCTTGTGGTAATAGACAATAACCATTGACATTTTCATATTGATTATTTGTATTATTATTATTATTATTATTATTATCATCATCAGAATTTGTTGTTGATTCATCAGAAGCAATATATTCATGTTGTGTGTGATTTTGTGGATGAGATAATTCATCATTTGATGAATTTTCATCGTTCGGAATTTCTTTTTCTTCAGGAGATTTTGGCGATGGCGACATCATAAATACGAATCTTAAAAGAGAAGAAATAAATTTAAAAAAATTTACATTTTGATCATCTCGATTAGTATTATGTTTACATGTATTTTTATTTTTATTGATAGACAAATAAATTAGGAAAAATAAAACAGTTTTTTTCACGATTCGAAATTAAATAATTGACGAAAAAGAAAAGAATGAAACGTAGTTTTTTAGTGTATAATACACACACACACACACAGAAGAGATGAAGTTTGTAAGAATTTGGTTTGTCTTATTTTTCTTGGAGTGATAATTGAAGAACCTAAATTTAAAATATTTATAATTAAGAATAAAAATAAAAGAAAATTTTAAATAAAATAGAAAGCTATATTTAAATGAGTTCTTATTTTATTTTCTTAGTTTCCCTTTATATATTTCTTAATGATTTTTTTTTTTGGTCAATAATTTACATCTGGTATTCATTATTAGCAAACGATTTTGTTTTTAATGTTTGCATAATTTTGTTTATCTACTGACTATTTTCTTTTTAATACAAGATTAATATTTAAAAATAGGTTTTAGATTTCAAAGGTATTCTTCTTGTTATTTCTATTCTAAAAAATCCTTCGATAATGGAGACGAAAAAAGAGTTCTATTAATAAAAATCTATTTTTAGTATATATTTATTCCAGAATCACATTGAATACATGGCATGAAGCCTTAGTATATTTATAAAAAAAACATACTTTTTCAAGTTCTTCTTCTTCTTCACGTAATCGATGAAGTCGAGCTTCTTCGTCACGTTTTGATAATTCCATAGCCACAGATATATCTTGTGGTGAACTGTTACCTCCTAATTGTTCTTGATTTTGTTTTCTAATTTCAATCATTTCTGTTTCGCTTAAACCTGATGTCAATAAACTTGCTTCCAAAGCTCTATGACGAAAAAAAAAAAAGAAAACAACCAGAAATTTTTATATTATTATAAACTCAATCTTGTACCGTTGTAAATCATAATCTACATATCGATTACTAATATCCGGTCGATTTCCATGTGCTCCCGGATGACCTAAAGCTTCATATAATGTAACTTGATCTGATGAATTTTGTCCATCATTAGTTGGATTAGGTTCATTGGAATCAAGAAGACTTCTTTCAATAGCCATTTGTAATAGAGCATCATCATCCATATACATCATTGGATGATAACCTTCACCTTCGCCTAATAAAGAAGAAATAAAAAGAAATATGTTAATTAATATGTTTGATATTTCTAATAGATGAACCTTGACGACGATATCCTGCTGGTATAGCAAAGATATTTTCATCGACAGCACAAAATGAAATTGAATCTTCTTTTATTGTTGAGACACCTTCAATAGCTCTATCAATACCATGAATATTTCCAAATGTTACTTTAGCTGTAAGAACATGATAAAGTGGAATCTCTAAAAACAAACATATAATAAAAATTAAAAAGAAAATTATTTATTTTATATACGAATTTTAACAGGAAATCCATTTGGTATTTGAAGTGTAACAAAATCGCGTAGTTTTTTAAAATGTGAATTACTGAAATAAAAAAAAAAAATAATAATAAAATCATATTTCATTTGAAATATGCTTATTTACCTAATTGCCATTAAATCAATAATGGGTAGTATTTGTTCTTGAAGACTAAGTGGATATTCATCACACAAAGATATTTGAGCATTAAATGTTTGAATTTTAACATTTTCTTCACGTGGTCGACCAATATCTCGATTTCTAAGATCAACTCGATTGTTAAAATATTCTTCAAGTGTTACTGGTGATGGATTGGAATATTTTGATGAATCCTTTAAAACAAAATCATAATAATTGACATAATTCTAAATAATATTTCTATACATTTGATGGTTTAGATGTTGATGGATTGGCAGATGCTGTTGCTTTCGATGATGATGCTGATGATTCAAGAAAATTAAAAACTCCACCAAGAAAATTTCTATTTGATGAATGTCCAGCTTCGTAAGCTTTTCGATCATCTGGTGACATATGTTCAATACGAGTACGTGTCACAAGTTCAAAATTATTAGCTGTATAAACTTTACATTGATAACCATTAATATTTTCTGTTTTTTCATTACGCATTCCCCATACACCTGATTTACTTCTAAAATGAATTAAAAAAAAAAAAAAAAGTTTTTTTTTTTGTTTTTTTGTTTAGAAATTTTCATTTCACCGTTCAAATTCAATTTTATCTACATCAAGATAGACTAAAAACAAAAATCAAACAAATAGAATTCAAAAGCAAAAAAACCTAATAAACATACCAGTTAAATTTGGTGACATAAGTTTACTCTCGATTTGATCCATATTTGGTTCAAGAAGAATAGCTTCTTCACCAGGTATACTTAAATTTTCACTATAGACTGATTTTGTTTCATGATCAATATCAATCATTTTCGCATAATCAGCTAAAGATTAAATTCATAAATATTTTCCTAAACATATAAAATATGTTACCTAATAATGAAAAAATAAATGTTCGATTGCCTCGTTGCCAATTTGTACCTTCAATACCGAGTAATGTCGTATCAACACGAACATTTGGCCCTTTTTTTTAGTTTTTGATAAAAATTTATTGAAAAATTTACTATCTCATTTTAATCTATTTTACATACCACTTTTATAAATTTTATAAGTATCATTTGGACAAAGTTTTGAAACTAGAGGAACTAAATAATATAATATAATTATTTTATAGTTTTTTTTTTTTATTAATATCTATTTTTACCCCAACTAGAAAATTCCCATTTCATTTCAACATAAAAATCTAAAATAAATATTTAAATCATAAATAGATAACAATCAACAAATGAATTCCATTTTCAAATACCTGGCGACTAAAAACAAATACATATACAATTCAAATTATTTACAAAGGAAAAAAAAAAAGATTTATTTTATTCTACCTCTTTTAATTTTCGTAATAATTCTGGAATACCACGAATACGTTGAACATTTCTTTGATAATTTCGATATTTCATAATAAGTTTAACTAATGATGGATTACCATTTGCTATAGCTTCTTGTAATACTAAATAAATTCATATTAATAGACAACTATCAAAAAATAAAATACAAAAGAAAAAAAAAGCTTACAATTCCATCCATCTTTTGAAACAACATTACAATCAGCATCATTCTGTGCTAATAATCGAACTGCTTCGATACTACCCAAACATACAGCTAATTGTATTGGAGTTCGATGACGAGGATCAAATTGTTCAATTCGATCCTAAAACAAAATATTTATTTCTATAATAAACAAATTCAAAATCAAGAACATTGCATCATTTTACAGAGTGTTTAAACATTCGTTATTCTAATGTGTTATAAACATGAATTCTCTTGAGTATTTTTCATTGTTCACTGCTTTTCACAATGAACACCCTAGTGAATACGAGTCAATAGAATCAAATCAATCGAAAATTTCTTTTAAAAAAAAACAGTTACACTAAACAAAAGCTTTTCAATAATTAAAATTCTCGTTTCTTATATCACATTAACAACGAACAAACTCACTTTATTGTGTTTTATTAATTCTGCTAATTTGTCTATTTCATTATTCCATATGGCCACATGCAAAGGAAATTCCCGTTCAATATTCATATCTAAAATTCATACTACATTTTTTTATTTTCTTTTTGTTATTTTCAAAAAGAGAAAAGAAAAGACAACAACTAGTATCCATTATGTAGCAAAAATTGATTTATAAAAAAACGCATAGAAAAAAAAAATGGAATGTATACACACTCAATAATTCATATGAGCAAAAGACCAAAAAAAAGAAAATCTCTATATATACCGTCAAAGGAAAGCAAAAGAGGAAGAAAAAAAAAAACAAAGAACACAAAAAAGAAATATTCTTGCACAATGTTCCATCAAATACGGACGTATTGAGATTCACTCTTTAATAAAACGCAAATAGAATGAATTAATATACATGAATGAGTGTTGAAATATGAGATATGAATAAACCGTATCTAAATAATAATTATATAGAATTCTAATAATAAACATAAAATAAAAATCATCATAATTGTTGATTGAATTAATAATCTTGCATGACTATAATATGGACAATATGGACATTGATATGAACCACAGACCTAATACGAATAAATTTAGAAGAAAAAAAAAAGTATTCTTTCAATCAGAACAAAAAAAAACAAGTAGATTTACTTCACATATATCTAACGAAAATAAATTTCTTAATGTATATATACTTCGATTCATATTTCCAGGTTCAAACCATTCATAAGCTCGTACTTCATAATAACGTGATATATTAGCAACAGGTATCCAACGTTTAGCTTGAAATTCAAAACATATTGGATCAAAATCAACATAATCAAAACCAAAATTAATTTGTCCAGGCCAATTTTCTGCTTCACGTAAATTACGTGTATGAAAACTACGTATCATTACTTTTAAATCTCTTTCTTCAACACGATAACCTGTTGGAATTTGTATTTCAATCATAACTGAACCACTACGTGATGATTTAAGTACATTAACATTTTCTGGACGCCAACCAAGACAAACATTATAATCAATTGTTGAAAAGTTACGACCAGATAACATTGGTTGAACATCAATTGAAAATGGAACATATTGTGGACGACGAACTTTTTCATCAAATTCAACATTAACACCAACATGCATCTAAAAATAGAATTAAGAAAATAAAATAAAAAATATTGCTAAAAAAGATAAGAAAAACAAAACTTTTAGCTCCATTCCTGAGGGATTAAAATATGAAATACGATGTAGCTGTTGTCACTAACTACAGAGAGATTATTTTACTTTATTTACTTTTGAATATATTACTTCATGATACTTTGATTTAATCATTCAGAAATTCAATAAGAAAATACTTTATATATTATAATGAGATGTTATTGATATATAATCTGTGATCGTAAGGTGGTAGAATAATAATGTATTGTTAATTATTTTTTTTTAATAATATTAAACAATTAATTCAAATACCGATAGTAATTTTTGATAGGCAATGGAATTTTTTTTAAAATAATGCTTTCTATATCAAGATTTCTAAAAAGTTCGAGACGATAAGTTTTAGACAAAATACGACGAGCCCTCATTTTGTCTTCTTTAATAAAATAGCTTCGGCAAAGTTTTCAGAGACTTAAAAACTATCGTGTCCAGTTTCTTAAAAATCTGACTATTCAGATTGTATTTCATAAAAATCAACTATAACATACTTGAATAAGTGCATAACCTTTACCAAAACCATCAAGATAAACTACACCAAAAACATTTTCAACATCTCGAACTTGTGCTTCAATTAAATTTTCATCAAGAATAACAATTGGAGCATGAATATGATCAAGTGATGATGATGATGTTAAATCTATACGAATTTTATAATCAGTAATTTCAAAGCCACGTAATACAGCATAACCAACAATTGCACGTTGAGCTATACAAGAATCATATGTTGAAGACCAACCACCAATAAAATTACGCATTGATTGAAGCCATAATACTAGAAAATTTATTAGTTAAATATTTTAACTATGAAATTTTATTCGAGAAAATAATCATAAAAGATAAATCTAATTTTCTTTTAAAGAAGAATATGTTTATTTTTCTTGTTATTGTTTGCAAGAATAAATTATATGAATAACTTACCAGCTTGTTCAGCTTGTCTAACACGAGCTTTTTGTGTATAAGTCATAACAACAAATGCTGTAGCAGAAACAGCATGTGCTTCATAATCTGTTTGTACAGGTTTCGGACCATATCGTGGATTAACATTTGGCCATGTTTTTGTCATTCCTGGTAAATTCATATTTGAATAATAAATTCCATTTTCATCTAAAGTTAAATATTTAGTTTAACATATCAGGAAAAGAAAAAAGACTAACTAAATAAATAAATATTTCAAGCATTACTTGTTCGTTTATATTCATTTAACTTTGCAAAAGCTGCATCTTGTTCAGCACTATTTGTTAAATGTAATGCATATGTAACAATAGCCATATCAAATGCATCATTAATTAAACGAAAATATTTTTCTAACCACATTTTTCCACTATTAATAGCACCTGTTAAAGTTTTCGCTGATATACCACGTATATCAAGATTTAATTGTAATGCAATAACAACTTGTGCTGTTAATGCTAAATTTAATTGTTGATATGTACCACTGATATTTGTATAACGTACACCAAATTTATTTCGATCTATATGTGTTGTTAATTCAGTCCATGAACCATTTCGTTGTTGAACATGTATAAGAAAATAAGCAATATCTGAACGAAGATTTGGATCAATATATAAAGCTTTTTCTTCCCATTCAGGATAAATAGCATCACGTAATGTCATTAATGCCCATGATGTTAACCAAACAGATGATTCATTTGTAAAACCAAATTGACTAAATGAACCTTTACGCCATGGTTCATCTGGATTTTCACCTAGATACATAGCCATAAAACGAAGATATTCCATATTAGCAAATGTTAAAACTTTCATAAGTTTTTCTTGATCAAATGCTCGACCACCATGACCTAAAAACAATAGAATTTTACATAAGATAACAAATTATTGTATATTTTTAAATATTATTAACCTTGTAACATATAGCGAAGATTATAAATCATCATACCAAAATCAAATATTCCAGAATCAGCTGGTGCAGTTGTACGTTGAATTAAATTATCTGTATTTAACCATTCATCATAACCTAATAAGAAAAATGGACCAGCTACATCACCGGAAATAAATATTTCACATGTTGCTGAACCAGGTACATAACTCCAATAATTTTCTAATGGTACTATAAAACGTTGAGGTACAGTTACATCATATTCATTCATTTGTCGAGGTAAATTATTTAATGATAATACAGTTGGTGTATGATAAAAATTACGTACACCTTCATAATTAACTTTAATTATTTCACGATAAAAATCACGTGAAACACCAGTTATACCTAAATAGAAATATTAGATTAATGTTCAAAAAAATATTGTTTTTAAATTATTTCATAATTAATAAATTCGTGCTGTAAATAAAGATCAAATTAAAATGAATAATAAACATGTTTTATTTTATAGAATCATCATTGACAAGACAAAAATAACAGGTAGTTTCCTGTTGGTTATCAATTTTTTATACAAACAATCTTCTTTTTACATGCTCGATCATTAATTTAATAAGCACAAAAATCTTTTTCTTTCCGCTTTCATCATGCACACTTGTTACCAGAGATAACAAAAAAAGCAATTTTTCATTCAATAGTGAGAAAAAAATAATAATAAAAATATATATATGTAAATGCATGCACATCTTATACAATTAGAAATTTGATACCTTTGAAACTATTCATTTCATAGTTTATTGTAATCAGTCTAAAAAAATATATTATAACTATCATTATTGATATCAGACATATTAATTATGATTTGAATAAAAACAAACAAAAAAAAAAAAGGTCACGCATATGTTGGAAATGAAGAATAATAATTTTATGATCATACTAATTCAAGTGTTTCAAGCGGGACACAGTGAGCAACAATACGAAGATTAAGTGAAAAAATGAAAGTAAGCTATTTCGAGATTTCAATAAAAACTTATATACTTTGATTAACAGCTAGTTTTTTCTTAAAAAATAAAAGTTTGTTTCAGCTGCTAAATTCATTAAAAAAACTTACGAGACAATTATTACAAATGATGAATCGTTTTTGAATGCGAACTCTATATGTAAGATAAATCCCATTGAACTATGAAATATTGCAACATGATAAGTGCCTTTAAACTTTGTTCCTAGAGTTATAGCCATTTTACTAGAATTTTAGAATATGCCATATGTATCAGCAAATTTCAATGATCGTATTTTCACGTATAGAAAGATCTACTTATGATTAGAATGTTTTGAAAATTTTATTTAAAAGTAATGTTTCTTCGCAAGATATTAAATTTTCAAAATATTGGAAATTCAATATCTTGTATAGAAAACATTCTTTCGAATTGAAATTGTCAAAGCATTCTAGTCACGATTACATTTATCTGTCGACAAAATACTGTCATTCAATTTATTGGTATATACCATGCAATAGCTTACAATTCCAGTAAAATCATTGTGCGTCTCAAAGGAAGATGTAAGGGCACTTGTTCTTTTGAGACGTTTCATACCTTACTAGGATCTACCTTATGCATAGAGTTCGAAATTAAAAAAAAAAATGATTTATCAACAGACAACAGTCGCTTTGCTAGTTGCAAAAAAAAGATCAAAATTTAGCTCGTACGAAAAGAAAACATTATCTTGAGATACATATTGTCTAAAACCTTGGTTGTGAAAAAATTTATTACAACTTCATTATCATAGAAGAGTTTTGAGAGAAAAATAAAGACGTTATTGGAATCAGTATGAAAAACTACATCGAATGATCTATCGTTTGCCAATTTTTAAAAATAAAAAGTTTTTTCACAAGTGTTTAAAGTAAGGATTCACCTCAGAGATTTTCCATCGTAATTGATCTTTTTTTTTTTTTCATCAATTTTATTTTTGATTACAAGAAGGTAATATTTCTATGAAAAAAGTTTTGTCCCTTCAAAAGCTAGTCAATTTTAGCAAAACAAAACTTTCAATTGATCTCTTGACTGATCGATCTCGGGACATTTCTGTGTTTATTTTATCAGAAATAAATAAATTATTTAATCGCAAGCAAAGCATTATTAATAAAACTTTGTCATTTCTATAAAAATTGATTTTGATATAGATTAAAATAATATAAATATATAAATAAAGATTTTTGTTCTTCTATCGTTTACCTTCAATCATTACTTCTATTTCACCAGCAACAATTGGTACAAATGGAAGATATATTCTTCGTACTTCATTTGGATATAAAATAAGTAGAACATGATGTTGTCCATCAGTTAACCTTGGTGCATAAGATGTAACAACACCATTCTCATCAACATTAACAAAACGATAATTATCCGATGCATGTAAAATAATTAATGCTTCAATACGATATGTTTGAAAATTAAAAACATCGACACGTGCACCGATTTGTTCACCAAGTCGAACAATAGGTGGAATTTCAACTTTAATAAAAAATTGTCGAGTACCTTCATATATACATGGCACATCAAGAACACCAAAACCTGTTAAACGACTTATAGCAACAGCTGTTATAACCCATGTTGCAATTACATTTGGTACTGTTGCACGAAATTGTACACGACCATCTGGATAAGCAAATTGTTGATGCCACATAAAATCAAGTTGTAATGCACGTTCCCAATATGGCCATAAACGACGATATAATGGTGTAAAATCATATTGATTTGTATTTGTTACATTACCTGAAAAAAAAAAAGATCAATAAAAAAAATTTTTTTTTCGTTTTTAAAATTATCTCTTACAATTAGCTTCGTCGGAACCATCACGACAATCGAGAACACCATTACATTTTAATACTGCTGGATAACACATACCATCTGTACATTGCATTGCACCCACTTGACTACATGTCGTTTCTATAGCTTGAACATTAACATTAGTAAATAGTTGCATACCAGATGAATTAAATGTTGAACCAGCATCATAACCATACGATTGTGATGGAAAAAAAACTCTACTTGATGGTATATTCATTTCCGAATACCATGTATGTTGAAAACTTGTTGATGCATAACGATCAAATGAATATAATTCATCATAAATCTATAATTTAAAATAAAATATTTAAAAAAACAAAAGTCTTGTCTATAGAAAACAAAAAACTCAATTTACCATAACTGGACTAAAATGATTTCCTGGTGGAAATAAACGTGTTTGTACAAGACCAAGACCAGCAAATGCAACAAATGATTGTGGTGATGCATATGCTAATACTTCAATTGTATTACCCGTAAAATCTTTTCGTCGATTTATTGTTATATTAACATGATTTGTAACTGATGATGTATTTACATGAAAATTCATACTATCAGCAACTATTTCACCATCATAACGTATATAATAAACAAGTATATGTGCTGATGGTGCCATTTCACGACTAACACCAACATCAAATGTTTTTTGTTTAGCACCATCCATTGGAAGCATATTTGTAAAAATTAATCTTCCACCTGATGTTATATGATAATAAACAAAATCAACATATTGTGTTATATTAACACGAAATAACATAAAATCACCAACACGTGGTGTTTCAGTACTTGATGTTACTTGTAAATAACTATTTGATGGTGATAAATAACGTATAGCACGTTGTTCATCATCACTATTTTGAAGTTTTATATTATTATCATATAGTTCAGCCCGAAGACGTATAAATCCAATACCAGGATCACCGGATGCCAAAAATTGATGTCGAACTATACCTGTTGAATCAAGCATATAATCAGCTGGTGGTTCTGATTGACCAAGATCAGTATCTGTATATATACGAATAAATCGATTAGGACCAGGTGGAAATTTTGTACCATCAAAATTAGTAGCAGCAACATATGTCGTAAATAACATACGAGGTTTAAATACCATTGATGGACCACCAAGAAAACGAAGGCGTACACCAGGTTTATAAAATGAAACAACAGTTGTACCATTATTTGTTTCATTCCACCATGGATCATGAACAAGTGCTGTTATTAAAATTTCTTTTCCATCTAATTCAGGTACAAATTTAAGGATAGTTGCTATTGGAATAAAAAAACCAGCAACACCATTAAAATCATCAATTGTTGTTATAAATGATGGTGTTGAATGATCAAATTCAACATCTTTTAATGGATTAGCTCGTGGATCATATGGAACAGACATATCACGTGCACGAACAACAACTCGTGCATAACCAAGTACACCCATACCTGTAGAATAATTTGCTGTAACAATACCACCAATACCAGGTGTATCTATTGGTAAATAATATGGAACAGTAACATTAACTTCAAATTTTCTGGCATAAAATTCATAAAGTTCAAATGTTTTTATTGCTTCATAGCCCATAACACGACATTTTATTGACCAAATACCTTCTGGTGGTGCATCATTAATTGGATACTAAGAAGAAAAAAACGTAAGAGATTATGTAAGAGTACCCACTTTTTTGGTCATTTCTTGCTCTTGAAAAGAATGCAATCAATTCTCATAAAATTTTTATCAGAGATAGAGTACATAAAATAAGGGGATATGAGCCCTGAATGCTAGCCGCTCCGATTTTGAATCTTCACATATTGCTATTATAGAAGAAAAATAGCGAGATTTTTGAAAACGAGATCGTAAGTAGGTCCGATGTAGTTCTATGCAAAAAGTAAAGTTTCTTGAATAAATCGTAAATAGTTTTTTCAGAATTTTTTTTATCGAACATATTCCTCTGTATTTAACGTACTCTATCTATAGTAAAAATTTCATGCGAATCGATTGTATCTTTTTCGAGAACTAGACATGACCAAAAATGAGGAAGCGTATTCTTAAACTTTGTACTCTATGTAAATATTTACTTCAAGTGAAACCATGCCAGCGGTTGTTTGCTGATTTTCCCATTTACGTAAAATATGTCCAGATGGACCAATTATATAAACATCAACTGTATGAAAATAACCACTTAGATCAGGATAAATAGGTATACAACGAAATTGTACAACTGTTTCATGACGATAAACAGGTCGATCAAGTTGAATGAGTATAGTTACAGCTTTTTGTTCAAATATTAATTGTGAAACATTAAAAAATTTTTGTTCACCTGTTAATAATTTTCCTTCAAGTGTTAAACGATATGTACCACTACGAACATTATTTGGTATACGCATTACTAATGTACGTGGTATACCAATTATAAATAAATCTTCAGCTGCAGCAACATCCATATCATCATTTGATATTAAAGCTTTTACCATCATTGGATTCCATTCATCACGTAAAACAACTACACTTAATGAAACTAATTGTGCAGGTCGAATAATACGTGGACCGAGAACAATATATGATGGTACTATTGGCAATCGTGCCTGTTGTGATGTGACAATATTCAATGGAATTTGTCGACGATGAATAGAATGATTAAGAGGAACATCATTGTCAAGTTCTTCATGTTGATTATAAATAAGTAGACCATCATCATTGTCAACAAATGTATTTGTATCATTTTCAGAATAGAATGGAAAAAAGTCGGATGACTGATAAGCTAATATGGTTGTAAAAGTATTAAAAAAAAGAAATTGAAGCCATAGAATAACATTTATACGGCCCATCTGAAATAGAAATATATCAACCATAATATTACAAAAAAAAAATGAGTCAACAAGATTTAAAAATGATGACTTTCTTTTTTTTTTGAAAGGTGTTCAATCACCGTCTGTTTGTTTTTTGAGACAACCAATGAGTTTGATTTTAATGACATCTATTCTAAATAAGAATTCTTTATTTCGAATTTATAGTTTTCTTAAATATAATAATTATAGAAACAAATCTAAAAACTTTTACAAATTATTTTCTAGATATTAAATCTAGATGTCACTAAAATTTTAATAATTGCCCACAAATTGACCTTCAGAAGACGACCCTCACCTTTTCATCATTCTCTCATACACGACAAATTTTCTCAGACAATAAAATAACTTTTTTTTTTTATCTTGAAAATACAGACCTCCCTATTGTGATATAACACTGTTTTTTTTTCACAGCAAAACATTTATACAAAATTTAATTGAGAAATGAAATATTCAATAGATATTTTTCTATGATATCTTTTATGCAAATGCAATGATGTTCATTTAAAAAAAAACCATTGCACTCAAATACAAGAATTGATTAATATATAGTTTATTACACTCATAAAGCTTCGAAACTTCTTTTCTTCATCAAAAACTAACATTTATTATAAGTTTACTTTTTTTTTTTTTTGTTATTTATCAATTCGAAAATTATCTATATAAATAAATCACATGGATAAAAATCTATATGATAATATACTAATATAGTTTTTATTGAAGAAATTTCATATATTTAGAAAGATCTTATGAGAATCTTATGATGATACTCATTATAAGTGCTTAATAGAATATGATATTTTTGTAGGATTTCCTTTAATTCTTATGCCATATAAGTGTTCATTGGAAGATATCAAGTCATAGTTCAGATTGTTGTCCATTTACTATTCAAGTGACTTTACAAAAAGCAATGAAAATTATTTCTAATGCAGTCTACGTGTCACGTATGACTTGCATTTTTTCTTTTACAATAATAGATGACTCAAATTTAGCCATTGATAAATTTATTTTTATTCGAATGTTTATCATCACTGAGATTTCTCTAAAAATATACAAAACAAAACGTCAAATTATATCCTATAATATTATTTTTAAAAAAAATAAATCGTTTGAACTGCTTAAAAGTTACTCAGATAAACTTTCTGGGTGAACTTTTGAAGCACTATAATCATATGACTTATAAATTCTCTATTTTGATTTAAGATCAAACAATTACTTCTAATACTAAAAAACCAATATTAATTGTCTATATATTTCTTTAACATTCGAATTAGAGAACTAACTGAATTGAATCTAAAATTTCTATTTTCATAATTCATACATAATGTTTAAGAAATATCTAGGCATGTTATTTAAGCTAATCTTATTTAGTTGAAGACAAAAACTTGACGTTATCACATACAAAGATAGAATTCAAAAGATTATTTAAAAAGGCACAAGACAACTGATAGTTATGTCTTAAAATGTATTATTATTATTATTAGTGTTCATTCGAGATAATTTTTCTCGTTTTCGACGTTGTTTATTGATACGTTTTAAACAGATTCGAAGATTTCGAGCAAATTCAATTGTAGATTTCGTTGCAATACGATGTCGATGACCTGGATTAAGTGTACCAATATAACAAATATTTGATTGATCATGAAATACATATGGTTCAATCAATCGAGTTAGAATATCATTGTTAAATGCTAAAAAGACATAAAAAATTAAAATTTATAAACATAAAAATTTAATAATACCTGCTCGAACTCGATTAGGATTTTGTCGAATATCAAGTAATGCTCTTTTAAATGATAAAGTTGTTTTATTTAATGAATTAATTAAAAATTTTCTTCTATGTGAACATAAATTTTTTGTATAAACATATTGAGATGAAGCTAAAACAACAATCATTAATGAGCCTAATATTATCGACTGTTCTTTTTCATGAAAATTAATTTGTATTAATTGATGAATAAAACGACGACGTTTTTTTATTTGACATGCTATATAATCAATGTCATTATCATTTTTTAAATGAAATACATCATTTGGTATTAATGTCAGATTCATAGATTTAATAATACGTATTGGTGAATAATTTTGTAAAAGATCAATTATTCGATTATGACATATACCAAGTAATTTTATATAGATATCATATGATGATAAAAGACGAATTAGATCAAATGCAAATAAATCAATTAATGAATGAAGAAGATAAGTTTTACCCGAATATTTTCCACCACCAATTAAACATAAACAACTATATACAAATAATTATTAACTAGGTGTAAAAACCAGTCTCTGAATCAGTTATATTTAATGATTTCTCAATGCAATTAAAATATTATCAAGTAAAGTGATTCATAGTTATATTGGATAATAGTATTTTTAATCATGAACTTTTTTTTTTCTCAAAATTCATATCATATTATTATTTGTCAATAAAATGTAGGTGCTCCTCTAGTTTGACGATAGCCTCATCCTGACATTCTGTGATGTTTCCAACTGTCAATCAGATCAATAAGTTAGGCTACTAGATACTTCTCTAGATCAGCGAGATAGCAGCATCGATAATCTTTGATGTACTCTGGCAGTTAGATCAATTAGTGCATGGAATATCATCGATCTGGAGAAGAATTATATCTTTGAATGGATATATATCGGGTGTTCCAGGAATAATGAGCCTCCCAGTATTTTTAAGATTTCCTGTCTATTATCACTGTAAGTAAAGCTGTCTTAATTATCAAAAGAAAGCGCTTAAAATTCTCTACAAAACCATATGTGACTAGGCTCCAAAAAACAGTTTTAGATATATTTGAAAAAAGACGAAAGCTAAAGACATACAGACGGCTGTAAAATGTAAATATGTCATCAAGAATAACCGACCGCATTTTGTATTTCATATTTTAATCGCTAAATAGGTTTTATTTAAAATGCAAAATATACCATAAGATGCAGGATGAAAAGCTCTACACCCCACAAACTAAAATTTATTTTAATTGTATACCTTTTGTTTTGAAACAAAGCAAAACTCTGTGCGACTGATTTTCGCCTTTGCGAAAACCAATCATACTGAATTTGGAGTTGTTTTCAACTAAAAAATAATACAAATAAGATAAACTGTTCTTTATAAATTATAGAGCTATTCATGCTGCATCTTGTGATATATTTTGATTGTTTTGAAGAAACTACATTCGGTGATAAAAAGATAAAATAAGAAGAGGATTTCTCGTTCGTGTAAAAAAATGATTTTTTTCACAATGGCGAAAATTGGTCGCACAAAATTTTGCTTTTTTTGTAAACAAAATATACACAATTAAAATAAACTTTAATTTGTAGATTGTAGAGATTTTTATCCTGCTTCTTATGGTATAATTTGTTTTTTTAATAAAACCTATTTAGCGATTAAAATATGAAATACAAAGCGCAACCATTTATTATGGAACATTCGTTATTTACATTTTACAGCTTTTTGTATATCTTTAGTTTTCGTCTTTTTTCAAATATACCTAAAACTATTTTTGAGCCTAGTCATCTATGGTTTTGTAGAGAATTTTAAGCGCTATCTTTTGATAATAATGAGAGCTTTACTTACAGTGATAATAGACAGGAAATCTTAAAAATACTGGGAGGCTCATTATTCCTGGGACACCCGATAGTATTTATACAGATAAACGCACTCCATTCATCATTTGCTTTGATCATACATTAATCTATTTGATACATGAAAACAAAGTTCTGCGTATGGATCGTGTAGAAGCTCTCAAAAAGAGATAATCAAAACTCATTATTCAAAAAGAAATAGTGACTGAAAGAGTCTTTTCTCATTATATTTAATATAGAGATGAATAGCTTCTATAATAAAGAATAACCAGATAAATATAAAAGCTAACAACATCTATAATATACGGGGACACGTAATGTATAATAGATAATGAAAAAAAATTAAGTTGTTTGTTTTTTACTTCTCTACGAATCTCGTCTTTACAGATTTTTGTCACAAGGAATTTCTAATTGTGAAAGTTTCATACTTAAATATAAATGTACTATGATGTGTAGTTGTTAATTGCATGGTAGTTGTTGTTCACTTTTCGTATTTAATATGCGTATCTCAATAATGATTGCTAACTAGAATCTATAGAATTGGTCTCCAACTTAGCCAGCTCAAGATCTGAATTTTTTCTGCTTACCAAGTCCGAAAATTTTGGATCCGATGAGCTCTACCAGTTGTACGTCATTTAGTTTAAGCTGAGTTATTATGTTAGTTTTGCTCAATTAATGACTATTTAAGAATGAAATCATTAAGTGACTAATCATGAAGATAAGTGAAAGCTTATCATCTTCTTTTCATTTGATGGATCATGAACGAACAGGATAGGGATCGAATAGAAAGGTAAACCCTATGCAAGATTTACCATCCGTTGATTACATAAAAAATGTATTCCGAAGAGTGCTTTTCTTCGATGAAAATTGACTTTCCATCGATTATTTGGAAGAAAAGAAAAGAGAAAATGAGTAGTCGTTGCGACAATTACGTTGTGGGTGTGTAAAAGATGCAGATCCGCAATCACACCACCCACAGCCTCTTCTCTTACAAATAATCAACGGAAAATAAATCATGTAAGCCATTATAAAAAAAAAATAAAAATAATGTAAAAAGCAAAAAAAAAAAAAAAAGAATCTTTTATATTCTTACTTTCTACCATTAATTGTTAGATCAAGTAATGGAGCAAGGGTTGAATGATAAATAGTACTTATTTGACAATTTTCATCAAATGTTTGATCACATTTAAATTTTCGATTTTTAATAAATACTTGATTATCAATAGTTATTGATGGTATATGAAGAAATATAGTTTGTGAATCAACAATACTTATAATATCAACTTCTTTGAATACATTTTGTTCAAATTGTGTTAATGGTCGTTTTCGTAAACATATTTTAATATTATTATTTAGATTTGATTTTTTTTTCGATTTCGTAATTCTATCTGTTGATAATTGAATAAATTTTTCTCGTTCAGCATTGACTAAATCAGCAAAAGCCCATTTATTAACGATAGTACATGCATTTGGATCATCAATCATATCGATTTCATCAGTTAAGATAGGATATTGTCTACCACGAACTGTATTGCTTGTTGATGGATCTAACAAATATACATGCTGAAATTTACTCTGTTCAGTTTTTTGTATCGAATGTTGTTGTTGCCAATTAAGTATGGATTCAAATGCTTGTTTATCATCAATATTTTCTGATGACATAAACGAATAAAATTGATCTGTAAGTGATTCAGTTGTTTGATAAATTTGAGATGATAAATGATGACGATTTTGAATTGATGGTAAATAAAATAATTGACGAGCAATTGACGAAGGATGAAGATGAGGTCCAATAGTTCCACATTCAAATTTTTCTATTTGTGTTACTGGAAGACGAATAATTGGACGACGAGAAAGATAATAATTTGATAACTTTTGAAGATAATGTTCACCACATGATTGCTCAATACTTGGTACTATGAGCAGAAAAAAAAATATATATACAAACTTTAATATTGAAACTAGACATGGGCGACATCGACCTTTTTCTTTTAGAATTAGAATCACATCGGAATTAACAAGTATAAATTCTTTTCAGATTGCAATTGCCTTTCTCAAATCATGAATACAACAACATCAATGTGTAGTAACAAGTTAAGAATGAACAGAAGTCACAAGGATCTTTTGGATCACGAGAACAATGATTTTATTATAGGACAAGAAGATGATGAAACAAATTTTCAAAAAGGTTACTTTTCTTTTTTTTTTACTTTTGCAACCGTAGTTAACCTTCGATTGAAATGTATCTGTTTTGTTTTTTTTTGAGAAGAAACAGTGCTTTTGTTTTTAATAATGTTTAAATAAATTTCCGAACGACTAATTTAACTCTTTGTAAGAAGATAAAGAAGAGTTTTATTGTCTCTCATGACAATGCTTTGGATTCCAATATTTTTGTAACTTGGAATAGGAATTGGCTTTATTATTTTAAGAATTGTACCAAAATCGGCAGACTTCAATTGTTTTTTTTTCCTGTTAGAATCGTCTATACCTAACAAAGATGAGATCGGTTCATTTTTCTCTTGGAAACGAGCCGATCTGATCTGATCTTATCTCTGATCCCTAATCGAGACAAATGAAAGGGAAAAAAAAGCAAAAACTTTACATCTTGAAGAATCTACAGTATAAGTTTGATGATCAGCACGTGCTTTTAAGTTCAAAGGCATAAATTTTGAACCATCAATTATTCGATTTTTATTTTGCTTTTTTTGTTGTCGTTTATGAATATTTGTTTTTTTCTCATGTTGTTCATTAATACTTAAAATTTGACTAATATCTTCATGACTTTTCATCCATACATCAGATCCTTGTTCAGTATCATATGCTAATTCTGAATTTGTTAATAAAGAATTATTTGTAAATTTGATCTTTGATCTTTCAATATTTTGTTGTTTTCGATTTAAAGATATCATTGATTGATTTTGTGATGATTGTGGTGTTTTTTTTCTTAATATATTATGTTTAGAAATCGAATCAATTTTTGACATTAATTTATCTTTAGAATTATTTTTTTCATTTATTTTTTTCAATGATATAACTTCTTCTTGATCACTTATTATTGAATGTGTACTACGTAAATGATCAGTAATACCTGTATTACTTGAAGATATACTAACATCTGTAATAGATGATGATGTATTTGGTTTGGTTATTTGTAAAGAAGTAGAATTTTGTTTGATCGAAGATCGTCTTAGTAAAAGTTTCGGCATTGATGATGAAGGTTTACTATCACGAATTAATGTATTAATAATAGATGCTTGTTGTTTCGAATTCAACTGATGAGGCTTATCATCTGCTACTCTTCTTACTGATTGTGAAGGTAATTTTTCATTTTTAATTTCATGACGATAGTCAAATGTTCGACTTGAGAAAAAAAAAACACATGAATAATTGTTATAGTCTGAAGAATTTATTAAGAATTGGAAAAAAAAATATTTACTTATTTTGCTGAACAAGATTGGATGAGGAGACTTGTTTTGGTCTTGAAATTTCTTCAGATGTTAAAGGTAATACATCATCTAATGTCGATTTATTGCTTTTACTTTCTGATGAAGACATCCAAGGTTGTATATCTTGCTGTCGTATATTAACATCGACAAAAGATGATGGTAATATAGAATTAGTTGTCGAAGTTATTAATCGTTGCTTTATTTTTATTGGTGAAGATCGATCCATTTGCTTAGTATCTGAAGTAATAATCGGTGACGAAGAATGTTTTTCAATATTAATAGGTTTTTGATCGTCAAATCGATCTTGATTATTGTTGTCAAGTTTACTAGGATATGAAGGACGAATCTAGAAAAGATATTGTTCTTTTTCTATCGATAATTATTTTGTCTTGAGTACTTGATCAAGTGAATTCTTTATTTCACTATTGACATTCATCAATAATTGTTTATTAGAAAGTGATGGTGCTAAATAGAGAATGTTGTATCAATTGAAATATCTATGTTATGCTTACATTGTTTAACTAAGCTTTCATTTTTTAATGATTTTGTTTTTTCCAATGAATGATTGTTATCTTGATGACTAAAAAATGAAATTGCATGAATAGATTTTTGACCTATATTCGATAAAATAGACTTTTCTTCAATTTGAAATGATGAATGTATACTTGGATGATCTTCTGACTTTTCATATCTGATAGTTGAATGCTTTGAAAAAGAATAAAACATCAATCAAAATCTAAATGATAAATGAGTAAGTTATTATTTACCTCTGATTTAGCAATGCTTTCAAAATTTATATTAGAAGTACTTTCATTTGAAGAAGATTTTTCTTCTATAGTATGTTGATTTTGCGTCTTATTTGATTGATTTTCTCCCTCAAATGTTGTTGACAATAATGTACTCGAAGATTCTGTTTTCTCAGACATAGATTGAAAGTTATTCTCAAATGGTTGTATCGCTTGACTGTGAATGTTATCATCAATAATAGTTGATAATAGAAAAGTAGGAGGTATCGAGATAAGTGGTGCTATGAAAATATCATATTCAATCAATCAAATATAAATCATCTATTTTCAATATTTAGTTTTCTATTTTTTACTTACTTTGAACATTTTCAATGACGATTTTAGATAGAGAAATAGTTCTATTAATTGTTGATTGTGCATTTGATTGTTGATTGTCCTGATCTTCATTAATTAAACTTTGTTTACTTCTTAACAATGATTTTGATGTATGAACAGTATTGTCAAACATGCTTGATTCTTGCATGGACGAGTTCGAGAGTAATGATGAATCTACTAGACAAAAAGAAAGAATAAAATCTGAAGTTATTTTCCTTCAGAAGAATATTCACTCTTACTGGGTTTATTTTGTAACATATCATTATTATGACTTGAGTTGTTTTTTAAATCTTTTTTTGATATATCATCAATCAGAAGATCATGTCCACTATACATAGAACTTATAGATCTTTTATCGTTATTATTATCGTCTTTTGTTGTTGCTTTTATGAATGATGTCATCGATCCTATTCGTAAAACATTTAATAGATTAAAAATGAGTTAAAATTTTAATAAATGTTTCTACTAGATGGTTCTTCAGTAAAAAGACGTGAAATACTAGTATGCTTAACCATCAGATCATCTTCTTTGGATGTATTATTAATACTAATATACATATATAAGAAATCATCTTTTCAAATAAAATATAATTCAATTTTTACGTTGTAGTAATCGAAGTTGGTTCCAATGATGAAGGTAATGATGTAGTGATGTTTTTGTATTTGATATGTTCAATTTTCTAAATAACCAAATGACATAAATAAAGTCGAATAGTTCAATAAATATTTACTGTAGTTTTTGATGGAGAAAGTACTGATTTTACTGATTGTTGTGTAATATTATGATCCACTAATAGGATAGTAGACTTGTGAAATTCATTAGTAATAGCATTATCTATTTTATCATTTGATAATTTTTTATTTTCAATATTCTGGATTGATATGTCTTTTACAATATTTTGATTATGTGAATTGGTTGGTGAATGTTTCTTTTCTTCATTTGATTTAAGAACATTATTGGATATTGATTCTTTATATGAAACAATACTGTTTTGATTATTCAAGTCAGTCAGAAAAGAGTTTGATTTTATGTCGTTAGATATATTAAAGTATTGTGTTGAAACTGGTAACTGAAGTTTATTAATTTCATTTTGGTGATTAAATACTGTTGAAGTAGTTATAGATGTATGTTCATTGAATAGTTGTGCATTAGCATGTGAAGATTTCGATGGTTTTTCAATGTCTATATGAGGTTCATTTGTTTCTATTAAACTCTACAAACAGTAAACGAAAATTAAGATGTTTTATTTTGTATTAAAGTATTCATTACAACTGCAGTTTTAAAAGAGTACAATCAATAACTTACTACATCTTCATGATTATCAGAAGAAAATGATAAGACAGATTTAGTTTTGACTTCTTCTTCTTGATCGTTTGATAACGATGAATCTGTATTTGTTTCTGGAACATAATCAATATCAGTTTTTGATAGCTAGAAGAATAAAAACCATCTCGAATGATTCAAACTTATGAATAAAGTCAAAACTAAATCAAAAAATCTACCGCTATATCTTCTGATACAAATACCGGTGATATTTTGTCTTCATTTTCATTATCGTATAATTCCTGTGGTGATTCAAATTTTTCGTTACTTTTCAGTACATTTGTCGAGAGTAACTGCTTTAAAGATACAGTATCTTCACGTATTTGAAGTTGATTTAATTGCTCTGATAAGTCCATATCTGAAGAAGTTGAAGATCGATCGATTATAGATGGTGTTTCATCATTAACAACTGATGAAATAGATTTTTTTTCTTCATCAACATGATTAGCATGTAGGGTAGTAACAGAAGAGGACTTCTGAAATGTATCATTGAAATCATAATTTAAATTTGAAAGTTCTCTATTGACGTGCTTAATATTTTTCTCGTCCGGTAATGATATAAGCTGATCATTTAATTTTAAAATTTGTGTCGAAGATATTGCTACATTCTTTTGTAATAGTTTTGTTTCAGCTACTTGAAATTGTTCTTCAATCATAGAAAAGATTTGATCAGGAATGATGATTGACATAGCATATGCTTTTTTAAGTATAATTACATCTGTTACATATTGTGTATTATGTTTGTCATCAGTTGTTTCAATCATATTTGTTGTATGTTCATGAATAGATATAGATGATTTCGAACCTTCATTCAATGATAATACTTGTTCATCTATTTGTTCCATAATGATAAATTCATTCTTGTGCTTGTCATCAATCTTTGTTTGATCAGTAACTAATAAAGATGAAGAAGTTAAAGAGATATCTATAAAAAAAAATTTGTTCATTTGAGTTTGTATTTAAATAATTTACAAGTAAATTTCATTTAACACTTACTCGATGTTCTACTGATGTTGTTAGATATTTTTGAAAGTAAGGAATCAAGCCATTGTTTTTGAGATTGATCATCATATAATTCATCATCTATTTTCAACAGTATGTTCGATGTGTCGTTTAAATCATTTTTACTTGTGATTAATTGTTCGTTTAATTCTTTGATTGTTAATGAAATGTATTTTGGTGAACAAAGAAATTCTTGTCTTAAAGATTCTGTTGATCTCTTCTCATTCGAAACAGTATATGGTATAGGACGGCATCGTATAGGACCAGCTGTTTCTTGATATTCTGATATGTTTATTTGTTGTTTTAAATTGAGATCGATATTAGATTGAATAATTTGAGATGAAGATTCAATAGTTGGTTCAATATTCTCATTAATTGATTTTAATGAAGCTATAATATAATTTGATCAAACAATTTAAATTATCTTAATAGACAAATGAAATTACTTTGACTATCAGATGAAATCATAATCATGTTTGAAATATGTCGATTATACAATGAATCTTCATTGTTGATTATAAATGGCAAAATAAGTCTTTGATATTCTTGTAACAGATTTAATGTATTAAATATTTCTTTATTCGAATTCTGAAAATGAATTTCTTCTAGTTGTGATGCAATAGTTAGTTTTTCATTATTTAAGAGTTCGATACATTTTGTCATCAAAATTTCCATACTATCTGGTTTATGTAAATTCGATTCGAAGATAATATCAATCAATTTATTTAGTTCGAGTGGAGAGTTTAAAGAATGTAAATGAAGATCGGTATGGTCGATAGTGTCAAGAACATTATGAACACGTTGCAATTCATGAATAGATTGCTCTTCAAGATTTGTCAAAGGCATATCAATTGAATTATTTGATGATGTAATTTTCGTAGTTGAAGAACCTATTGAATTGAATGTTTTTTTGTTTTTTTTCGTATTATTTGTTGACGTTTTTAATAGAGAATTTTTATTGTTTTCTTTACTTTGTAGATTATGAAAACTAGATGTTTTATTAGTTTGTAAAGTCATAGAGTCGATTACTTCTTGGCTTTGATTTGGTTTTTGTTCAGTAATAATGATAATATTATCACTTTCAGAGTTATTATCATTATTTTTTTCATTTTCTATGATTGTTTCTATTCAACAACAAGAATAAGAAATATTCAAAATAGTTTCTTAAAATGTAAAAATGAAAATAAAATTTTCCGGGTGATACAGTAATCTCTTATTACACAAAGAACTAACCTATATTGGCTATAGATTGATGTTTATTTATAGTAGTAGTTGGACTAGAATTTACCATTATATTTACATGTTCTTGATCAACAAATGAATGTAATGATAAATTTTGTTCTTTTTCATTCGTACTCAAATCATTAATGAATTTATTTTCCATTGATTTTATTTGAATAATATCTGGTTCGATACTAGATGATTTAATTAAACTAATGTTCAGAGAAGCACTAGACGAACTGGACTTATTTCTTGTTCCTTCGATTGTAGATCTTTGATCTTTGTTATTAAAAGCCGATGACAATTCATTTGACATTACTTTGCTTGCCTATACAATTTGAAAAATTTATATTTATTAAACAATATTTTATTTAAATAATAAAGAAAAATCATTTACTGATATTGAAGTTGAAGGACATGTCATAATTCTACTATTACTACTCGTTTTTTCGTTGGATTTTATTGACTGAAATAAATTAGTTGACTGAAATGGTGCAGGTGATACTGGTTTCGTTTTTGTTGAAGGAACAACAAATGCTATTTTTGATGGTGCAGTTTTTGCTTTTGATTGTTTTACTTTTGTATTGATATAACTAAAAACATCTTGTAAACGATAATCATCACATTGCATTGTTGTTTCTGCTGCTTCATGTAATAATCGTTGAATTTCATCAGCTGAATGACCTTGATCGAATAAACGATCAATATATGGTTTCCAAATATGATCAGGTGATCTTATTGATTGACGATTATGACGTTTATCAATTTGTCTGACTGTTACTGCCATATCCATTGTACCATTACATTCATTTTGTTTTCTTGAATTTATATTTGTATGATTAGATTTTGTTGTTTTAAAATTATTTCGTAAATATGAATGTTCATCAATATGTTTTAATTGAGACATTGCATAACGAACTTTACGTTGTAATTGACCAGTTGTTAAATTATTTAATCTTTCAGTAGTATATAAACGCTCAATCTAGAAAAATTGATTAAAAAAATCTAATAATTTAAGAAATTTAAAATTGGAATTCACAGGTTTGATCTTGTTTCATCGATATTTTTTATTTCGTAAAGACTTGTTCACATTATTGTAAAGATATCTAATCCTAGTCATGTTGATTAAAAAATCTTTCTTTAATTCGTCAATCATTACATATAAGTTCTACTTGGAGGTGGCAATATTTGCAACAAGTCAGTAGTGCCAACTTTCCGATTCGGGTACATGCACGAATGTAGGATTAAAGAAGCTCAGTAGTTATATCTACATCCTCTGATAAAAAACGTTTTTCTGACCTTTCTACTGATAATAATACTTGTTTTAAAAATGTTGGATAGTGCTATTACTGTTTAGTTTATTTTTTTTTTTCGAAAGCAAGATTTCTTGAGAAAAATTCAGAAATTGTTCAGAAAAAAAAGATTATGTCGATGAAACGATTTAGTCCATTTTCGCCGAAAAAATTTTTCGCCGAAAAGAAAATTTCACCGAAGGAAATTCGCCGAAAAAAAGTTCACCGATTCTATTTTCGCCGAAAGAATTCGGTCACCGAAAACAAATATAAGTTGAGCTTGATCATGTAAATAACAATTCTATTGAGACAATTAATCGATTCTATCAAGTCCGTTAAATCCTACTTGAGATGGCTTCCATGTCGGTTAAATTGACTACCAAGTCAGATGGTAACCATCTGACTTGGCAGCCATCTGACTTGGTAGCCATCTGACCTGGCAGCCATCTGACTTGGTAGCCATCTGACTTGGTAGCCATCTGACTTGGTAGGATGAGTGTGGCTTGAGGATGTGGATCTTTAATTCGCATCGACAACCATAACCACACCCACATCCCACACCTAACCTACCAAGGCAGATGGCTACCAAGCCAGTTGGCTACCAAGTCAGTTGGCTACCAACTCAAATGGTTACCATCTGACTTGATAGCCAACTGAGTTGGTAGCCATCTGACTTGGCCGCCATCTGACTTGGTAGGATGGGCGTGGCTTGAAGATGTGGATCTTTAATTTGCATCGGCAACGATAACCGCGCCCACAGTCACACCCACACCCTACACCCACAGTCACACCCTCACACCCACGCCCTCACACCCACACCTACATCCCACACCCACTCGACCAAGTCAGATGGCTGCCAAGTCAGATGGCTACCAACTCTGTTGGCTACCAACTCAGTTGGCTACCGTCTGACTTGGTAGTCAATTTAACCGACATGGAAGCCATCTCAAGTAGGATTTGACTGACTTGATAGGATCGATTAATTGTCTCAATAGAATTGTTATATGCATGATCAAGCTCAACTTATATTTTTTCGGTGACCAAGTTCTTTCGGCGAAAATAGAATCGGTGAACTTTTTTTTCGGCGAACTTCTTTTCGGCGAAATTCGTCTTCGGCGAAAATGGAATATACCGATGAAACAGGATAATACTACATTTACATACAGTATCAAGTAATTGTTGTGCAATTTCACTTAATGAAAAATTTGATTGTTCATTTATTAATTGGTCAATTAATTCAGACCATCGTTGTCCTATGAAAATATATGATGAATTCATTTGATTTAAATTATAATTTATAGTCAATTATTCACCATCTCTATCGATAAGTGCTTGTAAAATTCTTTCATCATTTGTTAAATTTATTGTTGAATCTTTTTCAATATGATCATCTATTTCAATACGAGTTTGACATAAACCATTAAAATGTCCTTTAATTGTATCTACTTGAATTTGACGTTCAATTTGATTTGGATTGTTTGTTTGTATGATGATTGGACTGACTAACTCATCACATTGAATCATTTCATCAATATCTATTAGACAAGATAATTGTGTTTGACATATTTCATTTTTTCTTAGTTTAAGTAATGTCGATAAACGATCATGACGATTATGAAGATTCATTATTGCTAAACATCGAGGTGATTTTGGCATTTTGATAAATTCTAGATTATTATTTACTATTTTATCATTAGTATTCGTTAGCTATAAAGAATAAACACAAAAATTTATTGTTTTTGTTTTATATGCTGATGAAAATTATAATAGTGAACACAAATATCTGCTCTAGAAGGTGTCAATCATTATAGGTACTGAAGAATTGAAAGACATAATTCTGCTTCGATTGTTTAACTATATGGAAAATTATGATGGATGGCACCAACATCGCCTTTGAACTTCACTTATTCCGGAAACAATGAACTGTCTAGGTCAGCTAGTAGCTAATTATGTAGCATTATATCCCAGCTATCCACACAACTAATGTCATTGAAGTTCATCAACTTTCTTTAGTATTGTGGCTGTTGATTTGAGAAAAAAAAATCATTGGGTGCCCTTTTGAGATGAGAATGCAATAGTAATTCAGTGAATGAAGTTCAAACTCTTAGAAAAGCTATGTCTATAGTTGGATATTAGCGTCTATAAATTTCATAAATGATAGGAAATAGCATAGCAATGATCATAGTGTTGATGAGATGAAGGATTCAGAAATATCCAAAGACATCAATATTCAATCAAATGAACTCATATTTTGAGTAGAACACGATTATATGACTACACTTCATATCCATTCAAAAACATCAAGAATTAATCATGTATTTGATAAGAAAGTAGTACAAAATAGAGTTAACAGCCCTTTTCAAATTAAAAAAAAAAAACTTAATGGATGAAGTATGAGAAGAAAAATTTTCAGACCACTTATTGCTGAAATCCTCTAGCGTGAAAACTTTTGTCCGCTACTGTATATACATATGTGTCGTACTTGGGATTGATGTTGTCGTAATTTATCTTCGGATTGTAGAGTTAATTTTGTTGGTTGATTGGAATTAAATGCAGTTGTCACATTCCTTGTAATATTATCCAAGGATACATTCATATTACTATCAATATTCATAGAAGATATGTCTGAAGAATCCGGTGATGTAATTATAGTCCAATCTAAATCGTGTTTAGACCATGACAATGATGATGATTCCTCATTTTTATCATCTATAATAGCTGGTAAAAATCTTTGAAGTAATGGTAAATTGATTAATGTATTAACTTGTATAGCAACTGTTCTATGGGTTGATTTAGGATAATATATATTTGTAAGAATAGGAGAAAGTACAGATTTTTCTTCAATTTCATTCATACTTTCTTTATTTATCAATGTTGATAATGTTGTTTGACATGTTCGATTAGCACAAATAATATATTCATCGAGTGTTAATTCACTATTACATATAGAACAAATAAAATGATCGATAATATTCTTGTTTGTAAATATTTGACATTTGCAATCTTTTAAATCAACATCCATCATTCGATAACAAACAGTACATTCAGCTAATAGAATATGTTTCAGTTGTCGACATTGAATACATTTACGTAGACAAATGCCTAAGGGTCGAGCTTCTTGTTTTTTTATTTTAGAATTCTTTCTTAATGATTTTTTCTGATTTTCAGTTTTTTTCATTATTGTTGTAGTAGAAGGTGATATACTTCTGGTTATTGTTGAATGAGACGAGTTGCACTGTTCTATTTGTTTTTGTTGCTGATAATAACGTTTGCGTAATGACTTAGTACGAGTCATTGCATAATCAATATTAATGTTGGATTGTTTTGGTATCATAGGAGAATTTATTTTCGATGTTGAATTTAATGTTGATGTAGTTGATAATGTTAAAGGTAAGGGTTGATTAAATGTTACTATCGAATTCTCACCATCACTGTTTTGTTGATTATAATCCATATGGTAAATGTGATTAATTATTTATTGTGAAAGAATTAGAAAATTTTACCAGCTAGTTTTATTGAATACTAGTAGTGATATGAAGAATGACTTTTTTTTTGTCGTTGTGAAATTTTCTTTTTTAGAAGATGGAAGAAAAAAAAATAAATCCATCAATATACATATATATTTCTATTTTCTTTATTTGTTTTGTTTTCGTTGAACGCGCCAATCAATTTTATTTTTATATTTACTTTAATAATTTGTTTTAGTTCGATGATTTATCATCCATAGTATGTATACACGAAATGATCATATTGTTAAAGATTTTCTTGTTAAGATTTAAGATTAATTGAACCAAAAAAATAAATAGTGATTGAATCATTTCATTATTGAATATTGAATGTAATCATATTTTAAGAAGCCATCATAATTTGTCAAGACCCTCTCAAAAATTGATCTTATACTATATACATTCAAATTGTATCAAGTTTTCAGGATATGTTGAAACTAGATTGAAAAGATTATGGTAAAATTTTCAGGCCTACATAATGACGTTTTTGGCAAATATTCAATGAACAAGGCTCAAACATAACTGATTCTGAAATCCAAAAGATTCTCTGTGGGCCTTTATATTCTATATATCTAATGCTTTTTTTTTGTTTGAAAGAGCGTGTCAGGATGTAGGGCATGACAGAGCTCTTTTTCTTTCTTTTTTAAAATTCTTCCTTGTTAAGGAGAGAAAACGAATGAAAAGTTCAATGCCTAAAAAAAAAATTCCGCTCTAATTATAATAGTAGTCTTTTATGTGATAGTAACAAATCTTAATTCAAAAACCAAACTCTATCATGTCCTGCATCTTGACATACTTTTTCAAACAAACAACAACAACAATCATTGACTACAATGAAGCTCTTTCGAGAATTCTGAGATGTGCGATCATAAAAATATTAACAGAGAAAAAGCAAAAATTACTAAATGAAAAAAAAAACATGTCATTTATGAAAGATCACACATCAGGCTACCTTCCCATTAATTTATCTCAAGTTTCATATTTATGACAAAGAATTAACTTGCTTTTTGAGGATAGAATCTTAAATACGTTAAATCTCTTTGTCTTACAATCGGCTAAAATGAACAATTAATTGAAAAAATAATATTCCAAATTTGAAATACTTCAAGTCTAATAAATCTAAGACAGATATAAAAATAAAACAACTGAAGACCCATCTGTCTAGACATGTACATTATTGCAATGTCCTTCATTGTCGTACTTAGTTAGTGTGAATGTATGTGTTGAATTTGATTACATCTGGTAAAAATTAGCGCATTTTTTTCTGATATTTCGTAACCTTGCATTCATATATTAATAATGATGTATCAATTTATTATAAAGAATACAGTGCTAAATTAGCAAATTCTAACTATACTACATTTAAATGTCTGTCTGTGTGGAAATGAATTATTTCTTAATTAATAACCCATCAACTAGACTAAAGTAAAAATAATACAGATGATTTGCAAGAAAATTTTTAAGCATAGTGCAATAGTAATACAAGAAAAAAAAAAACGAAATTCATTGCTGATTGATTGCGTTCATGAATACAAGAAAACAAAAATTCATATACTGTTCCTAATCGATTTACAAAAAAAAAAAAAAAAAAAAGAAAGAAAAACCACTTGTGATTGCACGTTTTTATATGACGAGAAAATACTGATGGTAAATTACAAGCAAAAAAGAAGAAGAAGAAAAAGAAAAGTTTTCTTTTCTAAATAAACATAATAATATTCGATGATTTATCTTGAATAATAGGAAGAATTGTCGTAGAATCATCAACTAATGGTGTCGATGCATTCAATAATGAATAGCTTACATGGTTTTGCTCTTTTCGACGATGATGATGATGATGATTATTATTATTATTATTATTATTATTATACTTTTCTATATATTTATTCCCTTTAACGCCATACTCAGTAACTTTTGTTCTTAATAATCGATTAGGGTCAATAATGTCGATACCATTTAGATAATCATCAGTTTTAGACGAATGTTTGTTTAGTACAGATACCATCGATAGTTGATCATCTGTACGCCATTGTGGTAATGGTGATGTAGACCATGAGGGTAGAGTTTTTTCATACGATGAACGTGAATGATATGGTGAAGGTTTGTGATCATATGCATTATGATTGATTGGAATTTTATCGAGACTTGTAGTAATTAAACGTGATCGACTGAAATAATGTTCTGTAGAATTATTTATATTTGCTGAAAGATTTTCATTGTAAGAAGATGAAAGTGGTGGAACTGATGGAAATGGTAAATGAAATTCATTTGGAGATGATGAATAGAGAAAAATATCATCAGATGATGATGAAAATGAATTAATTATTGGAAGATCACGACGATGATGATTATGAGTAAGAGACAATTTTTCAAATTCTTGACTCATATCTTCAAGACATGCATTTTCAAGTTCATCATCATTTAATATATCAAATAATTTCTTTTTAACGGATTCATTTCTAATTAATGTATCATCTTTACCAAGTGATCGATCTAATGTTCTTTGAATGATTATTGCTATAAAAATTTTAAATAATAAATCTTAATTATAATAAATAAAACATACGTGATAAATTTTGATCATCTTCATCACTTTGAAAATTATTCAAATCATCATCGTCTATAGATGATAAACGATTATTAAGAAGAATATTATCATCAGATTGATGACGACGTTGATATTGTCGATTATTTAAATAATGTAATGAAAAAGTCGAATATGTAATATCATCTGTATTACTTATTGATGTTTTACGTTTGTCATTTTGTGAATGATTTATAAAATTATAAATTTGTTTAAGATCATTTACTGAATGACTAAATTTTCGATCGTTTCTTCGTTGTTGTCCATTTGTCCATTGTGTACGATAAATTAAGGGTCGATTAATTCGTAATTCACTTACATACCATTTTATATTATTTGATGTTGATGGAGGATGAAATAATATTTCATAATTGGTATTCATATTATGTATTGGATTAAATTCTATATTATCAATTTTATCGTTTTGATGATGTTTTAAATCCGATGTTGTTTTATTTGAATTATGAGCATTTCCATTGTAATCTATAATATTAAAAAAAAAAGAATTATCTTACATAAAGAAAAAACGAATTTGAATATTTCTACCTTGATAATAAAGAGAACAAGCAGATGAAAATTCTTCAGCTATTTGATAAACTGGATCATCATCATCGTCAAGAAAATTTTCAATAGCATATTTAAGTTGAGGTAAATCAACTGATATTGATGATGATGGTGTTAAATGTAAATCATTTAACGATGATGATGATTCATTACTTAAACTTGATGTTGGTGGTGTAAAAGTGTGATTTGATCGTTGTTCTTGTATTAAATTTTTTTCTTTATCTTTAGAATCATGTAATAATTTTTTTCCATCAATATTAGCAAGAAATCGAATATCAGAACGATAATCAATAGTACCCAACGGAGATAATGATGAGGAAACAATAATATCACTTGCATTTTCTTCTCGTCTTCTATTTTCATCAATATTTCCAGACTCTAGGTACGTACAAAGATATTTCCTTTTCAGTTTGTATAACCAAAAAAAAAACAAAAAACAAAAAATGTTTGTTACTTTTATCATCATCAAGTTGAAGTTCATTGAAAACAGATAAAGTTTTAGGTAATTGTTTAGTTTCACCATCAATAGCAAGAATTGTAGCAAATGATGTTGGTTTTTTCTTTATCGTTGTTGTTGAAATATCATAATGAAGGGATTGACTTGGTATGTTTTTAATTGTAAGAGAAAGAGTTCGAGCACTAGTTGTTGGTGTTGTTGGCGCTGATGTTGTTGGTGTTGCTGTTGTTATCGTTGAAACAGTATTATTATCAGCTTTCGATGTTGGTGTTCGACATAAAGTAAGTTTAGGAAATGAGATACCGAACGCAGCCATTCGATAATCGATCGTACAAGTAGACAAAAAAACTAAAAGTATATCAGAGTAAGCAAGAAGCGCGCAATTTACTTGTTATCCAGAGTATCAAGCTAAGGTATAACTATCGATGAATACCAAAAAGAAGACAGATCAAGGTTTCAGCACAAACTCATCAGAGAATATCCTTCTCCTACATTCTTCATGGTCGAAGATCGTCTGTCAGTCGTCGACAATGTCTATTTTTTATTCTCTCGAGATAGATATCGATACAAAACGGTCGACGTTTACTTGTTGTAACTTACTGAGAAGGGTAACTTGTTCGATATTTTTCTTAAATATCGTCTTTCGCTTTTTTTAACGATGTCCTGGTGATGTATGGTCCAAATATACAGCCAGTCACAAATATGATTATGCAAGTTATTGTATGTATGTATTATGTATGAGCTGTCCGTTCTTTATAATGATAAGCAAATGATTCAACAACAAAACTATAAAGAGAAATGCAAAAAAAAAAAAAGAATCTTTCGTCGACGTATGTCTGCCTGATCATTATTCTGTAATATCTCTTAAAGAATAGAGAGACAGAGAGAGAAAAAGAGGATGGCAAATGAACTTATCTCACTTGCTCTAGCCAACTAATATGACGTCGTAAGATAGAATACGTGTGTGGTATGTCAATCACGATACGTCTGGTTATTCTGGTATAAGCTATTACAATAGTGAACGCGATGTCTTGAAGAGAAAATAGACCATCGTTCGGGTACAATATGCATGTTTAGGTGGCAAACATACTGGAATGATCAGCCGTCATAGAACAAACGGTAATATATATTAAAGAACAAAATGATGATGTAAGAGAGAAAAGAACACACATATAAAAGAACCGATAGCAAATAACAACAACATCAGTTCTAGAAGAATATGCGAACAAATATATCATAAATAATGTGTATGTTCAGTAAGCATTCGCGCATGCATACCATTAAACTTGTTTGGCATTAGCTGCTGGCGGTTATCGTGTTGTAATCGGTCTGAAATTGCTCATATCCAATAAAGAATTTATTGTAGTCTGGTCTTACTTATAGCTTCTTTTCTCTGCTCATATTTAGAAGACTTGTAATGCTAAAAAGAAAGTGGCGTGATTCATATACTATGTAAATAAGGGTTCAAGGCTATTATCAATGTCAATATCTATATCGATTACAATATTAGCAAAGGAAATCAAAGATTTGTGAAAATAGTTTATCTTCATCACGGTCATTTTCAGGAGCGGCTAAACAGAATCCATCAAACTTGTCATCGCTACACATACTATTTAATTGATCGTTTCTTGAATTGATGGTTACTCTTACAGAAGAAATATCAATAATTGAATATTCTATTAATCATGCAAATAGATATTATCTTTACAATTGATTCTTATACACGAGCTTTATGCATGCAATAAACGTTTTCTTTTTTTAGTTTCGAATTTCAATAATGAAATCGTTTAAACGAAATTCACGTTCATATTTAATTATTATGTACTGAGTGGAAGTACAACCTCATGATATCGATTCAATTCACATATTGAGAATGTCTTTCCTTTCACCAGATTATAGGCTCAAGATATCCATCAACATATAAGCCGCCTTCTCTTTTGTTCGCTCAGACACTATTAACAAATGATGATATTAAGAAGATCTTTAAGATGAACAATTCTATTGAAAAATTTTATGACTATGTATGATCATAGCGATTTTAGCAAATTACTATTTGAATTATGTACTATTCTAATAATATAAAGATTTTGCTTCAACAGTAACACTTTGTCTAACAAATCTTGATTTATCCATTTCGAAATAAAAGACTTATTTAAATTATACATCTGATTCAATCAACATCAATATGTATTTGTTAACTTAAAATTTATTTTCTAATTTGGTTTTTATTTAAAAATGAATATTCTCGTAAATGAATGTCGGCATATATATAGCTAAAATACTGAAAGGAAAAAAAAATAAGAACATGCCTCAAAAATCGAGAGTACAAATTAAATGATAGCAATGGAATTCAGATGATAACTATCTATTTGAATGATAGATTCTTTTTTATTCTTATTAGTGCGTTCTATGTCATTGATTTCAAGTTTAAGATCTTCAGTGGAGGTTATGCTAATATCAATCATGAAAATTATATATGTAACGAAACATGAAGAAAAGTAGAGAATATATAAAACACATTAACATTTATATACGAAAACAAAAATAATTTTGTTAAATCCTTGTATTTAGGTATACCGCTTTCGCATAGAATATATGTTATTAATTTAGTTAAAGGTTGATTAAATATTACAGAAGGGTGTGGGTGTGGATATTCTTTTAGGTAATAAGGATATCCACACCCTTTAAAATATTACTGGTGTTTCCGGTATCGAAAAACAATGTCACATCAATGTTTTGCGGGTGTGAGTCGAGAGTTCATTCACACCCACGCTGCACACCTACACCTACATTTGACTAGGATATTTATATAAAGTGTGTCCCGAAAGTTCTGAAACGATTTTAAAATTCATCCTTCTCGCATTGAACAAACGCAAACTCTGTGAAACTTTGGCATATTATTGCACATATGTAGTACCACATAACTACAAAGTTTGAGGTCTGTAGGTTGTACTATAGAGGAGAACCTATAACAACACTATGATGTACTATTTTTTAAATTTTCCTGTATTCCGGGTCTGCCAAAATATCTATATTTCGGCTTAGGTAGATGATAAAACCTTGAATGTTTTTTAAAAGNTTTCGTTTCCAAGTTCCATTAATATTCTAAACAAGCATGTTTTTTCTAATATTAGTTTGTTGTTTTTCCGAACGCTATCATGTAAACAACTGTTGACTAACTCCAATTAAACGAATCTATAAATACACCAATGACCCTCTTTTTGCTGATCAAGACATGAAGAAATGTTGTTTTTCAGCTTTGCGTTCGTAAGACCCACGTTGTCACTTATTTACAATCCTGATCAATAAAATTACTTTTTTCTTCTATTTCGCTTTTCAGCTTTACCTGAGTGTTCTCCTCACATTAGTGTATCAGCAATATATACAATTTATTTTCTTGTTTCCTGCACATGGGTGGCCATATTTATTGGTTTTTTCCCTTTCCTTTTTTGAAGCCTACGTGGATACGGTTGAATAGTTAGTGACGGTATTGACATTTTGAATTTTCCGATATAGATGGATCTAGAATATAAGAGTTTAAATTGTCCAATCAAGTCTTTTCCTCCACGGTCTGTTTAATCATTATCAAGGAAAGGAATATATTGAGACTGACATTTTCGTGCTAATTTCATGAGATTTCGATGGAAGTTCGAAAACGAAAAACAATGAAACGAAGAAATGCATTATTGATGATTATACTAACAATCCATCCTATCACGATGAATTGGAGAATAAGTAGAAAATATAAAAAATTAATGAAATTATGAGTTTGATAACTGTTTGATGGACTTTGAATATCATAGATAAATCAGAAACCCATTGTTTTGTTTATCGAGATATGGATGAGATGTTTATAGGTGGACATTGCAGTTATGTTGACTGTATTAATGATTCACGCTTCTGTTTCGACAAACATTTTAATTTGAAAATTGAAACAATCAACATTCCGATATAGTTCATTTGATAGTCGTTGTAAAAAGCTACAAAACGACATATTTTTCAAAGTGCAAAAATAGAGCTACGAAAACTATTCTTATGCACACTATTTCGCAGGTGCAATTTCTTTAGTACACTTTATAATAAAGGTATTCGTTTTGTGAAATCTTTTTCAGTAATAAAATATAGTCTGTTTTTGTTAACTATACTAGCGTAAAAAGCATGGGATAAACGATTATTAACAACATAACTAGCATCAAAAGACTTTTATACAGATTATATCGTTTTGGGCAGGAAAAGTATGACTTTTTAAAGGCATATAACAGAAGGTCCCCTTGGTAACTTGCGAACGATAAGATATAATAGAATATCCAGGATCTTCGAATGCGTCGATCGCTTTACTATTCAGATCGAAATCATTTAAACATTCATGAAAAATACACAAAAACAGCATATATGCTAACAGTAGACATCAGAACAATATCTTCTTAGATAAAAGAATTCATTAGTGATTTATATATGGAATTAAAGACCCATCAAAAGTCGACTAAATTTATAATTTCAGTATTATTTTGTATTCTCTACTTATTCTGAAAGTGAACTCGTCGTGATAAAATGGATTATTGGAAGCGTTAAGTATGGATTGTTTTGATTGATAGATTTGAGTTTTCAAACTTCGATGAAAAGCTTATGAATCTAGTATGAAAATGTTAGTCTCAACATGCTCTATATCAGTCAATAATACTAGTTTTTATTTCAAAAACCTATTGATGATCTGGCTTCCTGGAACCACTCAATAAAACTACAGGAATATATAACACACTGATTTCCGCTAAAAGATATCTTCAGAACTTTGATAAGCGCTGCAAAAACATTGCACATTGAGACGAATTTTTTTTATACTATCTGGAGAATTGAATTAAAAACAACATCGTCAAATTATGGAAAATAATAGCATATAGATGTTTATATCTGAGGTAACAAAAGAAATAATTTCATGCTAAACTTCTTTTCCATCTATTTCACACACATCTTCACATTATGATAGATAAAATAAAACTAAATACAAACTTTGAATAATCTTAAAATGCCAGATATGATACAGTTTGTATCATTGTGAAAGAAAGAATTCATCAACATGTTTCATTGTTCATGAATTCATACTTATTTATTATTGATACATGTTGATAATGAAAGAAGTTAATCGTAATAAATATTACAAAGAATGCTAAGAGAAGGGTGAAGAATAATCATCTTAATAAGCAATTGAATTTCTTCTTTTGCTTGACTTCTAATTTTATCACTGGTACGATATGCAAGCAAGTTGATTAGTATCTCATATTGTAGAGTATGATTGTCTAGTACGAAAAAAGAATATTTGCTTTTTGTTATAAAAGCTTTATTCATAAAATTTTGATCAAAACCACTGAATACTTTTTTTATTGTTTGGCTTGCACTAACTGTTCTTGAGAGGGAGAGATGAGCCAAAATATTTACTTCTATAATTAGACACTCGTGTTAGATAGTGTTTTATGAAACACATCAGTCATTTTTAGCGAAACTTTCAGAGACTAGAAAGACCAATTAGATCACTACTTATCTATCATCTTGAAGGAAAAAGAAAATAAGCAGTAGATATATGTATGTGCACTTGTTATCATCCACACACAGCTATATAATAAACCTAGTTATGATGTCTACATTGATACATACGGTACCATTTTCTAGAATATCCTATTCTTTTCAGAAGAAACAGTCGTCTTTTTTAGAAAAATTATATGAATATAGGACACATTTGAAGTTAGTAATGATTCAGTTGTTGTCTCAAAAAAATATCACAACTTCATTAAATTCATTCGGCATTGACAGTAAGCATGAGTAAACACAGTTTTATTTGTATTTATTTTCATTAAGTTAATATTATATGAAATTTTAACTAGTCAAAGGAACGTATACTATTTTAACATTTTATCTTTCACACGAATCAAAGTTAAAGTAGGTATGTTGATGAACTGGTTAGTTACCATTCTTGATTTATTCATCAATCTTCACTTTTTTATCTTAAAGAGACGAAATAACACTCAATCATATTGAATTGAATTTCACTTTTCCTCATTTATAGATGTTATGAACAAGGACTTATCGTTAGAGATCAGTCACATAATCCATAGACATAAAGCTTTTCCGCTAGACTTTTGTAATCAAGCAAAGTTTAATACACGAAAATAAAGGTTTCTGTAAAAGTTGATATGAGGCTTGGAGCCAAATGATTTCAATCTTTACTGAAACTGTAACTTTTACAGCAAATTCTGGTTGCCACATCTATTACTCACAAAGAATAGAAGATAATTACACACTTTTCTTGTATAAAAACTGTTTATTTTGAACAATATTAACAAAATTACAGTTTGATTGAAAATAATTTCGAAGTTTTTTGTTATAAGGAACAATAAGTTGAAATAAAAAAAGTATATTGTGCACATCACTGAGGTGGTCGAAATTATAATTAGATGTTTTTGTTGAAAGCCAAATGTAGTTTACGATATCCCTAAAGAAGAATCGATGAAAATTAATAAAAAAAAAGCATAAAGTGGGAAAGAATATAAGGTAAATGCATGTAAAGATTATTAATTTTTACGAAATCCACGAGAGCACCTTACTCAGATGATCATCAACGATTTAGTGATACTTTTTGTTCATCTAACATATCAAACCAGCTGTCTACGCCACCCATTAGAATTTTAACGACATACTTAAAATAGAAATGAAAAAAATGAGATAAAAATTTGAAGTTTTGTATTATCAACAAGACTTACATCACCAAAGCTGAATGGAAAAGACTTGCCTTGAACTGCGAGAATTTCTTCTTTTTCACTTTCATAATTATCGACGACATCAAGATTTGGAATCATTCTGTCCCAATCATTTAAATATGACATGCATTTATGATCGTCTTAAATCGCACACGATAAAAAAAGATAGAAGGTATATTAGTGTCATTTAATATAGCAACAAATTTCTCAGCGTATTTTTCCTTATTTTAGTTAATCAAATTTCGAACATTAATATTCACCTGTGCAAGCCATAATTGTTACTGGAACTCGATCTATAGGAAGGCGTTCACGTGCAAGAACTTGATAAAAGTCTGGTACATTCGGTTGACCGTTATTATCTGTTGGTACACCGTCTGTAGCTATAACAATAAGTAATTTTCTTTGTTGAATTTCATTTTTCTTATCATTGAGAACTTGTCTCAACACCCGCACAATTGGTGTCGCACCTTGAATGATTTCAAAGAAAATAATTTATTCGAAAAATATCTATGATATATACCATTTGGAGGTATAGCAAATGTGGAAACTAATTCTTTCGAATTATGAACATGTAGCAATGGTTTTCGATTTAAAAAATACACATCAACACCGTCCGGATCTAGTGTACTCGCCAAATCAACAACAATTGAGACCGTTTTTTTAAGTTCTTCCCCTTACAATCAAACAATAATTAATATTATGTTATGTTCTCTTTTAATACGAATATATAAGATATGAACTTACAGCGAGTAGATTGTTGCTGTCCTGCACTAGGGGCACATCCTTGAAATTCAAACAATAAATCGGCAAAAAAGAATAAAGATAAATGTAAGAAATAACTTTTTTTACCGATCGGAGCCTTCATTGAACCTGAATCATCACATAAGACAACAATTTCATAACCACGTAGACCACGAAGCTTCGTGGCAAAAGCTTCGTTAACTAAAAATAGACAGTCATGTTTATGCATATATTAATGAAGAACTTTTATAATAAAAAATAAACTTACTGTTGTAACGGTGAACAAATTCATCAAAACCGCCTGTATTTGTATGGCCCGTTTTATAACTAGTCTGTGATTGTAAATGAGGATACATTTTCGTCAAGAAACAAGTTGTGTACACTGTTATTTTCGTTTATGCAGCAAATTATTTGGTGAATCTGAAAGATTCGAAAAAAAGTGACAAAGAAAGATTCGTAATAGATGAATCATAAATCTGTTTACAAATTGTGAGATCTTAATCCCACGTATATTTTATTTTTATAACAATAACTATCTCGAATTAATCATCTTTGCAACAATCTAACGAATATATATAGGACGATAATATGAGAAAAATCTCATAAACGATGAACAGGGAAAGAAAAATCCAAAGAACAATATGAAAGAAAAAAAGAACAGAAGAAAGAAGAAAATGTCCAACGTATAAGGACAGCGAAGAAAGTCCATCACATATTTATGATAGGAAAGACAAAATCCTTGACGCATGACCCACAACAAAAGAAAAGAAGAAGAACATAAATATACATATATAATTCTATAAATAAAGAGAGAAAATCCTTATGCCTCTATCTGTAGAAGATGCAGTTTATAAGACAAGTATCTATCGTCAATTAGGAAGAAAATCCGAAAAAGAATACGACATATTCGGTCGGCTGTTACTTACGAAAGAAAAAGAGAAAGCCATTCTTTTTCATTTTCAGGTTCAATCAATATTTGGAACAAGCATCTTTTGTACGTAATATTAGTTTGTTTTCTTCATGAATGGTATCAAATATACACAACTGTAGACTAACTCTATTAAACGATGTTAAAAGCAGGTGTCGATGAGTCTCTTTCTTCTCGTCAAAACATAAATTAATATTTTTCTGCTTTCGTAAAGGTATGGTCGACGTTGTTTCTTGTTTACACGAAATATGGTGAGAAAAATTACTTTTTTCTTTTGCTTCCTTTTTTTCGACATTACCTGAGTCTTCTCCTATTATGAATATTTAAGTTATATGTACAATGTATTTGCTCCTATCACACACATTAATGATCCTTTTTATTTGACTTTTTTCTCCTTTTTCTTTTTAAGCCTTTCTAGTCATGGTTGAATAGTTCAGTGACACTACCAGCAGTTGCAATTTTCTAACATCGAAGAATGAGACGCAGGAGAACTTAAATTGATCCACTAAATCTTTTCTTAGCTGGCGTCATTGAATTACCGGGTGAGTCATAATGATTGCAACTTTTAGTATTTCGCAAATATCTCAGCAAAGATAAATCGTATAATATTGATTCTTTTTTTAAAAGATGCGCCGTGAAAAGTTCTACAAAAATTGTAAGGACAAATCTCTATTGACTCGTTTGAATGGTATCTCTCATATTCAAAATAAATAGATCATATGATGGTGCTATGTCCCACCGTATTAAATATTTGGAAGACTTTTTTGTTTTGCAATAGGAAGTTGTTCATATAGCTTTTGTAGAGCTTTCGACGATGCATCTTTTGAAAAAAAATCAAGACGTTATCATTTTCTCAAGTCGAGATATTTGCAAAATAAAAAAGTCTTCCACATATTTCTGTTATGCTAAATACGATGGTATATTGCACCATCATGTGACCTGTTCATTTTGAGTATCGGAGACACCATCAGAGGAAGTCAACAGGAATTTGTTCTTACTGTTTTTGTAGAACTTTTTCAGGCACATCTTTCAAAAAGTAAATTAAAATTCTAGCATTTTCTTAAGCCGAGATTCATACGAAATAAAAGATATTGCAAATATTTTTGAACACTCGGTAGCAACATCACACAAGTCTTTAATTTAACCAACTAGAAAAGTCATCAGAGAAAGTCAATAGGAATTTATTCATACATTTTTTGTAGAGCTTTCGACGGCGCATCTTCTGAAGAAAAAGTCAAGGTGTTGTCGTTTTCTCAAGTCGAGATATTTGCAAAACAAAAGAAATCTTTCAAATATTTAATACGGTGGGACATAGCACCATCATATGACCTATTTATCTTGAATATGAAAGATACCATCCAAACAAGTTAATAGAGACTTGTCCTTACAATTTTTGTAGAGCTTTTCACTCCGCATCTTTTAAAAAAAGATTCAATATTATACGATTTATCTTTGCTGAGATATTTGCGAAATACTAAATGTTACAATCATTATGACTCACCCGGTATTTATCAAGAGAAAAATCATGATGTGAGACCAAGGTTGCTAGATTGAGAAATTAAAAATTAAAAATTTACTTTTCAAAATCGGAGACAAATCAGAATGTTTTTGTCAGAAATGAAAAAATAATCGTAAAACAATTGTATTATGTTAGGATGACTCATTTGTTATTCTATTAGTTTTAAATAGTTTACTCTGTTTCTACTTATTTATCCACACTGTATCAAAAAGAGATTTCACAAATAAAAACGGATAAGAATAATAATATAAATGTAGAGTTAAGTCAGTATCAGTGAAACTTAATAGTAAATAATTTTCGAATATCTCTTCTTGTAAGACTTACATGTAGTTTCACAACCAAAAGCATCATTCAATATGATTTGTGATAGTAGCAGATAAGTTGCTTTTCAAACGAGATTCTTCAGTCGGTTATGAATATCTTCTTTTCAACATATATGATTTGCCTATATAGTGTATAACTGACAGCAGCATACCACCGTTATCCAGACTTTTTAATGAAATTCTGACATGTTTTCATCACGATCAAAAAGCCATTTCAGAATTATCCTATAGATTCTAATAAAATTCTTTCTTAAAATACTCTTTCTGTTGACTTTTAAACAGAAAAACACATATTTTGTTCATTTTCTGGTCAAGTGCTTGGAAACTACTTATCGAGAAGAACCTGAGGAGAAAAATACAGTCAATGTATCAAAAATTCGTCAACAATGGGTCATCTTCTGTGATAAACACAATCGATAGCTCATAAATATATTGACAGGTAAAATGAACCAAATGACGATAAACTATATATATTCACATGCGGTTTACTCTGTGGCTCTAGAACGTGGCTATGGCTGTATTTGTAGATGTGGGATTGAATCTGAGGTGTGGTTATGGTATGGAAGCCTGAGCGCAGTGGGCAGGTGTAGGTATAGGTGCTGCTGTCAGGAAGGCTGAAACCGATACCGATATTAGCACAATAATATCCATATCCTACATCGTTAAATACTGAATCTTTTCAAACCAATTTTTAAGCTAAAACTAAATTTTTATTGAGCAAAACCTACTCGGCCGGCAATAAAAAAAAACATACTGAGTATTCATTTAAAAATATTGAGGAATTTAATGTAAGGTTTTTTTTACATTAGAACTAATTATTGGCAAGCTGTCAGTATTACATTAGCATTTTTTTTACGTTATCATAAACATGCCACCAGCAACAATACATGTGAGAGTTTATGCTCGAAAGTTTCCGATAATAGAACAAAGATTCTTTTAACTGAAAGTGATATTTCCAAAACTGGACAAAATTGTACGATTTCGGCGGGAACTTCTAAGGTTTTGGTATTCGAAATCTAGTCGTTAGTAATCTATGGTATGAGCATTTAAAATAATGCTAGTTTAATGCTAACGTCTTGGTACTAATTCATTCCAATAGAAACAATAGCAAAGCATGAACGTTAATTTTAATACTAGTACCTAAAGTATTAACAGTAGTATCAATAAATACAAATGCTAATTCTAATACGACACCCGTAATATACATTGACAACTGGAGCATCTGTTAAATCATCAACGGTATTACAAGATGAAGATGGCAAAAGTGAAGATGATGATATTGAAATACCAGATTACACTCTTTCATATGTTTAGAAATAAAGTGTGATTGATGATACAAATGTGTCTTTCTTCTTAGTTCTTCGTCTTTCGATGACATTATTTGTTTCAATTGATTTGTTTTTCATCTAGTGTACAAATTCGATGAGTTGAGTATGAGTCATATTTTCTCTTTGTGTTACACACACTTTCATATTAACTGATCACGAAAGTGTTCAATTAGCAACTTCATTTTTGATATGGATAATCATCTATTGCTTGAACATCAATCAATAATACTAGTATTTTATTTCAAAAAATGCTGCTGATTCATTTGTTTTCTCAAAATACAATGTTTTAGACGGATTATTTGTAGATTAACAATACATATGAAAGACACATGATTTTAATTGTACCCGTCTTCAATATGACATGTTTCTCTAAATAAATGTTCAATCATTCGTATCATCGTTTTATTTTCAAAAATAAGAAAACCCTTCATTCACTTTGACTTCGAGATAGTTGGTAAATGTTTCCTTTATATTTCAAGCAAGTGCATAGTTATTGATGTTAAATTGTTACATGAAACATATTTATGTTTCTAACAAAAGAAGAAGACATAGACAATGAAAAGAAAATGCATCTTAAGATAGCGACTGAATGAAAATAAATATTATCTGACTGTTACATACAGAGAATGACAAGTTCATTTTTCAATATTCAATCAAACATTTATAATTTTCTCTCTTCGAAAAATAATTTCGACACAACAAATATGAGTGAAATAATCGAAAATAAAACTGAGATTTTTCTATATATAATATAAAAAGTTAGACGATAATATTTATAGAACTGTGATATCAAAGGTTATTATTCAATAATTGGTTGATATATTAATTTAAAACTGTTGAAATAGTGTCAGTGTGTCATTGAAAATAACACATGAGAAAAACAATGAATAAAATCATCATTGTGAAATAGCATTTCGAAATTGAACAAAAACAATTACATACTTGGCTCTATACAACAAAATCAAGAATCAACATAAAGAAATCAAAGTAACAAGCAAATGAAAATGTATAAACTTAGAAGATAATATGATGAACCTTTTTTGTTTTTATGAAGAAAGCTTTTCATTTGTTCAATGATGATTATGTTTAGTATGATGTTTGTAGATTAGTCATAGAAATACTATAATACGTGTATCATTGTGAAGACATTCTCAGAAATGAACAAGAATTGTATGAAAATAAACAAAAAGTAAATATATCTTTGATATACTAAGTGTTTAAAGTGAAAGTCAATCGATCTGAAGTAGAATTTGAGTTT